CCCCAAACCACCACAACCATGCCACCTTACACCCACCCTCCATCACACCCACGACCACTACCAATGTTGTTTCCTTCCTCTCTCCTTTCTTATTCAAATCATACCTAACAAGCAAAACCTTTATATCGCTCGCAATAGCAACTGCCTCATTATGAACAAACCCATCCCTATTATCCAACCACCAAACAACTTAACATCTCATTTCATTGCCTCGCATGATAAAAAAATCATAACATTAATAGCAACACCTAATCCCACCCCTTCGTGATCCAAAATTGCACAAACCCCATACAATTTCGCGTTGGATCCCTCAATCACCTCTTTCTCCTCTTCAGTCACTTCAACATCCAACCTAGCTAGGGTTTCTTCACTTTTAATTTTATTCAAATTTAGGGTTTTGACTATAAAATTAGGGAGAAATTTACGAACATTGGAAGAATTTATGTAGGGAAGAAGTTTATTGAGGAGGGCAGTAACACAAGCACGAGTTTCAATTAGGATTAGGGCTTTATTACCTATAGTAGTTCTAGTCTTGCCGCTTTTTGTTTTTATAACAATTGAGAGTGGAGGGAGAGCTAGTGGTGTTGAGGGAGATTGTGGTTGTTGGGCATGTTGTGATACGACTAAAGTGTTAAATAGAGTCCATATGTGTTGGTTTGATGTCTTTGGAGAGTTAATTAAATTTTTTCTTAAAAATTACCTAGAATTAGAAAAAGATGTTTGTTGACTTGAAGATTTCACTAGAGAGTTGAGATAGGAGATAAAGGTGGAGTAATTTATAATTTTACTTTGACAAGTTGATCAACAATAATCACAAGATCCATGTGTCTATTAATTATTGGACCACGTTAGCATGCGAAAAACGTGTTTGAGATTTAATCAACGGAATTGACCAACTCGATTACAAAGTAAAAAATAATTATTGTATTCGAATTGAAAAAATTGAAGTTGGAATATCGATTAAGTTTTGATCGATAATGCAGGATACTATCGAATCAATTAGTCTTTTTTTTAATTTTATTGACATTGTACGAGCCTAGAGGGTCATGCAATATTTTCTCCTTTCATATGATCATGGATGGCTCTCTTGGCTTGTTGCAACTCGAAATTTCCTTTTACTTGTTTTTCATCAAACTCGATTATCCATTGTCCACATCTCAAAATTAAAGGCAGAAGAGGAGGTTTTATCATTGCCCATTATTCATTTATGTGGTGTAGGTTTCATAATTGAATTAGTTACAAGTCAAATATTTAAATTTGTTTCTCACAATGTGACAATTAGCTTGGGCTTTACTAATGTTTGAAATTACATTTACAACAATGTATGGAAAAAATAAATAATTCTAAAAATTTTGCTAATGTTAGAACTTCACTATCTTTGATTTTTTTTTTTTTAATACTAGGTTTGTGTTCCAACCGATATAGGAACAACTCGGTTCAAATTTAATTTAGTGTCATAAACATATGGTCTATTTAAATTAAATACTCCCTCCATCCCATATTTATTGATCCTCATCAGTTTCAAAAAAAAAAAATCAATTTAGAATTTAATTTTGGCCTTTTTTTCAATTATTTTATATATTTAAAATTGTTTGATAATATATTTCACATTAAATAGTTAAATAAACTATTATTAATATATAAAGTTGGGAATAAACCACCATCATAAAGCTTAGAGTTTTTAAATGGAATTCAATTTCAACTATGCAATTCTATATGATATTAGAATTTTAAAAAGACTCAACAAGTTCAGTAAAAAAATCCTAAGAGAACATACCCCATTGGGCTTAACCGTCTAACTCTATATAGAATTAGATAGTTGAGATTGAATTTTATCCAAAAAGACTTAAGTCATGTGATGGATAATCATTTTTCAACCTTATATATTAATTATTTTTAATTTAATTATTCAATATAAGATATATTTTTGAGATTTGTCAAATAGTTTGAACCCTAAAATCTTTATTGAGTCGTTGGGTTTTAAGACTCGATATCATATAACGTTAAATAGTTAAACCTTGTGGTAAGTGATCCTTTCTCAATCTTATATATTTACTCAATAAGAGAAAAACTCGAAGATTATATTTTTTGTATTTGCTAAAATTTTAATTATCTTATATAAAATAAAATAAAAAAATTAGTTAAAAATAAAGAGTTATATTGAGGTTTGAAAAGTCAAAATGAGCATTAAAATTGGGATAGAGGAAGTCATACAAACATGCGGCTTGAACACAAATAATTTAGACCACATACTTTAACATTAAGGTGGTGTTTGATAAAACTAAAAATTAAGTGCTGAATTTATTAAGTATTGAATTTTAAGTGCTGAATTTGTTAAGTATTGAATATGTTCTCGATAATCTGTTTGGTATTTATTGAAAATTAAATACTGAATATAATAAGCATGTTTGAAGATGATAGAATATATATGATATTTTTTAAGATTTTAGTTTGAAAATATGTATCCGATTATATTACTCTTATTGTTTAAAATTTATTTTTTTCAATTATTTTTTTCTTACTAAAATTCTCATCAAATTAATTTTTGATATCATTTTATTTGTTAATAAATTTGATTTTTTAATATATGAATTTTAGAATAAAATTTTATAACGTTGATGTTTAATTTTTTAAAAATATATTATTATAATTTATATAATGAATTATTTTTATGTTTTTCAAATGAGTATTTTATTTTTCAAAATATATTATTATAATTTATAAATTCTAATATATATATATATATATATATATAGTGAGAGAGAGAGAGAGAGAGAGAGAGATAGTATGTTTTAGATAGTTTGACTTAATCAGATAAGCTAAAAATTTTAACTTATCCGATTAAGTAGATTTTAACTGAACTTAAAATTTTAATATAAGATCATTTAAGTTATCAAACAAGATTTTTATATTAAATAGTACAACTTAATTTTTTAAGCTACTCAATTAGGTTATCGATCGATAATCAAAGCTCTTTTGGGAGGGGGTGATTAAAATGAAAATTTGCATGCATGACATATGCAGTGATCCCTTTAACTTGTCCAGATCATAGAAGTGTTTCATAACAGTCTGAAAAATTGCTTAGGACTTTTGAATATTGAAACAGGAAACTAGCTAGTTGGTGACTTTTGAAACGTTAAACTTTGCTGCAATTCAACCATGCATTCGTTCGTGCTGAGTATATATAAGAGAGTGACAATAATCTTCAAAAAATATTCAATACTGATTCGGATTTTATAATATATAAAGTGTTATCAATTAAACAGATAGAAATAATAACATTGAAAAAATTAAAAAACTTATGTAAAATGTCATTTTTTATTTTTGATAAATGCATTCATATGATCTTGCGGAATATATAAATTTTTTTTCTATATTGTCCTGTGATTGAAGGATTTTTCAACTCAATCATACTGAATTTACAAATTAGGATTAATATAAAAAAATAAAAAATAAAAATTGAAAAAGAAGTGCTATGACCTGCTAACTTAGATGACAAGAGGCAGACCCAACAAATTGCTGTTAGAATTTCAATGAAATAATTTGCAAGGTAAAGACGAGATAAAATTAATTATATATATATATATGTCCGTGGGTGTAAGAATTACCAATTATGTACCCTAGAAAAATTCAAATTATAATGTAATTTTGCTTCATCCGTTTGTGTTGTTAAAAGTCAAAGTAAATATTCTGATCCTAGAAATTACAGCAGGGGGAAAAAACTGAGGAAGAGTGATTCTAATTAGTTTCTGTTGTTACAAGTCGAGGAAATCTTATCCTGTTGAAAATTAAGAAAAAGAAGGAGAAGAAGAACCAGTCGAAGAAATTAACCTTGACCACAAAATACTAATGAAAAATCTTATCCTGCATGCCCTTGTGCTAACTGGGAACTTTCCTGTTCTAAACTGATGGAGTTTGATCCGACGTGTCGTTGCGATAAGGATAAAAAGAAAAGAAGATCGTAAGTGCCGTACCTTCATCCTTGATATTTTCCTAACGTTAAGTTCATCCCTACACTCTTGTTCTGTTAAGAATCTAGTCCCTGTGTCACCAAACTATATTATTTTCATTTATTATTCGAATAATTTTTTTTTTTTTGGATTTTTTTCTTCTGATAGTAAGAAATATCCTTGAATCATTTTACAAGTCAATCAAGACTTGATTTTCTTTTTTTTTCAAATGATTTTAAAAATATATTCTCTACAATATCAATCTAGTGTATTTTAGAAAAATAACTTCTCTAGATGTTGGCAAGAACAAAGCTATAAAATTTAAATGGGAACATAAGGATAAACTTGAAAATGAGATAAATTAAAGAGAGATTGGAGAGCAAATATGTTATTTTATACGTTATTTTGGAATGGCAACTTCATAACTATTATAAAAAATTGAAAATTTAAGAGCTACAATTAATTTTTTTAATAGAACTTTGGAGGTTGAAAACCCCCTCTCAAAATATGTTGTAGTACCGCTGCTAGATGTTGTACTAAACTTCAAACACGAAAAAGCAAAAAAAAAAAAAAAGTAAAGCTTTTTAATCACTAGATGAACAATTAAAGAGTTATTATTATTATTATTGATTCTATACGTGTCTTAATTAATGAACCAGCCGAAAGTATAAGGATAGGCCTAAAAAGATAAAAGTAAAAGGACCACATTAAGAAATTATTAATAGCGGAGGGATGATATGTGCGTGTGTTACATTGCTAAACAGATTGCGTGCTGCTGGTATGGTTTGCTGCACATGCTCAATACAGGCGAGGCAAACTTAATCTTTCTTCAAAGTCAATTTGGGGAGATAAGAATTTCCTTTTGACCCTCACCGTGTTATCATGTTTGAATCGTCGAAGGGCCATGCTTCGGCATCCTACGTCATAGTCACAACGTCAAGTCAAGGTTCTCGTCTCCTATATATATATCTGCTCCCTGCCAATTCCACTAGACCTTAAATTAGGTTAACCTGAAACCAAATTACAAACATGTCTTCCCACCACCACACCATGTCATGTTCTTGTTCAACTTTGAGTTTCGACGAGAATCAGTGGGTCATTAACATCGGTCGAGCCCTCGAAAAAGAGCTTGAAGATGATAATGACGATCCCGTGTGCATTTTTACTGTCCCCAAAACCTTAATGTCTTCCCATCCCGAATCTTACACTCCACAACAACTTTCACTAGGTCCATACCATTATTCGCGGCCAGATCTACATGAGATGGAGAGGTATAAGCTATCGGCAGCCAAGAAATTGCAAAATCAACTTCGCAGCCGCAACTTTGAACATCTTGTCGAGGAATTGATGAAGCTTGAACAAAAGATTAGGGCATGCTACCACAAGTACTTTAATTACAATGCTGAAACGCTAGCGTGGATGATGGCTTTGGATGTTTCATTCTTGCTTGAGTTTCTTCAAATTTATTCTTTAGTTGAAACTAAAATGGTATCGACGATGACGACGTCACGAATGTCTCATTTGCTTGATTATTCGAAGCGAAAATCGGCTCATCATGTACTTCTTAGAGATATGGTGATGCTTGAGAATCAAGTTCCACTATTTATATTGAGGAAGGTACTTGAATTTCAACAATCGTCAGCTGAATCATCTGATTGTATGCTGCTTTCCATGGTAAGAGGATTAGCTAAAGATCTCTCTCCTTTCAAGAAGGTCGAGCTGCCAAAGTCCAAGAAAATCTTGGAGCATTCCCATTTGTTAGACATCTTGTATGACATTATCGTGCCGAAAGTGGAAGAATCAATCGAGGTCGTACTTGAAGAAGTTGTAGATCAAATCGAAGCTGATCAGCAAGAAAGTAACGGATTTAGCTTTGATTCGAATTACGTGAAGGAGCTCCTGAAAGAGATTTGGAAAATAGTTTCACAACTAAAGATACGTCCAGTCCGTCTCATCAATAAGGTTTCATCATCAGTAACAATCAAGTTGAAATTTTCTTGGACAATCGTCTCTAGACTCCTGCATATATCAGATGATCTCAATGGCTCAGAAAATGAGGGCTCCAATGACAGCATTAACATGCCACCATTGGTAGAAGAGATCACCATTCCTTCCGTCACCCAGCTCTCAAATTCTGGTGTTTCTTTCATCCCCACTAAGGGTAACATCTCTACCATTAATTTCAACAACGAGAAAGCTGCATTTTACCTACCCACAATTAATGTAGATTTAAACAGTGAGGTGATGTTTAGAAACTTGATAGCATATGAAATATCAAATGCATCAGGACCTTTGATTTTTACTCGATACATAGAATTGATGAATGGGATCATTGACACTGGTGAGGATGTGAGATTGCTTAGAGAAAAGGGTATCATTATAAACCGATTGAAGAGTGATGAAGAGGTGGCCAATATGTTGAATGGGATGAACGACTACAAGGCCATTAGATTGACAAAAGCTCCAATAGATAAGGTGATTGAAGATGTGAACAAGTACCACGATAGCCGATGGATGGTCAAGATAAGAAAATTCATGAAGCGGTCTGTGCTCTTTTCATGGCAGTATCTCACGGTGTTCGCTGCTATTTTGCTCTTCGTCTTATTGGCCATGGAATCGTTTTGCTCAGTTTTTACATGCTCTCGCATCTTTCACGTTCATTATATTTTTCCGAGCCAGGTTCAGGGCTAGTTGATCATGTCAATGTTGCTCTAGATATCTCTCAAGCTCTGCATATGATGTGGGCTGTATATTTGTGTACATGTCAATTAATTGTTTTATTTATTTATTTTACAAATTATTGTCGTAACATCAAATAAAAAATTGTTGATAATAGCAGGAGGATTTGTATTAAATGATCAAATTCAAGTAAATGCAATTCAAGTGTACTTATATCATATTTTTCGAATGACTCATTGATGTGTAAACTGGTTAGCAAATCATGGTTTTTTTTTTTAAAAAAAACAAATTTGAAGATTTAAGCTTATTCTACAAGGGTTTCAACCTATGTGCTAGGTTTGTTGGTCCTTCCTTTTAATCAAAAAATAAATGTTGATAATTAATTACAATTGTTCCATTGTTCTCTTTTGTAACGCTCATATTAAGTACGTAATGAACGCTATATTCAGTGCCCTTTCAATTTGAAATCTCCAAAATTTTAGATTTTCCATACTCGATTTCAAATTCTTGCTAATCCAAACAATTCTTGCTAAAATTGATTAAGATGACGCAGGTGAAAGTAGGTGAGCACAGAGAAAAAGAAAAGAGATCATCAAGATGTACACTACTTCTGTAAATTACATCTAGCAAATTTCTCTTTGACTCCAGCCTTGTTTGCGTCTTTCTTCGGGAAGTTAAAGCCCAAGAAGCACATAATATATAATTGTAACAGGCAACGCAACCACCATTCCAAAGATGACCCTATAGAAAATCAAACACGTAGAACTTGAATCCTTCAGTATATATTAACTAGCAAGCTAAAACGTGGGAGAAAAACTTTTCAAAGTTGTGTTAATTGAATTCAACATTTTAAATGCGTAGTCATGAATACTATAAAAGAATTGAACAGCAAAATATCACTTTACTATAATAGTAATACCTTTAGCATTGTTTTTCTTTTTTTGTCAGGAGAAATACGAATTCGATACCCAATTTTTTATTATTTTTTAATTTGAATATCCAACCTTCAATTTTACCTATTTGAGCTGCTCACTTTTAATTAAAAAAAGAAGAAGAAGAAGCCAGATTACTGAAATGGATGGAATTGAAGTTAACGTGTTGAAATAGAAATCTAATTAATCAAATAAGTGAGTAATCCCTCCTTCTCAAGTTAAGAGACGTCTATCATTCTATTTTTATGCGTCTCAAAAAATATAATCAAAATTTTAAGAGATGTCTTTTTTAAAATACCCCTAATTAAATTTTATTTTGTAAAAAATTATTCAAAGAATTCTAAAAAAAAAAACTACAATCTATTTCAAAAATAAATTATTTGATCCTTTTAATCAATATTGATCATGACTAATTGAATATTTATATATTTTATAAAACAACTTGTTTTTTTATTAATTTTTTCATATTTTTACTTTTTTTTTCTATTTCTTCAAATTAAAATCAAAATAAATTAAAAATAATAAAAAGAACTAAATAATTAATTTTTGAAACCAGATAGATTAATTAATTTGTTTCACAAAATGAGAGGGACTAATTTATAATTTACTCCTCTTTTTTTCCATGTGCCATGAGATAACAGCAAATTAATCAATACCACTTCACTACAAAGCTCTCCATGGGTATCACATTAGAAAAAATAAAAATAAATGAAGCTGAACAAATTAATAGATAAAATTGAAGTTTGGGTATTCAAATAAAAGATTAATCAAAGATTGAATATCAAATATATAATTTTGTCTATTTATGATAGATATTATTATTGGATTTTAATTTTTTTCCCTATATATATAAAACAATAGAGGAAGAAAAACTTACGCAGTGCTAAGTAGGTTCGCATGGAGACTGTACTCTTTGGCAAATATGAAAGGAACAATACCTAGAGGAAGTGCACCCTTCCAACATTCATTAGATTAATTAGTTTAAACCAAACATATGCCTGAACAATGAAAAAAAAATGAAAAAATATTTGGAAAAATTCTAAACCTGCTTTGATAGCTAAAATTAAAAAAAAATAAATAAAAGTATTAGGTTTTTGAAAAATTTTTAAAATAAAAACATTTTAACAACATATGTAATCAATTTTTTTAGAATTATAACACCGCAGTCGCAATAGAAACGACTAGATTTACTACCTGAATGATAGCTACACGTAGAAGAACACCGCGAAGACCAATAGCAAGAGATGTTGCGGCAATAACACCTGGACCTATCAAAAATCTAATACCCATGGAAATTAATGCTAAAGATTTTCCGCAAGCTATCACCTTGGTTTGTAACGCTGCAAACAAACCTGTACATTTCAATAACTACTAATTAATTAATTAATTAATCATTAATATCAATCTTATATAGAAAATATCATATTTTTTTAATTAAAAAAATAAAAATTTATGAGTGTTTAAGTAATAATTTAAAGATAATTACGCACCTAGGCTGAACATAGCCATTCCCAGACCAGTATTAGATAATATATTTACAGATCCACTCACGATCAGTGGCATTTTGATGTTCCACCTGTAGGAAATGATTTTAAACCAAAAATCTTAAATTGGAAAAGGATATTGCATCTTGAATAATTAATCAATTTGTATTTCTTCTTGAGTATGGAAAGAAATATAGGTAGAGATCGTATTTTCTTTGTAACTTCTCCCCTTGTATTTGAATCCAAAATAATTATATGAAAAACAAACTCATTTTATCATTTGAAACCAACACCATTATTTTCTTCTATAGTAAGATGCAATATTTTTAATTATAATGTTACTAAAAGCACAGAATTATTGAAATAGTTAAACTTGAATGTGTAATGCTCAAATGTTGAAGAAGTGGATTAAGGTTCGTGAAATCCAAAAAGAGAATTTTCGCATTGTATATTTAAAAAAAAAGATTATTGGTTTAATATCATAAATTTTTATAAATATTAACTCCTATTCGATTTTATGATAACATGTGTATTAACAAAGAAAGCACAAACAGATTGAACTGGCTTACTAAAAAGGGAATTTGATTCTGGAAAAAAAAAAAAACTGGTGTATTTTTTGGATTCATAAAAATTCATTTTTTTCAGCCAATTTTTGCATTAATTTAGACTAAGTTCACTATTTTTTGGGTTAAAAATTCTCTTCTTTATCTAAAATGAAAACTCATTCACATTCTATATTATTCTTTATATATATATATATATTCGAATTAGTTTTTGAATCAATTAAGATTAAATCTATCATTTTTTTGAGTTAAATCAAGGTTAGAATATATTTAACTTCTTAGTAGATCACTGAACTGTTTTTAAAATCAAATAAACTCAAATATAATTCTACTAAATGATAATTATGGCTGATTATCAATGAATAGTGAGAATTGAACCTTAATTTTAACCCAACTAAGACAACTCTTTCATTGCTTCGGTGTTACATTCTACTATATTTTTTCTTCCTTTTCATAAATTAATTTAAAGATGTGTTTTCTTATCAATAATATTCTTGGTATACTATAGGATATTATAGTCAAACAACAACAACAATAATAATACGCATAATTGAAGCTTTACATACCTAAATGATATGAGAGACCATATCAAGCCCAAAAGACTTGCATAAGAGTTAGGGTTTCTGACGAGCTTCCTCCACACCATGATAATAATGAGTCTGCTCATGACGGTTGCCGGAGGCATCTGTTGTTTCTTGGCTGAATGGAATTAAAGAGAAAATCATATATATATATATATATATATATATATATATATATATATATATATATTAAAAATAAAGGTCATATTAAAATTAAACTAACACAAATAATTAAATATTAGTTTTCAATAGATATACATACATTTCTCTTCATTTAATTTAATTTCCTAGTAGTACAAAATAACTAAAAAAACAAATTATTATACAAACTAAGCTATGATACATATATATATAAGTAGTAATTATATAATTTCAAGATGTATAAATATTTTTGTTAAAAAAAAGAAAATTTTGGTAATTAAATTAAAAAATACTATGGTATATATACCTGTTGAAGCAGCAATGATATTGTCACGCTGAAGAGCTGCTCCATTTGAAGAATCAATAACCAAAGAATCAGAGTTGGTGGGTACTTTACCATCTATTTCATCAGGTCTCAAATATCTATCAGAACGATTAGAGGAAACACTTGAACTCCAAACAAACATGTGAAGCTCTTTGTTCGGTGATGTACCACTTGTAGAACCTGGAAAAACAGCACCATTTTTCCTTTTCATTTCTTCCTCGAAATTTGAAGGAATCCATGGCTCAGAATTTCTTGAAGATTGTACTGAATAAATATCACCATAACTATTAGTAGCATTTGTTAACTCAGGAAAATTTGTCTGGCTAAAACTTGAAGCTCTTGGTGTAGGTTCTATAGAGGATTGTACTGAGAAAACCTCTACGCCGGAGAAATTTGAAGCTTTTGGTGGAATAACATTAAAGATTGAGTTCATTCCATCGAATCTGTCGTACGATGAAAAAACTGCAGATGTTGTACTTGATCTTCTCACCACCACATGAAGCTTGCCATCATCACGGATCTCAGCATCCGTCTCTAATGGTTCGTTACCACTGAGAGAAACAACATCCGAATCAACCTTGAAAGATGAAATAGAGGCAGCTGTTTCAGGAAATTTCTCGGCAATGAGTCTCTTTGCACCTCTATATTCAAACATGAACAACATCAAAGTGTACCAAATTGCACTCTGCAAGAACACTATTTGAACCATAAGAGGTGATGTGAATTCTCCATACATGGACTTCAGAAGAGGGACACCCATGACAAGAGTGTTAGGAAGAGTACAAAGAGAAAAAAGAGTGATTGTCCAGTCAAGTTCACCACGTCTGGTAATGGCTTGCCATACGAAGAGAATCACCAGAATCATCACCTTTTGGAGAGAATCGGCAGCAATAAAGCGTAAATTCATTTTATAAGGGTTATTAGAACATATAAAATGAAAGGAGAGGAAAGGAGTTGCAAAAACTGCAACAAAACGATTGATGCCTGTGCACTGTTCTGGTGTAAATATTTTCCACCATCTCACTGAACCATAGGCTAATACCATTGCAACATAGAGAGGAACCAGGGCTGCAAGAACCTGGTAAACGTCCTTACCGGCAATCATGACCAGCACAGACGCACTTGATCTCTAATTAGAGATTACAATGAAATGTAAAATTATAAATATATTGTGGGATTTCTTAATTATTTTTACTGGAAAAGGCAAAGTATGTATGCAAGGGAAATTAGTTGTTCTGATTTTCTTTTCTCTTGCCAACGAAATCATTAGTAGTTAAGATGGGATATAGGGGGAAAGCGACTGGTTTTTCATCTTGTCTGCCCATCAGTTGTTTTTACAATGGGATCTTATCTCCTTCCCTTTTTGAAAAAAAGCTTCCTTTAGTTTTAGGCATTTTTCAATGCCATATCCACAGCAAGAAAGAAATAGTATGGAATTGGAACATTTGCTTTTACTTTTCCTTTTCTTTAGTGTTTTGTTATAAATCCTCGAATCAATTCAACTTGTTAGGTAAATGTCAAATTCAGGTCCCTTGATGATTCTTGAGGAATGATCATGTTCAATGCATTTAAACTCATATTAACTTTAAAATGTGTCTGTTACTTAAAAGAAATTTGCTCACTTCTTTAATTTTTTAAATTCAAATTTTGAGTAGGGTATCTATAAAAATTTATTAAATTTATCTGAATATACCAACTTAAAATGAAAGATACATTTTTAAAATCTTTTGAAGAGAAATTTAGTTTCTATTAACATACAAATTATCTGAAAATTCTTTTATTATCTTAAAAACGCAAATATATTCATGTTGCAGTATGTGCTCTACGAGTATCAACTCTTTGTAGAGTTATATAAATAATTTTTTTAATTGATTAAACTTTTTGTTTTCTAGTGATTGAGATAATCACAAATGAGTTTATCATTTTACATTGAAAATGTGACTTACTTTTATCTTACATGCATAATTAAATAGAGGATCTAGTTGCTAAAAAGGGAAAAATTACAAGGGATTACTTGCCAAAAATTTAAGAAAGAAACTATCTAGAATCTGATTTGGGTTAATTTACATGGAAATTTTATGATATGCACTTATTTTTTTCATATGCACATACAGGATGATACACATTGATATCTATAAGATTTTATTGAATCTGTTTTTAGTGTTCATGGACATGTGACACATTTTTTATTACTGACTTATATATGCATGTAACTACTGTTGTAAAAAAAAAAATGTTTATTGAGGTTTTTCTTTCCAAATTTTCTATTTTCTTTATCCAAGCGGCCAGATTGCAAGGTAATTACCATATCCTTGATTGACTCCTATTTGTGATTCTTGAAAATTAACAATAATCTACTACAACTCCACGGATTGAATTAGTTCATTGGTTTTTGAGAAAAGAAAAAAAAAGTTGACTTTCATAGATATTGACATATTGTTTGCTAGGAGAAGAACAATTATGACATATATATATATATCAAAAAGATTAAAAGAGTGACATTTCATATCTGACTTGCATTGGATTGCATAGGTATCATATTAAATGCACATCACTTTCCGACAAACTATGACATCTTTTAGTGATCTAAGCTTTAGAAGATCCAAGCCTGTCTTTGATTTGGCATTCACCAAATGTCAGAGCTTTTTCATGAAGGTTGGCACAGGTGTACGTCTAAACTCTAAACCAGAGATGCCTTTCCCACCGCAGACAAGACAAGAAGAATCAAAGAGATGTTGATGCAACCGAAGGCTCTCTCCTTCGATAAGAGCATACATACACACATATATATGTATATATATATATATATGCTCTTAGCTCTCCTAAGGTAGTGAGGGCAGGAGCTGGCTAGGGCCCATAACATAAAGAATAAAGCTCAGTCACGGTTGAGGTTCTTAGCCCAACAAAATAAGTAGCCGAATTAAATCTTGATCCGGGTCCAACAAATACAATAAGGGATAGCAATTTATCAACGCCAATTGGGTTTTTTTTTTTAGTTCTTTATTTCCTTAACTATTTGGAGAAAACTAAGCATGATAATTGATAACAATATTAAAACGACACCATCATTTAAAAGTTGGGATGATTCCAATACAACTTTGAACTTTTTTTCAATTCAGTATATGATTTTTTTTTTAATTTTTTTTGTTTGATTATATCTTTTTTTTTTTTGAAATATCAATTAAGTACTTCCGTTAATTTTCTATTTACTAATAATGTGTCTATTATCATCAGAATACCAAATTATAATTTCACCTTTTTTTTCTCAATCTAATCCATGGATTTTATTTTTTCCCATTTGAGTATACCAACTTTTTTCAAAATCATCAATCAATTATTTTTATCAATTTTTCGTTAAGTAATAATGTGTTTCAATACAACATTATAATTTTACCTTCTTTTTGTTGAAGAAACTTTCTCAAATTATTTTATCATTTCAAAACTCCACAAAGAATTAAAATATATTATTTTTTAACTATAAAATCTCAAACTAAACTAAGTTAGATTGCGGTTAAAAAAACCCTCCATTAGATTTAGGAGTGAGAATGGAAAGAAAACACATGAATTTTTTTTAATGAAAAATCTCACATTTTTGTATCCTTCAACTTTCATGCCTAAAACTTAACTCAAATTTTTTCTTTTTTCTTTTTTAACAACAAACCTAATTGAGTTTAGTTTGAAATTTTATAACTAAAAAATAATCTTTTTTAATTTTTTCATCAAAATTTAAAAGTGGTAGAATAATTCGGGGATACGGTTTCTTTAGGACAAAAGAGGAAAAAAAATATAATTTGGAATTCAAACACATCATTAGTTAACGAAAAAATTGACGCAAGTAGTATATTGACAATTTTGAAAAAATTGTACTAAAACATTAAAAAAAAAAAAAACTTCATGTACTCTATTTAGAAAAAAAAGATAAAATTATAATTTGGTATTCTAAGGATAATAGATACCTCATCGGTTAACAAAGAAATTGATGAAAATACTTAATTGATAGTTTAAAAAAAATTGGTATACTCAAATAAAAAATTAAAGTACATATATTCTATTGAAAAAAAAACATTGAAAATTGGCGTACTCATAATGTAATGCACGAATACTAGCATTTGAGAAGTTTTTTAAAAAAGTCTAGGATTTATTATTTATTTTATTATTCATCTACATTTAATTGTATTATTCATTCGGACTCATATGCACTTTACATTTTATCATATAGTGGCATTTTTGTAATTTGAAGTTATCTCCAAGTATTTATATACAAATTTTATCCAATATTATATTTTGGTCCTACATTTTATCATGTAATGGCATTTTTGTAATTTGAAGTTGTCTCCAAATATTTATATACAAATTTTATCCGATGTTGTATTTTGGTCCTTGTTATTTTCCAAAAATCTTATTTCAATTTCCAATTTTATTTTAGAAAAAGGATAGAAACGAGGCGAGAGAAGGGAGGAGCGAGAAAGACATGGTTGGAACCAATTCGGCCTTTTTTGCCATCAATCATGCATTCATATTATTTATTTTGACGAGAAGAGTGTATTCATGGTGGTTTCACATCATAAAATGGTAAAAGAAAGTAGATCGAAGTCCAAAAAAATTTGAATTTTTCAATTTGATTTCTTTTTAATGTCCATTGAAATGCTATTTAAGGATTTAAATGAGTTTATTAACCTTATTTAAGTGATTTTGAGGTATTTTGGAGCAAAAATGAAGTTAGAAATGGGTTTTAAAGGTCTAGAATTAGACTTTTGATTTTCCTACAATGATTGCGATAATATTTCTTAAAAAATCGAGTCCGTCAAAATTTATAGGTATTTGACGCGTTGCTCACATTATTGTCAAATGCGAGCGATGCATCGTCGGTTTGTTTTGTTTGCCCTAAAACAAAAGGCCGAAGTGCGCAAGCCTACTTCTTCAAGCCCAAGGCTATAGGTTTGCCTTGGGTTTTTTTTATAAATTTTTTTTATATTTTCAAATTTTAGAATGAAAATATGTATTGGATTATATTGATCTTATTATTTAAAATTAATTTCTTCAATTTATCATTTTTTATGAAATTTCTAGTGAAACTAATTTTTTTTTTATAGAATTTTATTTGTTAATAAATCTGATTTATTTCTCTCTATGTATGAATTTTGAATTAAATTTTCATAATATGATTATTTTATCTTTTTTTTAACATATTGATATAATTTATATCATGGATTCTTATTTTTAAATGAGAGAATTAAAAAGCTAAAAGTATATTTCAGATCACTTGTCTCAAAATATTTTAAAAAAATTAAATAATTAATTAAAAATGGAATTCATGTGTTTTATTTGCTTATTTTTATATAATTAAAATTTATCCAAATTAATTTTATAATTTTTTTTTAATCTACGAGACTTTAAAAAATTCCTTGCAACTTAATTATTATTTTTAATATTTTTACTGTTCATACTGCACGCTAACCCACTAAGTACGATCGTGATGTATAAAAAAATAAAATTAAGATCATTGATATTATTAAAAATTAATTATCCATCTACACATATAACACCAACTATTTGATATTATTTTTTTAATATTCGAAACTAATTTTTTATAAATAAAATAATTAAAATAATATTTTCAAAAAACTACCCAATGATTCAAATGCGAGTTTTTTATACTAATATTATTGATTGTTTTATGAGTCAATACATATAAATCAGATGTACATATTTTTTAAAAAAATAATATTCTCATTTGGCATTAAATAAGAATAAAAAATAATTTTATTTGTTAATTTTTGTAGAAGTCTTTATATAAATTTTTGCTTTATTTTTTCCAATGCAATCTTATGAGAAATAAACATTGAGATATTTTTTAAAACTTCATATTAAATTTTTTGTTTATATTATTATAAGTTTTTATTTAAAAATCAATGCATAAAGAAGAATAAATCGTGTTTTTTAACTACAAAATCTATTAAAAACATAAAAAAATTTATAAAATTATGTGATTTTTTTAATCTTTAATTCAATATATTTTAGTAGACCCATAGTATAGCATAGACTATTAAAATGAAATAATTTTTTCAAATGATTTCACATGTTTTACCGAGACAATAACATATTGCGACCGAGCAACCGAGTACAAGATTAAAAGACCAAAAACTCTAAAATTAGATAACACAACATTAGTAGAATCCACCTGTTATATAATAACGAGCCAAATTATCCTCTCCGTTGAACCGACTAGAAAGGATAGAAACTTAAATAAAAACTCGAAATCAAATCATTATCTATTATATCGTTTTAGTGTATTTCGGAAAAATAATTTCTCCGGATGTTAATAAGAACGAAGCTATAAAGTTTAAGTGGGGACGAAATCATAAAAATCATAAGGATAAACTTAAAAATGAGATAAATTAAAGAGAGATTGGAGAGCAAATATGTTATTTTGGAAGGGCCAAATGCATAACTATTATAAAAAATTGAAAATTTAAGAGCTAGAATTTTTTTATATATATATATATATAGAACTTTGGAGGTTGAAAACCCTCTCTCAAAATATATTATAGTACCGCTGCTAGATGTTGATCCTAAAATTCAAACTCGAAAAGGCCAAAAAAAAAAAAAAAAGTAAAGCTTTATAATCACTAGACGAACACTTAAAAGAGTTATTATTATATTGTTTCTATGTCTTAATTAATGAACCAGCCGAAAGAATAAGGATAGGCATAAAACAAATAAAAGTAAAAGGATCACACTAAGAAATTATTAATAGTGGAGGGATGATATATGTGTGCGTTACAATGCCAAACACATTCCGTGCTGCTTGTATGGTTGGCTGCACATGCTCAACGCAGGGGAGGCAAACTTGACCTTTTTTCAAAGTCAATTTTGGGGACACAAGAAAATTCCTTTTGGCAGCTATCATGTTATCATGTTTGAATCGTCGAAGGGCCATGCATCGGCTTCCTACGTCATAGTTACAACATCAAGCCAAGGTTGTCGTCTCCTATATATATCTCTGCTCCCAACCAATTCCAGAAAATTGCAAAGAAAAAACTGTACACTTTAACCTGAAACCAGATTACAAACATGTCTTCCCACCAACACACCATGTCAAATTTGTGTTCAACTTTGAATTTCGACGAGTATCAGTGGGTCATGAACATCAGTAGAGCGCTGGAAAAAGAGCTTGAGGATGATAATGAAGATCCTGTGAGCATTTTTACTGTTCCCAAAACCTTAATGTCTTCCCATCCCGACTCTTATACTCCACAACAACTTTCACTAGGTCCATACCATTATTCACGGCCAGATCTACATGAAATGGAGAGGTATAAGCTATCGGCAGCCAATAAACTGCAAGATCAACTTCGCAGCCGCAACTTTAAACATCTTGTCGTGGAATTGATGAAGCTTGAACAAAAGATCAGGGCATGCTATCACAAGTACTTTAATTTCAATGCTGAAACACTAGCATGGATGATGGCTTTGGATGTTTCATTCTTGCTTGAGTTTCTTCAAATTTATTCTTTAGATGAAACTAAAATGGTGTCGACGGTGACGACGTCACGAATGTGTCATTTGCTTGATTATTCGAAGAGAAAATCGGCTCATCATGTACTTCTAAGAGATATGGTGATGCTTGAGAATCAAGTTCCACTATTTATATTGAGGAAGGTACTTGAATTTCAACAATCGTCAGCTGAATCTGCTGATTGTATGTTGCTTTCCATGGTAAGAGGATTAGCTAAAGATCTCTCTCCTTTCAAGAAGGTCGAGCTGCCAAAGTCCAAGAAAATCTTGGAGCATTCCCATTTGTTAGACATCTTGTATGACATTATCGTGCCGAAAGTGGAAGAACCAATCGAGGTCGTACTTGAAGAAGTTGTGGATCAAATCGAAGCTGATCAGCAAGAAAGTAACGGATTTAGCTTTGATTCGAATTACGTGAAGGAGCTCCTGAAAGAGATTTGGAAAATAGTTTCACAACTAAAGATACGTCCAGTCCGTCTCATCAATAAGGTTTCATCATCAGTAACAATCAAGTTGAAATTTTCTTGGACAATCCTCTCTAGACTCCTGCATATATCAGATGATCTCAATGGCTCAGAAAATGAGGGCTCCAATGACAGAATTAACATGCCACCATTGGTAGAAGAGATCACCATTCCTTCCGTCACCCAGCTCTCAAATTCTGGTGTTTCTTTCATCCCCACTAAGGGTAACATCTCCACCATTAATTTCAACAAAGAGAAAACTGCATTTTACCTGCCCACAATTAGTGTAGATTTAAACAGTGAGGTGATGTTTAGAAACTTGGTAGCATATGAAATATCCAATGCATCAGGACCCTTGATTTTTACTCGATACATAGAATTGATGAATGGGATCATTCACAGTGAGGAGGATGTGAGATTGCTTAGAGAAAAGGGCATCATTGTGAACCGGTTGAAGAGTGACGAAGAGGTGGCCAATATGTTGAATGGGATGAGTGATTACAAGGCCATTAGATTGACAAAAGCTCCAATCTTTGATAAGGTGATTGAAGATGTGAACAAGTATCACGATAGCCGATTGATGGTCAAGATAAGAAAATTCATGAAGCGATCTGTGCTTTTTTCATGGCATTATCTCACGGTGTTCGCTGCCATTTTGCTCTTGATCTTATTAGCCATGGAATCGTTTTGCTCAGTTTTTACATGTTCTCGCATCTTTCACGTTCATTATATTTTCCAAGGCTAACTGATCATGTCCGTGTTGTTCTAGATATCTCTTGAGCTCTGCATACCATATAGGTAGTATATTTACGTCAATGTTAATTAATTGTTTAATTTTTTTATTTTACGAAATATTATTGTAACATCAAATCATATAAATGTTGATAATAGCTGGAGAATTTTTCTTAAATGATTAAATTCGGATAAATACAATTCAAGTGTACCTACATCATATTTATCAAATGACTCATCGATGCGTAACTGGTTAGCAAATCATGTTTTTTTTGTTTTTTATAAAAAAAACTTCGAAGATAATTTACCAAGGAAAGCCTTACATATTGTATTTAAGCTTATTCTACCTATGTGCAAGGTTTGTTGGTCCTTCCCTTTAATCACAAAATAAATGTTGATAATTACAATTGCTCAATCGTTCCCTTTTTTAAGGCTTAAATTAAGTACATAATGAACGCCATATTCATTGCCTTTTCATTTTCAAATCTCCAAAATTTTAGATTTTCCATACTCCATTTTAAACTCATGCTAATCCAAATAATGCTTGCTAAAATTGATTAAGATGATCATCAAGATGTACACTACTTCTGTAAATTACATCCGAACCCAATAGCAAATTTCTCTCTGACTCCAGCCTAGCTAAGCCATTCTTGAATTTTACATCGATATCACCGCTCTCTTGTTTGCGTCTTTCTTCAGGAAGTTAAAGCTCGAGAAGCACATAATATATAATTGTAACAGGCAACGCAACCACCATTCCAAAGATGACCCTATAGAAAATCAAACACGGAGAACTTGAATCCTTCAGCATTTGTTAACTAGCTAGCTAATGTGTTAGAAAAACTTTTCAAAGTTGTGTCAATTAAATTCAACATTTTAAATGCGCAGTCATGAATACTACAAAAGGATTGAACAACAAGATATCACTTAACTATCGTAGTAATACCTTAGCATTTTTTTAATATATATATATATATATATATATATATATATTCCTAACAAGTAAGTAGTAATTATATAATTTCAAGATGTACATATATTTTTGTTAGAAAGAAAATTTTGGTAATTAAATTGGAAAATACCATGGTATACCTGTTGAAGCATGCAGCAATGATATTGTCACGCTACAGAGCTGCGCTGGATTTGAAGAATCAATAACCAAAGAATCAGAGTTGGTGGGTACTTTACCATTTATTTCATCAGGTCTCAAATATCTATCAGAAGGATTAGAGGAGACACTTGGACTCCAAACAAACATGTGAAGCTCTTTGTTCGGTGATGCACCACTGTAGAACCTGGAAAAACAGCACCATTTTTCCTTTTCATTTCTTCCGCGAAATTTGAAGGAATCCATGGCACAGAATTTCTTGAAGATTGTACTGAATAAATATCACCATAACTATTAGTAGCATTTGTTATGTCAGGAAAATTTGTCTGGCTAAAACTTGAAGCTCTTGGTGTAGGTTCTATAGAGGATTGTACTGAGAAAACCTCCACGCCGAAGAAATTTGAAGCTCTTGGTGGAATAACATTAAATATTGAGTTCATTCCATCGAATCTATCGTACGATGAAAACACTGAGGATCTTGTACTTGATCTTCTCACCACCAAATGAAGCTTTCCATCATCGATCACCGATCTCAGCATCCGTCTTGAATGGTTCGTGACCACTGAGAGACAACATCCGAATCAACCTTGAAAGATGAAATAGAGGCAGCTGTTTCAGGAAATTTCTCAGCAATGAGTCTCTTTGCACCTCTATATTCAAACATGAACAACATCAAAGTGTACCAAATTGCACTCTGCAAGAACACTATTTGAACCATAAGAGGTGATGTGAATTCTCCATACATGGACTTCAAAAGAGGGACACCCATGACAAGAGTGTTAGGAAGAGTACAAAGAGAAAAAAGAGTGATTGTCCAGACAAGTTCACCACGAAGAGAATCACCAGAATCACCACCTTTTGGAGAGAATCGGCAGCAATGAAGCGTACGTAAGTTCATTTTATAAGGGTTATTAGAACATATAAAATGAAAGGAGTTGCAAAAACTGCAACAAAACGATTGATGCCTGTGCACTGTTCTGGTGTAAATATTTTCCACCATCTCACTGAACTAGCTAATAACATTGCAACATAGAGAGGAACCAGGGCTGCAAGAACCTGGTAAACGTCCTTACCGGCAATCATGATTAGCACAGACGCACTTGATCAACTAATTAGAGATTACAATGAAATGTAAAATTATAAGTATATTGTGGGATTTCTTATTTATTTTTACTGGAAAAGGGAAATTATGCATGCAAGGGAAATTAGTTGTTTTGATTTTCTTTTCTCTTGCCAACGAGATCATTAGTGGTTGAGAGAGGATGCAGGGGGAAAAGGCAACTGGTTTTTCATCTTGTCTATCCATCAATTGTTTTTACAATGGGATCTTATCTTCTTCCTTTTTTCAAAAAAAAAAAATTCCTTTAGTTTTAGGCATTTTTCAATGCCATACCCATAGCAAGAAAGAAATACTATATATATATGGAATTGGACCATTTGCTTTTAATTACTTTTCCTTTTCTTTAGTGTTTTATTATATATCGTCGCATCAATTTAACTTGTTAGGTAAATTTTCAAATTCAGATTACTTGATGATTCACGAAGAATGCTCAGGTTCAATGCATTTGAACTTATAATACCTTTAAGAGGTTTTTCTAAAAAAATTTGCTGATTTCTTTGATCTTTTATACTCAAATTTTGGATTCAATATTCATGAAAATTTATTAAATTTCTCTAAATGCACTAGCTAGGCGTGAAAGACACATCTTTAAAATCGTTTGGAGAGAGATTTATTTTTTATTGACATGCAAACTAATCCAGAAATTCTTTTATATATTATCTAGAAAAAAAAAAAAAAACTCATAATCTTACATACATTCATATGGTAGAGTTATATAAACAACTTTTTTTTAATTGATTAAACTTTTTGTTTTCTAGTGATTGAGATAATCACAAATGAGTTTATCATTTTACATTGAAGACGTCACTTACTTTTATCTCACATGCATAATTAAATAGAGGATCTAGTTGCTAAAAAGGAAAAATTACAAGGGATTACTTGCCAAAAATTTAAGAATAAAGAAACTATCTAGAATCTGATTTGGTTAACTTACATGGAAATTTTATTACATGCACCTACTTTTTCATATGCACATACAGGATGATACACATTGATATCTATAAGATTTTATTGAATCTGTTTTTAGAGTTCATGAAAATTAGACACATTTCTTATTATTTACTTATACATGCATGTAACTACCGTTGTAAAAAACAAAAATATTTATTGAGGTTTTTCTTCCAATTTTTCTATTTTCTTCATCCAAGTGGCCAGATTGACTTTCTATTTGTGATTCTTGAAAATTAATATCTCCTACAACTTCACGGATTGAATTAGTTAATTAGTTTTCGAGAAAAGAAAAAGAAAAGTTGACTTCATAGATATTGTTTGCTAGTAAAAGAACAATTATGACATATCACTCTTACATATATATATATAACAAAAAGATTAAAAAAGTAACATTTCATATCTGACTTGCATTGGATTGTCTAGGAATCATATTAAATGCACATCACTTTCCGACAAACTATGAAATCTTTAAGTGATCTAAGCTTTAGAAGATCCAACCATGTCTTTGATTTGGCATTCACCAAAAGTCAGAGCTTTTTCATGAAGGTTGGCACTACGTGTCTAAACTCTAAACCAGAGATGCCTTTCCCACCGCAGACAAGACAAGAAGAATCAAAGAGACGTTGATGCCACCGTCGACTCTCCTTCGATAAGAATCCGAAACAAGGAAATTCCAGAAAAAAGAAAGGCAAAGGAAAAAAAACGAAAGAAACTAATTGAGGTCTCTCTTCAACAAACACCTGTGATATCCTAAATTTATTCTAGATTTTTACATTTTAATTGCCATTCTTAAGTTTAGAATGGCAATTAAAATGTATCTGCTCTTTTGAGAATAGAGCTTAGAATGTGATTAAAAGTTGCTCTATTATGGCTTAGATTTTTTTTTTTTTAGATATCCATATCACATTAAAAATAGGACTAATCCTATTCAAAGCAAAAGCGACAAGATCAAAACCCTTCCAATAAATGCAACTACAAATCCTACACATTAGAATTTCCTAAAATACAACTCGCTTACCACTAGACCAACAAGTTACTCTTCTGCGGCTTAGATTTCAATCTTTGCTTTCAGTATTAAATTTTCATCATTAGCTTAGAAATCGCCCCTGCAGACCAAAACCTGGTCCGAACTTCAAGAATCAAATAACTACTATTCTCGCAAGACTTGGGATTAGATCACATTAATCTTCTCTACCAACTTCAAACTTTGCTCTTAACACCTGGTAGTAGAAATTTTGAACTGAAGGCAATATAACCATTTCAACATCCAAATGAGATAACCATTAGTTCAAACCTGAAAGTCTTTAAAATCCTCTATAAAAATAAATAATAAAGAAAGAAAAGAAAAGAAATGAAAGTAGATAAAAATAAAAGAACAGAGGGAACATTATAGCAACAATTTCTATTACATACACAAGCACGATTAGCAGCCTTTGACACCGCTTCTCAACCCATCTAGAGGGGCAGTAAAAAAGAATCTTGAAATGAAAGCAAAATTGCATTGTACAGAATCATTGTACAGAATCAAACACAGGACAAAATTTTCTTTTATGTTAAATGAAAAAGCTGCGTGTGCGGGAGTAAAAACCAGAGTCGCTTCTCTCTTTCCATTTCTTTTTCCCAAAAGAGTTGACACTAGAAAAGGGAATGATAGACCTTTGATCCTCTTTCAATACTATACCATTTTGTAAAGTTGGGGAGTAAATAGCAAATGTCAACTCATCAGTTTTCTGAGTCTTTTTTCCGCATGACTAGCTACCTTATTTTGTGGTTCAAGGACAAGGGCATGCTTGAAATCTGTGAATTTGAGAAAAGATGCTTCTTGTAAGAGGGGCGTGGAATAAAATATGAAAATCAACATATTCAAATATCAATTCTAGAATGCATGACTGAACATCCTCAAACAACTCAATCTAATTCACAGTAATAAAAGATTTAACTCCTGCATCATAGAAATTCGGTAGAATACATGTCAAATTAGAATAACATTCATAAACATGGAGAACATGCTGCTCAATTCACATACTAGACTCAAAACAATAAAAAACTGGGAGTTCAGAACTCACCTTGAGCTGCGTCTTTATAGTAGAGAAGTGATTCTCTAGCTGTTCCACGCCTCAGATATGCCTTCACATTCTGCAAAAAAATAGCGAAACATTTTAATACTTCCATTTATGAGCACAGTATGATTCTCTACATGCAAAGGCATTTTGCAATATCCTATTCCAACAATTTTAGATAAAGAACAATCATCTTGTTCAACAGAACCTATATATCAAGACCAAAACAACTTTTTCATGTTCTGAGTTTCTATAGGCATACAACCATAAATCAAAGCTTAAGTGGTCAGAAAGCTCAACTGCATTGAGAATTCCAAGTATTAGAGTAAGCATTAGCATTCATTCATGATTTCAAAATCCATAAATGCCAGATGTGCATAAGAAAACAAAATGGCGCTATTCAAGTAATTGATTTCCCCAAAATTCATGAAACAATAGACCACTACCATAATAATCAAATATAAATTCCTTACTAACTGGATCCCTGATCAAATACATGCATTTTTTTATTTATTAATCTTGTCCCCCCATTTCTGTAATTTACCTGGACATATTGAGGAAAAAAGTATGACTGTAAATAAACACGGAAATCTTTAGGCAAGGGTCTGCTAAAGTGAAATTCTGCTTTTGGTTGGAAAGTACACTAATCTTAGGTGAGATGCAAGGGTGTCTATAAATGTTGAGGATTATGCATATAGCAAGGGCCTGAGGAGATAGCAACAAGAAACGCAGCCACAAAATAACTGATTTTACAGATCCATCACCCACTTTCAGCCAATGCTGAATGACACACACATCAAGAAATAAATAGACAGAACGGAGCCATACTTATTGTTTCCATAGATGGTTGCTTCTCCATCTAGAGAGACCTTAGTTACATGTGTATATCATCAATTTTTTTATTTTTGATGGAATATATCAACAATATTGACAAGTGCAGACAGCATGCTAATATAGCAAGGAAAGCAAAAAGTGTGGACCAAAGTTTGCATTGGGACTCTTAGCCAACAGAACAAACAAAATTGGAAGTTTAACCAATTATATAACAAGCACCATTGGAGCCGCTTTGACCTGCCATGATAAATGGCTACAAGAATACAATCTCATAGAAAGATGGTTGCAACAATTTGTCCTGTCACCTTTTTATCCAGTGATATTGCCTCATTGCAGTCTTGTTCAGCTTTCTGGAAGCTGCATGCATTCAAATCAAAAGTACAGCAAGCACTCAGAATAAAACATTACCGTAAACATAGCTCAAACAAACTATCATACCATCCCAATTGTAAGTAAGCTGCTGCCCGATTGGAATAGTAAGTTGCATTTGCCCCACTCAGTTTAATAGCTTCACTGTAGTAATTAACAGCCTTATTCCACTGCTTCCCCTTATATGCAGCATTGCCCTGCCATATTTTCAATTGTCAGTAAAAAACTAAAACACATATCTAAACATCTTTTCTTCAGCATTCTTTTGCATTTTACAGTACATGTTGGCACTCAGGACCACAATGAACTATAGATTCACAAAGGACACTTCTCTGAAGCATAAACAAATACGGTAATGATAAGATAGTTTATTTACCTCCCTTCTAAATTATGGCAGGTCGAGCATAACATTTATGTCCAAGTAGATAGGTAAAAGGAGTAAAACTCTGGAAAATTTTGTGAAATGCATACGAAGACTTTTTATGGAAACTATGGTGAAGATTATCATAGAGAATTACACATCACAAAACCTCCAGTTGATCAGCAATATTTCCAACGAAGTTCTAAAATCAGAAAAATAGAGACCTTAAGAAGAGATATTCAATTAATTACGAAACCTATAATGTTGTTTTAAACACCCATGAGACATCTCATTACTTGTGACAAATCTACTGAATCTGAAACCGTATCTAAGACACCATTTGTATGAAAGGCATAGAATGCTGGCTCCAAACTGCAATATTATATCGCTTCACATCCAAGTGCATATAATTGAGGACCAGCTATGTGGGAATAGACTTTACCATTTTATTTTATTTCGTAGTTTTAGTCGGGTTTGCTTTGCAAGGAGTTATTGTCATTCACTTTCCTTGTTTACAATGGTTTCTACTAGGGCTTTGGTGCCTATTTAACAGCAACACTTTTATGTTTTATCAGACTTTGATATTGAAATTAAGAATCACTTTCAAAACTACTATTACTGTCTTCTCTCAGCCCTCTCCTACAGGGTTACTTTCAGTATCTTCTATTATTTCATCCCTCTTCTATAGGGATTTCTTTTCTCCTCTACTTTAATTTCTCTCCTATGGAGAATCATCTCTACTTGTTTATAATCTGTAGCCTGAGCTACATCAAGTAGTATCGGAGCTATGTTACTCGCATAATGTCAATGCAAAGCCTCAAATTTTACAGATTGTTACTTGCCAGGAAGAAATTAAAGTACTTATCTGCACAAATTACAATAAAATGCAGTGGCGGGGCGAAAAGTCAAGAGAGTTGAAGAAGCTAATGATCTATTATTATACCAATTCTGTTTCAATTGTAAGTGATCCTATAAAAAAATTACTGTTCATGAGTGGCACCAAAAGCACTCTCCTGCTATTCTTGCTCTCGCACGCTGAACCATAATGGTAAGTTAACTAATCAAGAAAAAGTAAAGCAACAAACTGAAGCCTTTATGTTGGATCAGTTGCAAAGGATGCCACACTTTTTATACAAGTTTCACTGATGGACCATGGTAAGGTTTCATACTGCAATTGTATGCATGGATTGTTAAGCTTCTGTTAAGTTACAAAACATTTGTTAAATATCAGAATTCAAGAATTATAGCATGTAAGCAAACAATATCGAGCAAATTGGCTCACGAGAAAAGGTGCAGGGAGTGAACGAGGGAAAAAGGAACTTTATGCAAGGATATTTTCATAACTTGAACTAATATTCAAAATCACAAGAAACTGTTTGTGAACCTACCTTTTCTTTCAAGAGTTCTGAAGCATCGATATCTTCGTGAGTTTCCAGCAATGGTGCTGAACTGAAAACAAAGTTGACTTGCTCTTTAAGAGATGAGTGCATATCCAACACTGTATCAAGAAGAAACTTGTCCCCACCATGAAATGTGATAAATGAAACAGAGATAGGACAACCATCTTCCTTTCCCAATGGAATAGTAACCTGAAAGCAAGATGCAAAAGTACATGACAAAGTTAATAAGATATAATCACACAGATGAAAGCTGAAACTTTATATCACCAAGTCACCTGACAACATCCAGACATGCTTGCAATGCTCGAAAGTATCAATGCTCCGTTGAGAGACTCAACAGTATCTCGTTTCTTTGAGTTAAGTTTCAATGGTGGATCAGCAACTGTTGGAATAACTAAAATTCCATCGTCCTGGCAAAAAATAAAAATAAATAAGAGAGAGAGAGACTATGAAGCATTCCATCATCCTGGCACCTAAACTCAGCACAGAGGTCAGGTTGGTTTTGGGTCATTTTCCAACCAATTTGACTTTGTCACAGACTAAACTTTGCATAAACCTAACATGTCAAGTAAAACATAAAAAAAAATGATAAGGTTAAGTTAAGCAGTGGGACAGGCATCTGAATGAGAACAGATGAGTAGTTAGGCAGGTGGTAAAAGTTGACAAATAATTGATTTAGGCCCAATTCTCGGGGGAAAAAAGAGAAATTAACGTTGTTTTAGATAATTATTGGAATATTTTTAAGTGGTGGTTGGGGTTTTGCAGTGCTTAGCATGCATAATAGTCATGGCTGTCACGAGTGTAAATTGATCACTATTTCACTAGAAACGACAAATAAAATATTTTGAAGTGAATAAATATCTCAATTTTCATGAAAAAGATTTTCCTCGTTATACAATCAAAAAATTTCATCAATTTAGCTTAACATGCACTAAACAAAGAGATTTGACCAATCGTTCTTTAATTGACCATTTGAGTATTAAAACCATTTGACCAACAAATTTCCCAGGTACATGCAAACAGTCCGGTTCACAGGTACCAGGTTAAGCTTGAAACAAAGTCTACAAGCATAGCCCAAGCAAGAAATCGGTTCCACCTAGCAACATAAGGAATTGAAACCAAGACGTGTGAGTATAATCCACACTGCTCTAGTAGACACATAACTTTAGGCCAACCCAACATGGTTGGTTCTAACTAACAATAATTACAAAAGCAAAAGACTAGAATAACCTAAAACAAATTTCAATTGTAATGGCCATGACAGCCCATACAGAATGTAACAGCCATAGCAGTGATCATGAATGTGATTCTCAAACCAATGCTGGATAGCAGCATCAAAACCTTCTCATTCTGTTATGTAACTGCCATCATTTGATTCCGTGACTATTGATAAGTCGTTTGGCATGAATATTTGAAGTTCAAAATCATCAAGGCATTAACTGATATATCCAATCAGTTGTTCATCAATTTAAAACTACTTGCATCTCCTCTGAAATAACCAATTAGAAGGGATTGGGAAGTTGAAGGAACATCCATAGATATATAGCTTGTAAAATTTATACCCATTTAATCCTGATAGCATGAGATTGGCCAAACTTGCATTTGAATGTGTTTGAAAGAGAGACTGAGATGGGCAAGTTTATGACATGTTAAAGCCTAAAGGTGCTTTACATTATCTTCAAATGATTCTATAATTACTCAATGAACGATGCAGTTTAGAAACAACAGTAAAATTTTCAGAAGCATAAGGTTAGCATAAATTTTCAGACAAACCGTGAAGAATTAAAACTCTTTTGTCTGAATGTATAAGAGGATTCTTGTGTCAGAACATATAGTTGCACATAGAAACTGATGGCCAACTTGATTTATGGTTACGAAGATTTATCTACTATGGAAAATCAAAACCAAGTAATGTGATTCTTCATCAAGAAAGAGGATTTCTAGTCTAGACTTAAGTTATGATAAGTTTCTTAGTTGAAAGGATTGAATTTCAGTTATAAGCAATTTCTATGAAGGGGCAGAATTGCAATTACTGCAAAACAAGGCTATTTTGGTAATTTTAGATTTACTAGACAATCTGGTCTAATTTAGGAATTTGGTGTGTTAAAGTCTCTAATAGTTTGTTCATATTTAGTTGCTTTCCTAGTCAAGTAAGGATTAGTAAAGCTAAATCTATTTTATTACCTAGTCCAATAAGAGTTCTAACTCTATAAATAGAGATGCAATGTCTTATTTTCATTGGAGCTGAAGTGTGAAATAAAGTTGAGTTTTAAAGTTATTTTAAGGCTTGTGCCTAGGGTTTTCCTCTCCCATTCTTCCATTTTTCTTGTTCTTCTTTCTAACTTTAATATTCTGCATCTACAGTGCTGTGAGTTACTTTCCACAGCCTGGTTCTAATCCTATTTTTTATTTTAAACAACTCCTGTTCAATCCTAATTCCACATAGTACCGTGAATCTTTTGTGGGACAAAAAACCTAAGTTATCCTACATCAGGAACCTGAAAGTTACTTAAGAAACTTCAACATACCAGAAAGCAGACAAGCATGACAGCTAGAATTGAAACCCATCTTGCTGACATACTAAGAGAAAAATCCAAACAAGAAGCTAGGGTACCTTTAAGAGACTTTGAAGGGAAGCTCGCAACTCTTTCCTGATATCATATAGGGCCTTTATGTTCTCATGTGTAGTGTTAATAGCTGCAAGAACATTATTAGAGACATCAGGTGCTAACTTGGGTTTCACTGATTTAACCCATTCTTCATGATTTGTTTTGAATTCATGTCTGAAAGGCAATAATATGCATAGAAATGTCAGTAAAAATGGAAATGAGGCTCCAATTAGAGTGCAATAGAAGCACAACAACTTAAAAATTCAAGAACAGCAGTCTGGGGAGTACTCTGTCAAATGTCACTTGGACAGCACAAGAAAAATACAAACTTAAACATATACTAACATTTTGGAGAATATTAGAAACAAAAAAAAAAAAATGTTAAACATTAAGAAAAACTTCAGAAGATTATGAGCCAATGTATCATGATCTTAATGCAAGACACAAAAGGGTCCCATCAATCCAATGGCTCATGTGTATTCTTTAAGTTTTTTCTTCTTGATTTTCTTAATGTTTAGCATTACTCTATTAGAAACATTTATTGGTTGTTTGGAAAATGAGGAGTTGCCACTGGTAAATATAAACCTTGGATAACTCTCAGAACAAGTGGGTAATGAGATGTTTCAAAGAGAAAATTGAAAGAAATACCTTGAAGCTAGCCTCTGGCAAAATTGGGGAGCTCTAATCTGAAAACAATCACTACGAGTTTTGGGAACTCAGCTTCATCTAGGACGTTCATAATTCAAAAATAAATGCGCACTTTAACCTTTTCATACATTTAAATGCCCTACTGGCAATGGTGGATCCAGACCATATGAATAACATGTCATTATAGAGGTCTAGATTCTAAAAATCAAAAGGTTATTTATGAGACTTTAACCAGGCTCAGAAGCATGCTTAATATTCATCAGCTTATTTATAAGACCCAAATCTTTGCAACAACAAGGTAAGCACCAATATCATCCATCTCATAGGCAATGACATGCATGGTCAGCATCTGTCTCATTAGACAGAAAGCCTTAAGCTTCTCCCAAACTATGGGGATCTCGAGATCTCTATATAATGTGAATGATCTCCTATGGACTCCAAGACCCTAAGATCTAGAAAACCACAAGCTTCAATCATGCTTCCTTTGCTCAAAGGGCCAAGTAAAAGACTAAATGAGTTTGATATAGATAACAAATGAAATATCATGTAGAGTCTCTGCACCTTTTCTTTTTCTTTTTTCTTTTTTTCTTTTTTTTTTTGGTAATTGACATAAAGCTAAAAACACAAGCCCCTTGAAGGAATTTTGGAGGGAGAAATTGCAATGGGACAAAGGAAGCAACATAGGACATCTAACATGATTTTTCAAAAACAATAAATAGTGATGAGTTTGCACATTTCATTAGATTTGGCTGAATAAATACCCAAGCAACCTAAGCTCTTAAAATTTTGCATTAGGACATGTCCAACACAAATCTTGAATGCCTTTTGCTGAGTTCTCCTCTTTTTCCATAACAACATTTTTAGATAAAAAAACCAAAAAAGTTTATCAAAACAGGAAAGAATTTGATAGGGCACGTTGGCAGCAGCCCCCAAAGGTCTTTAGAAGATGTTCTAAGAATAACTCCAATGCTCAAGCACTGATTTGGCACATGGCTAATGATGGAAAACTTAGTTGGGAACTTGAATAATTGATAAGGGTATTTTAATAATTTCAGATCTGCTGAAAAATCTGAAATTATAGTATTTCTGTTTAAGTATTTTATTAGTCCTGAAGTTATTAAGTTTTCCTATTCTAAAATAGGAATAGTTATAGGTTTTCCTAGTCTAATTAGGAATAGTTATGTTGGAGGTTTAGGAGTCCTTGTCCTAATTAGATTTGGACTTCTACAATATAAATAAAATAGCAGTCTTTCAATATTCAGTATGAAATAATATCAAATAATTTCTAGCAATTTGGTTTTGATTGTGTGACTCAATCTCCCTTAGGTGTGACTCCTAGAAACCCTATTACTGTGACTAATAGTTTGATTACTCCCAGTAGAAATCCACATTAATACAGACCTATGCAGCCCTAAACAGCCTCCAAATTCAGATGCAGAACAGCCCCCTAAGCTGTCCTGCATCAGAATTTCAAAAAGAAACTTCAAAGAATCATTTTATCAAACTGTTCCTGCTATTCCAATGGCATGCGCAAGTACTTACATGGACAGAATACCAGACCAGTAAATCATAAGCCAATCACTTATTTTTGTCAATTCACTGGCCACAACAATCATGGATTTATATTGGCAGCCTCAGTAAGAGATGGAACTCATTTTTAGAAGAAAGCAAAAGTCTTTGAGCAAAATCATTCATTCCTAAAAACAGCACTAATATTATTCTAGCATTTACTGCCTTATCATTAGCAATTACTTTTATACATCCGCAATATCTTTCAGGCATATAAAACCAGGATAGTTAAAGATTTCTAAATGTCACCATCTTACATCCCCAGCGCTATCGGACTTTGCCATCATAGGCAGAAATTACACATTGTGTTGGCTGGATTTCAAACAATGCTCCACATGCTAAAGGAGCCATGACAATAGAACCTTAAATGAGAACACAAGCATAAATTCATAACTGCTATTAAGAAAAATAGAATTTTTTTTTTAAAAAAAAATACAAATTGAAACTCAAAACTGTCAGTTTTAATAATTCCTAACATTCAGCACGCATGTACCCTGACAGAAAGAACATTAAAAGCAAAGCAAAAATTTCTCAAGTACCTTTGTAATGAAACCATTGCAGAAGAGAGAGCTTTCAAATTAGATACTCCATTTTGCAGGTTCGTTGATTGTTCAAGGAACGCTTTTAGACTCGGTACATTTGAAGCAATATGCTGACCAAAATTCATATGCCTTGGAGGCTGGTCTGTGCATTCAACAAAACATTCAGAAACTTCAACATGAATGCAATTAAAGTAAATCAAAGAGCATTATATGGTAATGAAGTATAATGTTGATGATGACACAATAAGAAAAACAAAACCTGAAACAGGAACATAACATGGTACATGTCAGTCTTGCAACTTACATCCAGATAGATTTTCGATGGCTTTGCTAATAACACCTTCAGCCTTCTGTTTGGGAACCTTAGAAAGCTGAAAAAGATCATCAGCAAAAATAAGACGTCTTGACCTTCTGGGTTCCACAGTATTTAGTTTGAGCAAAGCATGTCCAACACGAAGCAATATAGAGGGATCACGTGCAAGCCATCCTGAAACAGCCCATGTTACCGGGTGAAGAAACAGAAAAGCAGGAAACTCAACAACATAACTGAAACAAGGAGAAAATAATTAAGTCCAGAAAGATCTTGAATAACTGGTTAATTAGTATGGTGCTACCAACTAAAAAATGTGATGGTTATTCAAAATGGTCACATTTCATATAAACAGAGCTGATTGGGAGCACATGCATTCACACTGATGCAGACATCACTTATAAGTAAAGATGACTCTCGTCCACTTCTCTTTACTGTGATTGAACTCGTTAAAAAAAGAAGTTCATGATTTCAGTTGCTCAAGAACATTACTGCAAACTAGTAAAATAGGAAAGTGCACATTGAGACTGTGATCTAAAATAGTATGAGAAATTCGCAGCAAAGTGCTCCCAATTTTTGCTCAAACTAGCATGACCACAACCATCCAAGACAAACAATTTTAAATTAGTCTAGAAGCAGTTTGGCTCATTTATATCCGTGTCTTCTGCAAAGCGCTACGTATAATGTCCATACCAACAGTGTCTAAACTTCGAGAATTAGGCAAAACACCAATCATGGATACAGCCCCATGGGATGGTCTGTAGCTGAGGAGACCACAAAATGCTGCCGGAATTCTAATGCACCCAATTGTATCAGTACCTGTAAGATAAAGTGGACCGTTAAAATCAATCATGTTATTAACATGCAACATCGTGTGTAAATTTTATAACTCAATAAATTAGCATACAGGCTAGAAAAGATTTTCTACAAGCCAAAAGAAAAGGAAATGTCAGATAGCCTACCTCAAATATGTTATGGAGTTAAAACAAATGCATGAGTTACTCTCACTAAGATAAATATGCCTTTTTCTAATATTTTTGTCCATTCTGTCAGAAACCAAAAACACAGATATGACTCATACTTGACGCTGCCAATGAGATTTCCAAATAATAATTTTGATACCACAACAGAAATGTTCAAACTATTTCCAGAATCAAGCAAGTGTTTTAGACAACTGTGCAAAGAAAAGAACGAAGCAAGTCATTTGAACACAAGTTTTCTGGGAGAACAGTTCATCATACAACTGTCAATTAGTATTGATTGAGCATATGCCATTTAAACGAAGGAACTTTCTTTACCTAAAGCAAAATCAACGAGCTCAGCGGCAACAGCCACAGCTGAACCACTAGACGAACCTCCGGGGACATGGGTGGGCAATTTCGGATTGACAGGAGTTCCGTAATGCATATTTTCACCAGTCATCCTAATGTAACAAGGAAAACAATAACTCGTAAATACCATTTCTGTGTGCGGGTGACGAAATGAAATAAATAGAACACTGACATTTCATTACCCGAATGCTAATTCGCCGATAACTGTCTTTCCAACACAGACAGCCCCATTCTTTAACAGAGCAGTCACTGCCACTGCCGTCTTCTCGGCAGCCTCATGCGTCCTTGCCCACTCTGGATTCCCAAAACCCGTCACATACTCCTTCAACTCAAATCTGCCAAATTTATTTAATTTATTAATATATATATATATATATATATATATATATATATATATATATATATATATAAAAGGGGAAAAAAAACAGAATTAATTAATAATAAGAATAAAGTAAAGAAGACAGGCAAACTACATGTCGTTGATGGCAAAAGTGAGTCCAGCGAGGGTTTGCTTGGCGGCCGGGGGAGGAGGCTGAGGGAAAGGGAGAATCTGGAATCTTTGAACGAAGGCTCCAAAGTCTTCTTTAATAATGGCTTTACGTCCCCTCCGCCTCCGCTTCTCTGCCAACACCACCATCCCAGCTGCCACTGTCACTCCGATCACCAATACCCACACCTTTGGGTTCATTGTGTTTCCTTTTACTGTATTCATTTTTGTTATGGGCAGATACAAAGAAACTGATTCGCTGGTTTTTTATTTTTTTATTTTTTTATTTTTTTTGATGAAGAAGAGGAGGGGTTTTTGGAGGGTTTTAGAAGAGGAGGAGGGGGATTTTTTGATCGGTTATTAGTGGGTGATGCTATCCTGCGCCTAAAGTTAAGGTTAAAATTGAGGTTGGCGGGCCGCGTGACCATCACGCTCGAATGTTCTCTTTCGGTTTTTCCTAATTCCCCGTGGCAATAGCCTAACCATGTCGACCCGCGAAATCCCTAGAAGGGAAAAAAGAAAAACAAAGCGGTGGCATTGTGCCCCTTACGACCCTAATATTAAAACCGTAATTTTTAATATTGTGTAAACTTTTATACACAAATTTGAATAGTTAATTCACTTTGTAGAAAATTGCCCTCGCTCTAAAAAGAATAACATTCTAAGTTGTTGAGTAAATTATTAATGAAAATTTTTTATAATTTTTAAAAATCAATGATTTTGAATAAATGTATAAATTATTTCAAAAAGAACTATCTAATATAACACACTTCATAACTCAAAAAAAAAAATACCATTAAAAAATATTTAATGTCGAGCTAATCGTTTACACAAATATTGCAAGATGGTCCGATTTTAATTATTCATTTGTTGGTAAATTTAATTTAATTTTAACCATGTTTTATATCATAGTATATAAAATATAATTTTTTTATTTGATGATTTATTTTTATAAATGTAATTTCAAGTATTAGTGTTGTTATGTTCAATAGTGATCAGTGCTCGAGTTACATTATTATGTTCAAAGAAGATTGATTAGTTGACCTTTGACATGTAGTTGATTAGTTCACCTTTGACATGCAGTTGTAAAAGATGACATGATGAAGCATCCGAGGAAGTGGCAAATTACTATAGGAGTAACTATTGAAGCTTATTTTATAAGATAAAAATAAATACAAACATAAAAAAAAAAAAAACAAAAGAGAAAAATTTCAAAAAGAAAATTTAAGTTTAAGTGAAAATATTTTTATAATTTTTTATGAATTTGGATGTAATTTTTTTTATCTATCTCTTTATTTAAAAATTGGTTCATAAAATACCTATTATATACTTACCATAGTTATTCCTAAAATATTTTAAAATTTATCTCATGCCAATGGCAATAGCAACCAATGCCTGATCTTTATATAAATATTTGTTGTTCTATGTTATGTTTCCTCAACCAAGTTATCTTATTATTATCTTTATAATTCATACTTTAATTGGAAATATTTTATTAAAAAAAATACAAAAAACAGTATTATTGAATGTTGCCATGGACATCTCTACATCCATTACAATATACAATCTCATAAAAAACTGATAGCATACTTTCTACTTTTAATTGCAAGCTTTGCGTTTTCTTAACATATACTTGTACAATTACGAGGACAGACTGAAGTTGTTGGAATATTTTGGTAGATGCAGTTTAGTTTTATGCATCTGAACATATGCAGTTGGTAGAGATTTTGCCATGTGCTCTGGTGCTCTACATCTTGTGAAAGTTACCTCCAAAGCGTATCTTCGACAAAGCAATGAATTTTAAGTTACTGTAATTATCTGGATTCTAGAGTAACCCGTTAGGAAAATTAAGCTTGAGAGAAACGAGAACAAAAATGAAAGGTGTTAGTGGATGATTTAATGATTTGCTTGAGAGATTGTGCAATCTTTTCTTTTATCTCCTGTATATTTCTAAATATCTTTTATACAATGAATTGCGTTATTGCTAAGAACATTCTTCCATTAAAATCTCATTTTATGGGATTATCTTCGTTTGCCATTTTTTTCCCTACCATACTAGTAGGTTTTGATATGCTTCATTACAGTTTCCAGTGTGATGTATAAAAAATTACTTATGTTTTTAGGTCATTATTTACAAGTTTTTTTTTTTAGAAGTCAAGAATATGTTGGCAAGATTTGACTCAAATTAATTTCTTTGAATCACAATCCATTTGTAAATATTTTGGGATTAACGGTTTAATGTGGTTTTTTATAATGTAGTATGTTTTTATATTCTTAATTGACTTTATTTTATCATTGAATATTTATTAAATTTGTAATATAATTTTGTGCTGTGATTTTCATGCCAATTTAACAAAATTTGTCACGTGATTGCTATATAATTATTTTTATTTTAAAAATGCTTCCGTTCTAGAAATTAATTATATTTCAATTTTAAAAATCACGTTATTAATATTTCAGTTGGTTGGTTCAAAAATCTTATTAAAATAATACATTTAAAATTTTGTGTTTATTCAAAAATAAAATTAATTTAATTAAAAATACAATATAGAATCTGATTAAAAAGTTATCTAAAGTCGAGAGTACGTTGATGAAACGGAACGTTAGCGGGAACCCAAATGCTAGGGTAACATAAGCCTATTTTAGAAAATGGAATCTTCATTAAAAAAACACCAGACTAACCGTGTTTTGACCATGCTTCCACGTCAGTCAAAATTGGAAGCTGTGCTGGCTTCTGCTCCGTTGAGGCCCATATCAATATCCAGGTGAATGATAAAATAAACGTGGAGATGAACTAGCAGTAATTTATTTAAATGCATTTGGACAAATAAATAGAGAGAGGAGAGAGAAGGGAGAATTTGTTCGAAAATGGAGTCTACATTGGCTATCTCGGCGACGACATTGCCTCTCTTCACCATATCCAAAGCCCTTAACCGTCATTTTATCACTAACAACACTCGTTCCTTCCTCCGCCTCTCCTCGACTCAACTCGTCGCTCGCAGACTCAGTTCCATCTACTCACACAACAACGACGCACTTACTTCTTCTGCTTCTTTGAAGGGCTTGTGCACTGTGGTTCCACTGCTACGCCAGCGTTCGCAGTGCGTTTCGAGCTCTGCGGCTTCTTTCGGGACCTCGTCCGGCGGAGGGGGCGGAGGAGGAGGCGGCGAGTTCGGCAGCGGCGGAGGGGGCGGTGGATCGGATGGTGGAGATGCGGAGTCGAAATCGGTTGCGGGAGTGGTGGGAGCGGAGGGGGTTTCGGTGCTGTCGTCGGATGTTATCATACTCGATGTTGGAGTAAGTTGTTTCTATAGCGAATTATTATTACTATTATTAGGGGATTATAGAAAAAGAAAAGAAAAGCTAAAACCCAATGACTGTGGTGGCAGGGAATGACATGCGGAGGATGTGCAGCTAGTGTCAAGAGAATACTTGAAAATCAAGTAAGATCTCATTTTCTTTCCTTTGATTGTTTTGACGGTGTAATTATTTGTTGTTGCTTCATTTGCTTGCGTTGCAAAACAAAACCTAAGAATGTGACTAAAAAGCTCAGTTGGAGAAATCTTTTTAGTGATGATTCTTAAGAATGCTCTAATTTTTAATTATTTTATTGTTCTTATTTATTTATTTTTATGGAGGCAGAGCAAGGTAGAAAAGATTTCATTAGGTTGATTTTGACAATAGGATATGGAAAGGTGAGAGAATCTTTATCCTGACAAAAAATATTATATCCCAACGTGATTCAGAAGTTTGAACGAACTATTCTTAATTTATGAGAGTTTTTGGATACAAAGCACAAAAGAATCAATGCATGCCCTTTCTGCTTCCAATTTGCAGCTTCTTGATTCTGTAATCATCATCAATGTTCTTTTGATGGACAGCCACAAGTATCTTCTGCTAGCGTCAATCTCACTACAGAGACTGCAATAGTGTGGCCAGTATCTGAAGCTAAAGTTGTACCCAACTGGCAGAAACAGCTCGGCGAGGCACTTGCAAAGCATCTGACTAGTTGTGGTTTCACGTCTAACCTTCGAGGTAAGCCATCACATCACCATGATTGTCATGGTCATCATCAGTGCTGTTGTGTTTAGATTCCTCCCTCAAGTTGAAATGTGTAAAGAGCTATTGGATATATGTACTTTGCCCCATTTGTGGATTCTGTGATTGCTGAAGATTAGTCAGTGTCGTATCCGTTAGGTTATTGATGATACTTTAATTTTGCGGTGTTGCTCACATGCTTGCACATGGTGTTTGAGATTCTAATACTGGTATAATTTATGAGAATATGTTCCGTGTTTTGGTATCGCCCAAGTGCTCAAGATAACAAAAGAGAGGTTGCCGTTGGCAGGAAAAACAAGTTAACAAAAAAATGTGAGGAATCAAGAAACTTGACAAGAATCAAAGGATATTAAATGAGCCTTTCTTCCAAGTGGATTAAGTGCAAAAAAGTGAACACTGAACATTCACTCTTTGAAACAGTCAATTGTCCATTTTTTTCAATAAAAAGCATAAGAGCACCATAAAGTAGCTTCCCAAACTGATATAGGACTAAACTTAGCATACCGGCAAGAGGATGCCAGAATAATGCTGGAGGACCTCTAAATCTTAACCAGAGTAACACTCCCATACATCCAGAGTTTCAATATGATTCATATGAAGTTTGGTGGGCCAGTGGCAGGTCAGGGAGCTACTGAAGGAGATATTTCACTCTAGAAATGCTAAAGATTTCTTGTGAGGAGCGGCCATAATTCTTTATGGTATGTTCTTAATTCATTGAGTTTTCAATTTCATGGTGACTTTTTCTTACTTGAGAAGAATCTTACAGAATTTTTCTCCATTATATAGGATGAGGAGGACACTTATAAAAATGTTTATTAACATTATGGTTTCTCCCTTCGATAGGTGAGTCTCGACAGCTTGTGGTGGATTGTTTGAAGAGAAAAAATTCTGATGCTGGGGAGCCATTTGTCTTGGAGGATTTGCACAATCTGAATATTTATTGCCTTAACTAACATTGGGAAACTAGGATATTCATTTATAAAGGTTGATTGTATTCATGTGTAAGAGCAAGTGACATTGCAGTGGTCATGTGTGTTATTCTGGGAACACTTAATCTTGGCATAGCACTATATTTTACCCAGAATTAGGGAAAGTTCACTGCCTTGTATTTGTGTCACTTTGCAAAGTCTGACAGAGTTGTATCTTGCAAAGGATTCGTCGTGCATCTGTGAACTGCTTTCACATTCTATGTATTATTTTTACTTTGTCAGGTAGTTTATCTGCCTGATTTTATATGCCATCACAACTCTTAGACGTTTCTTGTTACAGAATATTGTGGCCATGTTTTGTTCTATTTCAGTTTTTCGTTTTTATAATCATGCTACTGAAACATAAAACATTCTTTAGAGTAATTCTTTTTCCTCTTTGCCTTTAGTAACTTGGTTTTTGGAAACAACCTTTGGAGTCACTGAAAACAACATTTTCCATTAGGTTGTTTGGAATATAAATATACCAAAATCCCAGTTAAGACACAGTAGGCAAGCAAGTCATCTTTATTCAGATTAGCTTTTATATATATATATACTTTGAACAAATTTTTCGAAAAAGCAGACAATTTTCTAAATGTTTCTAGTTTATTAATATGCCATTTTTTGAGCTATTCTGCAAATGTTAATTGCCAGGTGCTAGCCTTTTCATTGGCCTAGTTAGTTGTTTTGTAGTTTGTGAAAATACAGTTTTACATCATAGCCAATTATAGTTTTACTTTTTTAATTTTGTTTAGCCTGGTAAAGAACTCCTTGAATACTTCTTCATTGTTTGTTTTTAAGGATGTGATCTAGGTTACTAGGATCGTGGAGAGTTCTACTGTGTCTAGTAGTTAAATTTATTAGTACATCATTGCATATTATTATGCTGGACTGGTAATAATTACAAATAATTTGTTCATGGTTCTCAATGCTGAATGTGGAAAAGTTTTGTTTTAGGGAATTGAATCTTTCTTTTTGCTTCCACTATTGTTGATTTAGAGATGGTACACTTTTATCATAGTAGGGGATCATAGATTACTTGACAGAGAGTTTTTGTACCCTTGTCCGGAAAATGAGATCTCAAATAGTATATGCTTACAGTAGCTAGACAAAGTTTGTAAGCAAATTTATGGATTCCTAGAGTTCTTAGACCATAAATTTGTACAACAACTAAGCATAATTTCTACATATTCCTCACCCTTTGTTCAATTTAGCTTTAAACAGCTTGTAATGTTTAGATGGTTTTGAACTAGAATTTCTTTTTCTCACTAAAACAGTTTCATCTTAAGATAACACCCTCTTGTTGATAGCCATGTTAATGTGGTTTTAGTTGATTGCATCTTCTTAACTCGAGAAAAGGATGCTAAGCATTTCTTATTTCTCTCATCTCTGATACTATTTTATTTTTGAGAGACCCTTTAATTTGTTGGTTTATACTCTACGAATTTCATAGACATTGTGGCCCATCCACTCTCTTGCTACATTTAAACACCATGTAAAAGTTCTTAAAAATCAATAATCTTGTCGAATTTATCTAGGGTAATGGAGACAATGTTATACTTCGCAGTATAGTATGTCTTGTGTAATGGACTCTGGATGCTTCTGTTGCCTTTTATCACTGTGGTATTGCCTTAGGGAAGATATGCTATATTAGTGGCCAAACAAAAAATGGTTGCTTTGAGGTTAAATCTTACTACTATGTATCGGAGTTATGAAGGCAGCATGTTCCATTGGAAGATTTATGTAGCTGACTGCTTTCGTTATTTCCTTTTTTAGTGCGGAAAAAGATCCTTTCTCATATCTCAGCTTAAAAAACGTTGTTCAACAGGAAAGAGTTTACAATGATATAGTGTAATATGGTTATAATTCTGCAGAATCAGTTGATCAGTTACTTGGTCATTTTTTTGGTGGCCAGAGAGATATGGGAAATGTTTCTATCATCAGTGGGTCTGGGGTTCAGTTTATGCTAGTTTTTTGAGAGGAGTGCTTGGTTTGGGTTGTAAAATTGTAGGATATTCCTGTCTTTTATTCTTTGAGCCTGTGGTTAGAGAGATGCAAGAGCTTCTGGAGGGGGATATCCTTATAAGGAAGTACTAGTAAACTATAATATGATACTATTGAGCAAACTGTTCTTTGGTTTGTAGATCCAGTGATGTGATTTTTTAGGGGTTTCTTTCAACTTTCTTTTGATGCTAGAGAATAAAGAATTTGCTTCTTTAATGTATATATATATTTTTTACTATAGTTTAGGTGCTCTGTTGTATACTTCACTTGTACAGGGCGCACTAGTGGGCTTTTGTTTTTCTTTTGGCAATAAGTTCGTTAATAAATGGCATATAATAAAACTTTTTTATATTGATAGGTGATGAATCCTACATTTCCTACCCCGTTGCCTTTTAGTCCCAATCTGACGAAACCTGTTCCAAGTTCCACACATTGCTTCTATTTTTCAAGTGACCAAGTTTTTAAGCCAACTCAGAGCTTCATGTACCAGATTTGATTAATTTCAATAGCCTTTAATCTCCATTATAAGGATTGGTTTTGTTATTCGTTTGCTTAACATGTTTCTACTCTTGTTGTGGCATACGCTTTACATCCTTACTGCTTAGATGGTTGCTTATATACAGATGCAGGAAGAGAGGATTTCTTCAAAATTTTTGAAAAGAAAATGGATGAAAAGCGTGATCGCCTAAAAGAAAGTGGTAAATATCCTCATACACTTTACTGATCAGATTAAATAATTTTGTTAAAAGCTTTATATACTGATGATCCATCTTTCAAAAAATCATGCCAACTGCTCTGTTTTTGTAGGTCGTCAGCTTGCTGTCTCTTGGGCTCTATGTGCTGTATGCCTCCTTGGTCATGTTTCTCATGTTTTTGCTGCTAAGGCTTCATGGACCCATGTGTTTCATTCCACAGGATTCCATCTGTCTTTGTCTTTGTTTACATTGCTTGGTCCTGGGCGTCAGCTTATTCTCGATGGTGTTAAAAGCCTTTTTAAGGGGGCTCCAAATATGAACACTTTAGTAGGTCTTGGGGCTTTATCATCATTTTCTGTTAGCTCATTAGCTGCATTAATACCAAAGCTGGTAAGTCATATCCCCTATTCATAAACAGTTCTAGTTTCATTTGGGATTGAATGTTTGTTTTTATTTCTGTAATGGGAAAGCCATGCTGGTTACTTATTATGCTTCTGATTTTATGTGCTTTATGGCATACAACTTGTTGCATTTATTGGGTTTTCCTAGAATTAAATTGCAGTGTTAAGTAGGTGGCCTGGAATATAGTAAAATACTTCAGAGTAAAGAGTATATGCAGCTTAATTTCTTTTTTCTTTTTGTCTTATTCTTTGATATCTCCTTTTGTTTTAAAACTTTTTTCAAAATTGAGATATGACTTCTATTAAGTTTAGTAATAGTAAACATTTCTTTCCATGGATGTAGCACTAAGCTAATAAATGAATAGCATTCTCCACAAGTGGAAACCCTAGAGCTCTTAGATTGATAAGTCAGTTATGGGAGAACATTTTAAATTGTTATAGAAAGACCAGTTAATTCAGTGATTCTTCTGTTAAGCTTTTGATTTAACTGTTCCTGCACATAATTGAAGTCTATATTTTTTATTTTATTTTCTAAGAAACAGCAAACTTGTATTAAAAATGGGTGATTAGTCTATTAAGAGATTTTCTACTGATGCTTTAATCCTGTTAATGGGTTCTTTGTAAGCAGGGTTGGAAGGCATTCCTTGAGGAACCGATTATGTTAATAGCTTTTGTCTTGCTAGGAAGGAATCTTGAACAGAGAGCTAAAATTAAAGCAACCAGTGATATGACTGGACTTTTAAGTGTTTTACCTACAAAAGCTCGTCTTGTGGTCAATGATGATGCAAAAGACCAGGGCTCAATTGTTGAAGTTCCTTGCAGCAGCCTTTCTGTTGGAGACCAAATTGTTGTTTTGCCTGGAGTGAGTAAAGGACTCTCACTTTTGTTCATGTATCACCTGAAGCTTTATTGTTAGTGTTAATTTTCCTATTTAACGAGTTACCAAATTGAATGTCTTGTTTAATAACCTGCTCTTTTATAGATTTGGCCCTTTGTTAGATACTACTTCTGCAACATATTTTTTGCTTTTTTTCCCCCCATTTCCCCTTGGCTTCTCAATTGCAGTGCAAAGGTTGAGGTACTTATTACTTGCAGTCATACTTTTGTCAGAAACGATCCCCTTGACATGTATTCTTCTGTTGTTTTAGGATCGAGTTCCTGCAGATGGAACAGTCATAGCTGGTAGAAGCACAATTGATGAGTCGAGTTTCACAGGGGAGCCATTGCCAGTAACCAAACTACCTGGGGTATTATTCTCCAGTTATATGCAACTAATGTATATTATCTAACGGCATCATGTAGCAGTGTTGCATATTTGCATGATGATTCGTTTCAGAAATGCGCCCTTCCTGTGCTACATTAATTATAGCAGTTGATCCTGCTTTGATATTACTAATTAGAGTATTTTTGTATGCTCTAGGGTCAAGTATCAGCTGGAAGTATAAACCTCAATGGAACTCTTACAATTGAAGTTAAAAGACCAGGGGGTGAGACTGCCATGGGAGACATTGTTCGTTTGGTGGAAGAAGCACAGAACAGGGAGGCTCCAGTACAACGTTTGGCTGACAAGGTTTCTTTTCTGCATCTTCAATTACTTGTGATATATTTTGTTATGATGGGGTTCAATGTTTCTGGGTAAGCTGACACAAACATGCTCGTGCTTACATGGTTTGCAATTTGGAGGGAAGTTGATCTATGTGGTCAACTGATCTCAGAAACAAACTTGGCTGTTGAAACATGTGTGCTCGTGTCAGAATTATAAACATGAGTGTCTTTAAGTGTTAAACTGGGTTGCGTGCATTGTTTCTATTAGTCATCCTCTATTATCCAATTCTAAGCTAATTATTGGTAGTGATCGTTTTCTTTACTTCTTCCTTCTTCCCCCCATGAATCCCTGCCTTGGTTTTTGTACTTAAAGTGTACAGGAATTTGAGATGTGTTTGTGTGCATGTAGACATTCACAGGAACTTCACTCTCCTTTTATTTTCTTGTTTCATCAGGTGTCTGGGCACTTTACATATGGGGTAATGGCCATTTCAGCAGCTACATTTATGTTCTGGAGCATGTTTGGGACACGTATTCTACCTGCAGCTTTGAACCAAGCAAATCCGATGTCTCTAGCTCTACAGCTCTCTTGCAGTGTTTTGGTATGAGTCTCAGTATGGTACCTAATTCTCCATTAATCCTAAAACAAAACCTATTTTGAAAAGATCATCTGTGTTATTGTTGATGACATTCTTCTCATGGCTACCAGCCTACCACATAACATACTTAATCCATGTTTGGCCCAGTTGTGTTATAATTAATTTTCAGTTTGGTTGAACAAATTATGTTTCACTTCTCTTGGGGATTCCATTGGTTTCAATTTCCTCTTAGTATCATTTTCTCAAGTCACTTCCTTTCATTTTATTATCGCTTTGGTTATTAAGGATTGAACGAGACATTAATTCAGACATATACATAACTCTATCAAAGTAAGAAAATGCTTGGAGTCTGAAGTTTTTTATCCCAAATGTTTGGTACAACAATCTTCCTTAAAAAAAAACAATAATTCATGCCATGGAGAGTGAGCAAACTACTTACCCACTGAAAAAATGAGAAGACATTACTCATAACGAGTTCCTTGTTTTGCTGACGGATAAATTATTTATAATGATGCCCACATTTTGACTTAGGCTACTCAATCTCAGGCTTAGTTGTCAAAATTTTGATTGCAAACCTTTTCTTTTATTTCAGCTTCCAATCTAGGAGTTTCTGCAGAAAAATCTTGTTGATTGTTTGTTTAAAATAAAAAGGACTTTTACGTCTCTTATTGATTTCATGGTCTTGGAATGCTTCATTCCTCTGCCTGTTCTATTCCATGCAATAGTGAGCACATGTATCCTGAATGCAGGTTGTTGCTTGTCCATGTGCACTTGGCCTGGCCACACCTACTGCTGTACTGGTACCTCCTTGAAGAACTCGACTTTCATCATGTTTTCACATTCAACTTTCAGACTTTGATTGATTGTGTGCTTTAATATTCTTTCTTCTTTTCAGGTTGGAACTTCACTGGGAGCAACAAGAGGATTGCTTTTGCGTGGAGGAAATATTCTGGAAAAGTTTTCAATGGTGAATTCTGTTGTGTTTGACAAAACAGGGACCCTAACAATTGGCAGACCTGTTGTAACAAAGGTTGTTTCTCTTGGAGGCATGAAAATTACAGATTCACAGTTAAGTAGTGGCAGAAGTTTTCTTTATTTCATGGGATTATCTGATTGTCGTGCTCAATATTTTTGCTTGTGATGCTAACTTACCAAATTCACATTTATGAGACTTTTTTTTTCTCATTCACAGTTAGTATGTAAGAGTTCCAGCATGAAAAGTCTCTGATGGATTGTCTGTTCTCTTTTTGCCTTTGATCAAATTCATTGATTCGATCTCAAGATTGTGTTTACATAAATTGGTAAATGTGTTTGAGCAGTTTTGACCTAACAAGCATGAACAGTCTTTTGTGCTTAAATGTTCTTATCCATTGTCAATCTAGGAAGAGATTGAACTAAATTAAGGGCTTTCTTCTTTTTTTCATGAATATATGCAATTACCGGTGTAATCCACTTGTGGTCTAGCTTCCAAATCTAGCAGACTGCAGGTTCACTTTTTGATCCTAATCTAAGTAGCTGTGGCTGTTAAGCATTTTCAACCAGTTCTTTAAAAAATCAAATTTCATGTTCAGGTTGTTTGTTCCTTGGTGAATTAGATCTATCTGCTTCATGACTGCACCCAGTCACTGAGCTGCTTAAACTCAATAATCTTGGAAATACTTCTGTTTAAATCCTGTGAACATTTAAAGCAATTTTCCTCTTCAATTATGCCATCACCGATTGAAGTGTTTATGGTTACACTTTGAGTATTCCAACGAACCTTTATTTCTCTCTTATGCAACTCTTTACTGATGTACATTAGAAAGAGCAAGTTATTTCAACTTCCTCCTTAGGTTATCTTTAATTTGACAATCAATTCAAAGACTAAATCTCAAAATCTTTGATATAGGTCCTTTAACAGTTTTTGGTTGTAAGAATTACCAGAAGATTCAAATAACTCTTACTTGTGAATCTTGAGTGATTAGATATTATATGGAAGGTTATACATTATTATGCTAAATGGAATTGCTTTAGTGTATTTGAAGTTCAAATTTTCAAGCTTTGATGCAGACTAAATCCAAATGCTACATGGTCTGAAGATGAAGTTTTGAAGTTAGCTGCTGCCGTGGAATCAAATACTATTCATCCGGTTGGAAAAGCCATAGTAGAAGCTGCACAGGCTGCTAGTTGTCAGAATGTGAAGGTATGTATGCACCTAGTGCACCATTGTTTTTCATGTTATTATTCTTGGAAAGCTTAAGCGTGGAAACGAATAAAAGATGTGCGTGCAGAACAATATGGATACATCATGATGACAGTTATGAGAACTATATAGGTGATGTAGGATGAGAAAGAGGATAGAGAAATTAGGGATGAGAAAGGGAAGAAAGGGTTGTAGGAATACAGGAAGAGAGGGGAAGGGAAAGAGAAGAAGACTCAATTGTCAACAATAATTTTTACTTGTTGAACATAATAGTACATGTTCCTACATAGGCACCAAAACTCTAACGAAACTCTAAAACACAATAAGCAATGAATAAAAAGATAATGTAATATCTAATTTTCCTATGACAAATATTTTGAGAATTTTCCATTTATTTTCCATTATTCTCCCATTGTTAGAAAACAATCAACCTCTACTTTTTAGGATTGCAATAGTAAGAAGTGCAGCTCCCATTCTTCATTCCTCAACTTGAAATTGCGTCATGGTTTTTCATGCCATTTGAATTGCCAAGTCTCAAATCCATCCAACAATTTTAATGGGATGGTGAAGTTGACTTCTTGAACGCGATGCATTTCTTGACAATGAAATCAAGATGGTGAACCTATTGCTCCAAATTTGTGTGTAAAAATTCTATCTCTTGAACTTGCTTACCAACACTATCAACTTCTACTTCCTACCTTTCGACTTGTTCTTGTGTGTTTTCTATTTGTTTCACATCAGAGACTTTATCACAAATTTGGAGGCAAGTGGCTGCTTGCTCTAAAGATGGTTGGGTGTTATTAAACCTAGTTCCAAGTTTTGTGAGATCTTCTATAACTTCCTTTATAGCGTCTCGTGTATCATAACTGTTGTGGATGTTCCTTTTGTTCCATAGGTAGAGAATTGTTAATTACATCACTTGAATGATTATGAATGCAGTACTCACAAAGCTGGACATTTCTCGAGGATTATTCGCTGCCAGCATTATATCTTCAACATAAACAATTAGAATTGTGACCTATTCATTGCAATGTTTAGCAAACACCATATACGTTGCATTACTTTTCTGCTGCCCAAATACTATTATAGCTCTACCAAATCTTTCAAGCCACACTCTTGGTGATTGCTTTAACCTGTGTAAGGCTTTGTTTAACTTGGAAACCTTACCTTCAGTCTTTTGACATGAGAAGCCGAGATGAATCTCCTTATATGTCTCCTGTCACAAGTCTTTGTGGAAAAAGGCATTCTTGACATCTAAATTGCCATCCTAGATTTGCTGCACAAGAGAAGAATTCTAGCAGAGTTCATTTTAGCCACAAGAGCAAATTTCTCCTGATAATCTACTCCATAAATCTGACTGAATCCCATAACAACCAGCCTTGCTTTGAACCTTTAAATTGTCCCTTCAGCCTTTTGTTGGATGGTAAATACCCACTTGCGACCTCTTATTTTCTTCCCTGGAATAGTAGTGAGCTTCCATGTATTATTCCTGACCAGGGCTGTCATCTCTTCTACTATGCTTCTACTTGGGTTCGCTAATTGCTTCCTTCCACTTAGTATCTCTTCCATTTCATTACTCTTCCCCTAAGAGATGACTTTGAATAGAATGCTTCGGTTTCACAAAATGTAACATCCATAGTGATGATTACCTCACAAGCGGTGTGGATAATGGTGTCTGTAGCCCTTTTGAGTTGTTGAATACCCACATCTTAGTGCTCTTGGATCTAATATACTTTTAGTTTTTTTTTTATGATCATGACTGAAAAACACAACCAAGGACCTTCGGAGGGAACATTTACATTGAAGAAGATCTATAGGTGTCTTCAAATCTAATGTTTTCAACACCATATGATTGATAGGATATGCTGCTGAAATTGCTTCCTCCAATATACTTTAGGAACATTCGTAGTGAACATGAGGGATTGTGCAACTTCAAGAAGATGCTGATTCTTTCTTTCAGCATTACCATTTTCAGCTGAGGTATCCACCCATTTAGTGTGGTGGAGAATTCCATGTTTACCAAGATAGCCTTGAACTAACCATTCATCTTTTCTGTACCATTATCACTCCTTGGGAATATTGCCAGCCCTTTTGTTAAGATAGACAGAACAAAGCTATGAAACCATTCTTGAGAGGAGGAAAGATTGAAGTAAAGAGAAAGATCCAGCCCCCTTTTGGTGCTTAAGTTGTGTAGCTTGATTCAAAGACATTAAAACAAGCTGTACCCACGATTGTTGAGAAGTAAAAAAGTTAGAAGTTTGATCTTCTCTGAATCCCTCATGTATCTGATAATAAAATTATGTTTTATATGTATCCAATACATATCCCCACACAGCCAAGGCATATTGGTATCGGTTATGGAGACCAGACCGACATTGTGGTGGGGTTTGATGTATCTGGCTTCACAGGTATTCTCAAATTTCTCATGAAAAAGCTATTTGTGGCAGGTGATGGATGGAACATTCATGGAGGAACCTGGGTCTGGTGCTGTAGCTACCATTGAGAATAAGGTGGTCTGTGTTGGAACACTAGATTGGGTTCAAAGGTATTACACTCATTGGTTAGTTTGTATGAAGTACCATAGCACTAAGATAATTCTATGATTCTAAATAGTATGCTACTGTGCTAAAAAGTTTGTTTTCCCACATCAATGAAAAATTACTTGTTTATTAGCGATCTTTGATTTTTATCTCTCGCTCTGAAAATCATCATAGTGTGCCAATTCCATATGCTATCCACATTTCATATCCGTGTAGTCGTACTTCATAAAATTTCAACAATGGTAAAACCATACTTATGATAGGAAAAAGTCTTTTGTGGGGGAAAGTGCAGGGGTCTTATTTGGTATTCTGGACAGTTCCATTGATGCAACAAACTGTGGTTGCACCTCTGCTATGATATGGTTTTAAATACCAGTAATATGAATATGGTATTCAAAAACTACTATGCTCCATGACTTTCATCGAAGATTCTGAATGTTGACCGTAACCACATCAATGAGCTAGCAGACATCATATTGCCATTGTATGTTCTTTTTCCTTGCACATGAAACTGTCATCATTTTTCTCTAATGATAATCCATGGATCACATGTGAGAAGCTTTTTCTAAAGTTCACCTGAGCGCAAGCAAATAAAGCCTGAGCAGCCATCAGATTACTTAATTAAAGTTGACATTCTTGCAGCTCCAGTATAGGGACCTACATATTAGATGTTTTTGGAATATTACAATTACGATTTTGAGGCATTTCTTTTTTTTTTTTTTTGCAGGCATGGAATTAATGAGAATCCATTTCAAGAAGTGGAGGATCTTCAGAATCAGTCTGTTGTCTATGTTGGAGTAGATAATACCCTTGCTGGACTTATATACTTTCAAGATCAGATTAGAGAAGATGCTCAACAAGTTGTTCATTCTTTGTCCTGTCAGGGAATTGATGTGTACATGTTGTCTGGTGACAAAAAAAGCACTGCCGAGTATGTTGCTTCGCTTGTTGGCATTCCAAAAGAGAAGGTAAGGAACTTTAATTTTCAATTGTATGATAAAATCTCTGGTCTAGAAAATGAGAGTTTGCCTCACAAATTGTCTGGAACAACTACTGATTAGAATTGGAATTGACATAAATCCCTTGATACTTTCACTTCTTTGATATAAATCTACAAGCATTAGAACTTTGTTGGGTATTCACTAGTAGGGGCGGCACGTAAACCGTTGATAAGGGAGCATGCCCCCCAAAAACATTGAAAAATCCATTATAGTCCCCATAATTTAGGTTACTTTTCATGTTGATCCTTGCGATAGTATAATTTGGCCTCTCCAAAAAATTGTTGATTTTAACTTGAGATCACATTATATCTAACTTGGCTCTCAGCCACTGTTCAGTAGCTTACTAAAAAAAGAGAAGAATGGCTTTTACTTTAGAAAAAAGGCTTTTTTTTTTAATGAACAAAAATATGTCCAAATTATCTAATAATCTTTTACTAGTTTTTTATATTTGAGTCTTGTTTCTGAAGTTTTTTTATAGTTTTCATTATGCAACTGTAATAATTGAGATATGAAATATGCGTGCCTCTAATAACGCTTTTGCTTCTAGGAGACCTGACAATGCGATGCCAGTCATAATTTAATTAGAGAGATATGCCAATTTTAATTCATACAGACATGTACGCTGTGAGAAGGAGATGCTTTACCTCATGAATGCTGACAATCACATATGTAGCTCAAAAGGTCATTTCATGGAGACCGAACAACATCTGCGTTAACCATGACTGAAGCTGGAGATTCTTTACGGTTCATGTATTATACATGCTTCATTTCTAATAAACCACACTAGGAGCCTGTTTGGCACTTGCTTCTCTAGCTTTTACCAAGCAAAGCAACTGAAAGTTTATAAGTGTTTAATAAGCAACTTAAGCTCCATTGCTAATCTGTAGGAAGTGGAAACTGATTCCACTTATAAGCCATATTAGGTTCCACTCCAAAAAGCATGGCGAGAGATGCTTTATGAGATGGAATGCTGCTTATTTTTTAAAAAATGACAAGCCTTAATTTTTTTGTAAGTTACAACTTACAAAATTATCAATAGTGCATATTTACCTTGATATCTATTGCAATATTGTGAGTATTATTATTTTGCATCCTCAACCTTATATCCACAAATATAAATACTACAATTTTTATTATGAGCAAACTTGCATTTATATTTTATATAAATCTAGACATAATTAAGAATACTAACAATGGACATTTTATCTTGTTATATTAATAAATGATATGAAATACATAAATAAGTTAATTTTGTAAGACTTTTAAATTGAAATAAATACACGTACCAAAATTATAATAAATTAATGTGATTTTCTAATTTAAAATATTAGTGTTATTTTTTATTTTTAATTAGCTACTGATATCTTATAATAGGCTTATGTGCTTTATGGTCTTTTTAATTCAAATAGCACAGTAATAAATTTACTCAAAGCAAAGCACCATAGTTTATGACCAGACAATTTAATTGCATTGCTTCATGGCACATCACATCAGGCAAGGCACAATACAGCACAGCAGGGGCCAAACAGGCTCTAGGAATTTAGGGCACTTAAAGCATCATGTATTTACTGGAGGCAAAGATGCAAGCATTCAAATGCCAAATAGATTTTACATTCAAGCATTTGAGCACTTGTTCTGGTCTGTCAAATCAGAGGCTGGAGGTTCGTGGAAGAGGCTAAACCAACGACCAACATACCAGGCTTGAAGAACTGATCATGTGGCTGTGTAGTTGATCTTGTAGGATGTTAAAAAATTGATATTATGGATAATATATCATGCATCACTGCTTGCTGATTTTCAAAACATGCTGTGGATGGCAGGTGTTGTCTGGAGTTAAGCCAGATGAAAAGAAGAAGTTCATCAGTGAACTGCAGAAGGACCAGAAGATAGTAGCTATGGTTGGTGATGGAATAAATGATGCAGCAGCCTTGGCTGAGTCACATGTTGGAGTTGCCATGGGAGAAGGTGTTGGAGCTGCCAGTGAGGTATCCTCCATCGTGCTGATGGGTAACAGGTTGTCACAGGTATTTGAAAGAAGTAGATAATCTTAAACCTTAGTTGTGTTTCCTTTTCTGCTTCTTCCTATAGGGGAGAGGGACAATTTTCTTTATAAGCTTAGATTCATAGTGATATGGAAGCCAAGTGCTATGCTTTGCCTTCTCTCACAATGCCCTATACATTCTCTTATCTGCCAAAATTTTAGTTTTCAATTTTTCCTTGATATGGTAATTCTTGTGCAAAACTGTCTTTTAATTATGATTGTCCTGTACCATATCAACTTTGAAATTCTGGACAAATTTTAAGTTTTTCATATGAAGAATATAAATGGTAGAAGACATACCAAAAGTTTCTTCTGATAGTCAAAATGAGAGGTTAAATTAGATGGCCTCAAACAAAGCATTATCTTTTCTTAAGCCAGAGCTATAAGTCCTTTGTCACCATTTGTCATTTAACCTAGCATACAGTTTTTCCTGGCTCTTCCATCCCTATTTCATATAGTCTACAAACTTAACATTCTCAAGCACTGTTGTAGTCTTAAAGTCCTGACATGTGAACTCTCCATTCCTATTGCACGCTTAAAAAAAATTGTGTTTCCAATTGAAACCAACATTACTGCAAGTTTTTCTAGCTTTACCCCTCTACAATCCCTGTTTCATATAGCCTTGCATTTCTATTTTATCCCTGTCTCAAGGACAACTGCAGTCACAAAGTCCTGACATGCAAATTCTTTATTCCTATTTTATGCACAAAGAAAGAGAATCTGTGGTCACGAGTGAAACACATCTTTTCTTGTGCAACATTTGCGTATCCTGCTGATTGTAACTGTTAATTGCAAATTACTATGCCAGAATTACAATCAAAGTTATTTGCTCTAATGAAATATAGTTTCTTGGTATTTCTCCCTAAATGGGCTCATGGGAGGGGATAGTACAACCATGGATTAAATTGCGACTGGGCATAAAATAACTGTTGCAGCTACTGTACATGGTGCAAATCGTTTAGCACCTTTTAGCAAATTTATAGTACATTCGTCTGGACCTAAGCATCTGTCATGTGATCTATATAAAATTACTTTTTTTCTTCTCCATGTTCTCTTTGTTTCCACACACTGCTTTAACCAACAATACTAAAATTTTATTTTCTAAGCTGATGCTAAAAAAGATTTTGATTTAGCAGGCCTGACCTTAGGATATATAAGCCTTTTGGTGATATGTGTTATTGACTTGTATTATTTCTGTGCAGGTGCTTGATGCACTGGAGCTGAGCAGGCTAACCATGAAAACTGTGAAGCAAAACCTTTGGTGGGCCTTTGCATATAACATCGTAAGTTTTGTGCATTGTTCAAGAAATAGCCAAATGTTTCAGCACTAAAAAATTTTAGATCAGTAATTCTTGGGAAAAAAGGGCCATATGTCAGATCCTGGAAGCATGCACCTCAAAAGAGAGAGAGACAGTTATCCTGTTTCAGCCTTTTGATGTCAGCCAATGTTTATTTTTGTGAGATCTTGATACACGTATGAAGAAGCAACGGACATGCTGAGTGTCAAATATCTTTAAAAGAGGGAGAAAAGGAAAGCAAAATATTTGGATTACCAATCATAGAAAACAACAGAATTCTGAAGTTTAACAGTGTTTTATAAGTGTGCTGATTTCAGCCTAAGAATTTACTAGTAGAAAGAACCTATGTAGTTGCATGTTTATCTGATTCTTGTGATTCTCACAGCCACACCAGGTCCAAGTTAGGGATTTTCATGTTGCTTTTCTCTTTGAATGTGTGATTTGATCATGTCAGATTTTTTTCTTTTTTCTTGTTTGCTTTCCATTCAGTTGCATCCCCCTCCCCATTCCCTTCCGCCACACAACCCCCCCCCACCCCCCACCCCCTGTTTTTTAAGGAATGAAAAACCATTAGATACCTGCATCTTTTCAAATCCAACTTTCACCCCTCAACTATATGGCGTGAGTTTCTTATCCTGATCTCAGATTTCTACATAGATGCAAGTGAAAATCATCTATAGCTTTTCAAACTAAACTCCAAAACCTGGATCGTACCTGCATACATCTATTTGCCAAATTTGTTGTGTTGTCATCTGTGGAAATCCTTGCTAACTTTATAAAACTCATCTGAAGCTGATGCTGCAGTGCAGAAACTATTCCCATTCACCAGGCTGAGCCTGGAAAACATACTCCTTTGGTTCAACTCTTTCTTAGCCTACTGTCTGCACACACCGCACCATTTCTTTTGCATTTTGATCCCTGCAGAATCATAAATCGCATAGTTGTGAGGTGAATTTATTTCCAAGGTCTTGTAGCTCAATTTAGCAATTTTTCCCATCATTAAGAAAGGCTTAGGCGTATTTTTCTTTTATCTCCCATGACTTAACTAAGTGGCAAACATTTTTCTGCTTTGCTCTTCTCCAAGATTTAATCTGGTGCTGCTTCTATACTAAATGCAGGTTGGAATTCCAATTGCAGCTGGAGTGTTACTGCCAATAACTGGGACCATACTAACACCGTCAATTGCAGGAGCTCTCATGGGTTTGAGTTCTATTGGAGTGATGACAAATTCATTGCTCCTGAGATTGAAATTCTCCTCAAAGCAGAAAAAAGTCCATGGAGCATCTCCAAGCACCAAGATTTGTTTGGATTCTGTTCTTTTGGACCAGGAGAAAATGAAACAACCTTGTTCTGATTCTGGATAAAGAGGTATGATAGAAGCGTAGATATACAAACCATGGTTATTCTTCATCCTTCATATGAGCATTGGTCTTTTGAGTTGGTAGATTGTAATACTAGTGGAAAAAGAACAAAAGTAGGAAATAGGAAGAGATTATATGATGTTTTTGGCGACCAAATGATGACAAGATGTGAGAAATTCAACCTTGGGGGCCAAAAATTCCGTTGATGTGAAACTTGAATTGAACAGAAGCACTATCAGTGACACTAAAATGTTGCGGTGACACCGAAATTTCTTCTGTGTTTAAAAGCTGGATCTTTCGATTCCAATAATGGCTATTTTTCTTCAAACGTTCTGCAGTTACTTCCGAAGCCATGGTTGTTTTCAAAAGACAAAGGTAATGGCTTTATATTAACTCATTAGCATCTCAAGGCACTTATGTTACTTAATGGTAGTGATAGAATTCGAACTAAAAATTGTTTCAACTCAAAAGCTCAAGCTATTAGATAAAATTTTGAGAATGATTATATTAATTTAGACAAATTGTAAATACAAGAGAATCTTTCTTAATCTTTTTAACTTATTTCTCTATTAAGTTAAGCTCTGAAGGTTAAACCAAGTCCTTGAAGAATTCTAGAGAGAGATCTTTTAAGAGAATACTCTTCGCACGTCAATTCAAACTGCAGAAACTTTCAAATTGTCATATTACATAACCATCTCAAATTTCAAATTTTATTGATAGATTTGGTAAGAATGTATAAATATTTTGTAATCATGTGTAAATATGAAGTTAGATGGAAGGTGGGTTTTGCATTTCTTTTGTGATGAACCGTAGCAGGGTTGCCTCCTTTCTGGGGCCATTTCCTTCCGTTCTAAATAGCTTTAAGGTGTATTAGTTTCTTGCGACAAGCATTTTCTTCATTTAAATACGATGCAAACAAGTCAAACCCACCCTGTTTCAGGGAAATTATTCCAACGATCATTTTGCACATCTGGTCATCGTTCGGGAACTGTTGAAAAGTCACTGTGGCTGGAGTCAACAAGAGTAACAGCAAAGTGGTATCAGCTGAAAATCGTTAACTTAACTATAAGTAATCATTTCTGTTAGCGACGCTTTGAAGTGGAATTTCTAAACCATATCAGATTCACAATGCTTTGGAATGGTAATTACATGAGTTAATTCCATATTCATCTCTCATTACAGCAAAAAATCAATTACATTAAACACAACCCAAACTATGAACACTACAAAATTTCCGAATTAAAGAGTTCCATGGGTTGACGACCCAAATGGCTGGGCATTGTAGGGAAGATGATGTGCATGGATGTGTATCTCATAGAGAAATTGCCCTAACCACGTGTGAACCAGTGTACTGAGCTTCCAATCAACGGCAGTTGCATGGTATCAAAATGACGAAAGGTTGGCTAACACTGGTATTAAGTCGATCGTCAAACCATGTAAGTCATGCCAACCTGCATGAGATTTGAGTGGGGTACACTCAAATTCGCAATCCCTCTTCTACAGTTCTTTCTCAGAAAAGCATAGAAGTAGTTTATGACCAGCTTCTTAATAAACCAGGAATCCTTCCTTGCCCTAATGTCTCCGTGGCCAAGAAGATATACGACCCCAGATTCTTTAGCCTTGCGAATAAAAGACAGTTCCCTTTCAATACTCTGCTCTGCATCAGAACCTGTAGGATCTGCGGCAGTCTCTGGCTTTAACTCCTCAGATGTGCTTGCTTCAGAAATGGGCTTGCTCGTGTTGTACTCAGCTAGTAGAGGCACACCAAGTGAGTAGACGCTTCCATTGGGAGCTATTAAAACTCTTGTGCTAGAGGAATCATCCTCATAGTCTGTATCATCATCCCCATCACTCTCTAACAAACGTTCCTGGGCTTCCCGACGAAGGAACTTCTCAAGGCTCTCAATAAGCAGCTGTTCAAATGCCTGGTGATGCTCTTTCCGAACATCCTTGTAGCCATACCTGTTTAAGTGATTAAAGTGAACTTGGTAAGGCAATAGGGTAAGACTGAGATACAAAGAAAAACAGAATATATAAGAAGATTAATGCCCACGAACACCCCAAAAGCTGTGAGGGGCCTGTGTTGTACTTCTGTGTGAACTAAACAATCAAGAAAAAAATGACAAATAGTAAAAAAATTATCAAGAGATTAAAGTTGCCAAGTCATTTAACTGAAAATAACATATTACCATGCAGGAAATGACAACTCCCCACAAGAATTGAGCTCATTACCTTGCAATACAACGAAATATGTGGTAGCTTTTTGGGCAGACTCGTCGGAAAAGGAATCTTTCACCCTGAGGTACTACTGGAACTGGAACATACTTTATACACACAAATATAATCATCGAATGGATAGCCGGAAGAGTGGTAAGAAAATGGCCAAAAATTGCTGGTATTCCTTTCACCAGCTCATTATAAAGCAAACCAATGCCAGGGGCTCTGATCGTTCCAAGATTGGGTCCCAATTCACGCACCAAATCCATGGACAGCTTTTGCTTAACTTCAGTTTCATACTTGAGCTTGCTCCCATAGTTCCAGACTAACATTATAAGAAACATAACTATGGCAAAAACCAATATTATCCAACTTCCATCTCCCACGCCTGCAAGAACTGATGAGAAAAAGACCAATTCTATTCCTAGGAAAATAACCAAAAAGCTCAGGACAGTAATGATGTTTATCTGCCATATAAGAAGCATAACAATAGTTACTAAAATTGTTGTCATCATCATCACTCCTAGCTCAGCAATTCCTGTAATAACAAATTACAACCATTAAACACACATATATATATCACTGCAAAGGAAAAGCATGCTAGTTTGATACATAACTTTGAAGTGACTAGACTCTTTCAAAACAGAGCAGGTTAGTACCATCAACGCATTGCATAAACACCAAAATAATTGAAGCACAACATGGCTTCACCATCAGCACAATCAGTGGCAGAGGCCCAGGGGAGCAGAGGGGGGCCACTGCCACCTTTGGGCCCAAAGATAAATACTGTTATAGCCTATGTAACTAGGCCGAGCAGTATAAAACCATTTGTAACTTGTTTCGCCCTCTTAACATTCACCAGTACTCTACATACACTTTGTTTGGTAATTTAATGATGGCCCCACCAACCTAAGAATTTATAACGTTAAAGTATGTACAAATTCAATAGTTCTATTGCTTAGCATACCTTATAACTCTTTTATCCAGCAATTTATTTTCTTAAAATTTCTTTTCTGTTCCTTCTTTTATTTTTGCTATATTCATCCTTTCCAGTTTTATCTTTCATTTTATATTTACCTAATTTCCTCTGAATTTATTATGGTTTTGTCATTTACTTTTTATATGTTACACGTGTCATAACTCAAGATATATCCTATAATGCAGTAATTACCACACACATTTGACATATTACTTAAAATTCAAAATTCTTTTTCTCAAAAAAAAAAACAAAGAAATTTCATATTTGTACAAATACTAGATTTTTTTTTAAAAAAAAATACAAGTGTTCTTACATAAAATATCTACATGTATTAAAAAAAATTAAATAAATTTGTTTTTGCCCCCCAGCTAAAAAGTCCAAGCTTAGCCACTGTGCACAATGTTCAACGTAGATGTTTATAAATGAAATGTGCTACTCAATAATAGCAGTAGTTTAACAGCTTTTCAACTAGGATGAAAGACGTGCCAAAAGATAATAGGAGGAAGCTCAATTGTCGATCATTTTCCAGATATTCACAGTATGTCATGGAAGATACTAATAACCAAAACATTGACTAATGATCAACAGTTACAACACTATAGGTGACTCATACCATGCACAAGAGACATCCAACCACTAAAAACTTCAGCAAATAATCAACAACAGCAATACTATGAGGATATAATTCATTTCCTTATGAAGCTCGCACAGTTGTCTCCCTGAAGATTTAATTTCTCTTTAACCAAACCGATGCACAGGAATTCATCCAAGGCAAAAGAATTCTTTCATTTATTGATCAGTGACTCTGGGATCAATACAAAGTGAGACTCTGGGCTTAACATTACCTACTCATTTTTTTGCTTAGTTCGGAGGGAACATACTCAAGCATCAGTGGACAAAAAAGTATTCTTCAATACCCAGACAAAGATAGCAATCAGCAAAGTATATTTAGCACAGTGATTAAAAATAAAGTAGCAGGCCATAAAAATTAAATTCAAAAAATGGCAAAGACTAAAACAAAGTCGGGAGGAGAAAAAAAAACAAAACTTAGTCAAAACTTGCACAAATAAGAGATATAGAAGTGCTGCATTGAAAGCTTGCTTATTACTTTTATCACCATTGGGAAATGGCAACTACAGCAGTGAGAAACTTTGTTCAATGGTGCATGCATATGCAATTCATGTGAATAAGAGGGGTGAATATATCTTATGTCAGAGGCTTGCTATAAGTAGTTGCTTCAAGATAAAATCATTTTGCAATGGCATGTATTTCACCAGTTATGTTATTTCTTGAAAGTGGTAACTGGAAGTTTGCACCAGCATTCCATTTAGCATTGGTGGCAGGGTGATCACACATCTTCATGGTTGGTGATTCCGTCAAATTGATTCTCTGTTATTTTTCGTGTCTGCTGAAGAAGTACAGCATACAATCTTGCCTTTACTTAGTGTTCACTGGGTTATACCTAGGACATTACTCGGTAGATACCTGAAGGGCGTTGTCAAAGACATGCAGTATTATAATTGCATGGCAGGAGGTTCTACTCAAGTCTTTGAAGTCCAGAGCGTTTGAAGGGAAGCGGCATGCTGCTAGTGAAATTAAAACTGAGATATTGTGCGATTGGTCCTCTTTGATCTCTACATGCAGGAATGCAAGATCTAACAATTTCCTATTTCTTTCTTTGCTGGTGCTTTATTGTATACTCCTAGGAATCTTTCATGTAGCCTTTTCTAAACACATTCATTGCATCACTAAGAAGAATGAAAAAGAAAAGCAAACTCAATAATTGATGAACAGTAGAGATCAGAATGCCAAGAAAAAAATCAACTGAGGCTAGGAAACAAGCATTACCATATGCATTTCCCATCTCAGTAATGCTTGAGATAGAGCAGACGAACACCAGGCAAACTACCAGCAAAAACCAGTTTATGACAGGAATATAAATCTGACCCATGAATTTCCGAGAGGTGTGAATGATTTTAAGACGGGGAAAACAACCAAGTGCTGTTGATTGTTTTATACAGGAAAATGTAGCAGTAGTCATAGTCCGACTAGCAATTAATGCAGCTAAGTTAGCAATGAGGAAGACAGGCCAGAAAACACCACCTGCAAGCAAGGAACAAAAATTGTTCCAACAGAACCAAAAGTAATAAGTTCCAAATGTAAACAGGGTTGAATTCAACTTTATACAGCAATAAATATTTTTTTCCCCTACTACATGATGCAAATTACATAGAACACGAGTCACAAGAAGGCTGTGCAAGTTGCAATTAGATTCTATTCTAGTAAATTGCATAGACCGTATTCATGCAGATAAAGGATGAAGCTTACTTGGAACCGCAGAAAAGAAAGCTTGCTTGGCCACATCTTCAGTGTGATGTTCCATGAGGTATGCAGCTTGACCCAAATAACCCAACAAAAGGCATGGCAAAACGAGAAATACAAAGGTAAGCTGCAAATGATCACTATTAAATAAATCAGAATTGCTGCAATCAGAACATAACAAAGAATATAACAATCAGAACAGCTTTGTGACACTTGACATAATCAGAGAAAGATGTAGATTCTACATCTGATACATTAAACAGGTATTTTCTTGCTTCTTTACCTGCACTGATCTCACAGGAAAGTAGCAAAGATCTGCAAACATTGCCTCAGATCCTAAACAAAAACACAGAGAGAGAAAGAGAAGAAAGAATCCATCAGCATCAATCATAAAAGAAAAGTGCAAAATAAGACTCAATTATGACAGTTGTAAACATCACCTTCCAAGCTCATCTTATCATTAGGACTCGGACATTCTTTAAATTGGTGTGAATTGTTTACAAGTTCCACGCTATACTAAACAATTTTTGCCATTACTTGAGAACAATTGCTTCAAGAGAGCTGAGCTAAACGGAAAACACTTATATAGACAGAACTTGTATAGAAATGTAATCTGTCCTTGCTAGAAACACCGCAAGTTCTCTCAGTCCCTGCCAACTTCAGATAACCATGTAAGGACCTCTTTCATTCTAATGGAGGGTACATTTACAACTAATTTTCCAACCATTAAGGACAATTCAGTAAGAAAAAAACTTCGTTTCTTTTTTCTAAAATTTGGAATTGGTGGTATGGTCCATACCTCCCATGCTATTAGTAGACATTATGCTATTCATGACATGCAAATTACTCTCTCTCTTTTTTTCTTTTTTAAATACTGTATTAATATAAAAGGGAATTACAAAAGCTTGATGGAGAATAAATCATCCTCTCAAAACAGAAAGTAAACGTTATGGAATATCATAAGAGAAGCCCAATTCTGCTGAATATTAGCTAAGGAAACTCCCTTAAAAGCGCCTGAAGCATGACATCATAAAGAAGAGAGGCAAACTATCCTATCCCACAACAATTACCTTCAAGTGTACTGGCTTTTAAAAATTCTAGCATTCTAATCCAACCAAGTACACCATAGAACAACAAAAATGGCACAAACCATATTGTCACACAATCTTTCCTCCTCCTGAAACCCACAAAAGTGATTAACATGAAATCCGACACTCTATCACGTAATACCCAAGAATCCCCACCATAAATAAACAATCTGCATAACATACCCTCAGAAGTGGGCAATTTAAAAAATAAGTTAATACGAGACTCATCAATTTGTTGATACAACACAAATATCAGGAGATAAAGACTTGGGAGACCTTATTTGCAAAAAATCATGAATGTCAATTTTGTGGAGCACCACTGTCCAGCCAGGCAAAGGCCTTAACTTTAGAGGGTACCTTGGCTTTCTAGAAACAATAAGACAAAAAAGGTACAGAGTTTGGGGCCTGAGAAAAAGGCAAAGAAAAGACTCGTATGAAGAAACAGCAGACCTTCCAAAGACCAAAATATGAGATCAGATCTCGAGTAAAAACAAAAGAATTAAGAATGGGAAGTAAAAGAGAACCTTTAATTCTCTATCGTTTATATTCTTAAAAGAAATGAAAACTCCAATTTATATTATCCCCTTCCCTCTCCATCAAAAAAAAAAAAAAAACGAGAAATAGGAGTATTATGCAAACTGTAGAGGCAATAAAAAAGCGGAAAAGCAATAGAAAAATGGGAGTTTCCCCTAACCAAACATCCTCCATCTCTATTTTCGCTGCTGCTTTTTTTATTTTTATAAAAAAAATTGTAGACTGCTTAGAGAGACTCAGGGATCTATCCTTTGTCACTCGGTAGTTTAAGTGACTCCACACTTTTTGACAACAGAAATCCATCATGCCTTCAAGATTGCTTCAACTGCAATCTCCATTCAATAAGAGAAATGGCAAGGCTATCAAACACTCTCATAAATTTGCTGATGAAACTTAAGCCACATGTATTTCCACTAATTCCAAAAAAGGATCACTCTTTTTAGGTCAATCAAATCCAGCTATCCTCTACCAGCCACCACCTATCAATGAAACTTATAATTCCTGCTACATTGACCTTAATTGTTTTACAAGTGAAATCAATAAGTTGTACCACAGAGAACAAAAACAAGCAACATTGCATTCAAGAACTCAAAACATCCTACTTGTATGTTACCTGTTGCACATAGCAAGCAACCTCCAAGTGCACGCCAGGCCTTAGTTGAGTTTCGCTTGAAGAAGTAATATATATGAACAGGATTAAATGCACTAAAGACACTGCTATCATATTTAACAAGGTTATAAATCCCAATGGCTGCAAGAGAACAAAACCATATGAATAAAGCCGGGCCTACAGCAAGTCCGACTTTACTGGTCCCAAACTTCTGTAGACTAAATAAAATTACAAGAAAGGCAACTGAAATCATCACCACTTGCTCTGCACAAAACAAATAACAACAATAATTAACTCAATATTATAGCTAGTTTCCACAACAAAAGAATACAAAAGGCAAGAACATTCAAATTGCCAGCGTAATAGAAGCCATGCAAGGTTTGCTAATTTCGTTGCAGTCAAATTAATTTCACACAGGAAGTATTTTAAATCATTTTCCAAAAAACAAACACACCCAAAAACTTGCAATAAATTTATTTTTGCCTTTTTTTTTTTTTTTTGGCAGTAAGGAGGAGGGGAGGGCAAGGCGTAAACCCAACATGTCAATCAAAAACATGAGAACCAAAGACAAAACTCGTCCACAGCATAAATTTAAATTGACAATCTGTTCAAAAAGTTCAGGTATGCCCAGACTGAATCAGATTGGTTTAGGGAGAGAACCCATCTCCTAGCTGTCGCTAGGGACTTAGACAATTACTAAATTGGGTGTATAAATCTGCCCCAATAGTTTTGAGCACTTTCTGAACCATATAACCATCAACTGATCAGTCTATTACAGCTTTTACTACAACAGTTTTTCTATATAAACTATTTCACGCAACAACAGCTTCTTCCTCCATCTGATTACAGGCCCCACCTATGCATACCCTATCTTAGATCTCATATAAATTACACAACAGACAAAGTTTTTGTGTTATCAAAGTTATAATCACTTTCCTTCTTTGTTTATTTAATAATTTATTTGACAGTGGTGCAGTTACAATAGCCTCTATCCAAATCCAGAACCCAACTTCCCAAACAAAAGAAAGAAGGAAAGGAAATAGTTTGTTCCAAATGTCCAGTTCTCAAAAGAATAATTCGAGAATGATAAGTTAAGAAGAAACCCTAACTCTAATGAAATAAAAAAGTCTGGTTAACAGAATATTAGATCACCTTGCTCAATTGCAGCAACTCCAACCTTTAGACCACCAACAGCTGACATTACTGCATTAAGACAAACAAAAGATACCCAAGTAAATCACAAGGTACTAACTACTAGGAACCAAAATAAGGCAAACATGCTCTGCACCCAAAAAAAAAAAAAAAAAAAGTACATCAAAAAAAGATCTAAAATAGCTTTTTCGTACAGATGAACCATAATATAATTCTGATAAACTCCAAAGAAAGAAAGCGAACACAGACCTGACATAGCAGGAGTAACAGCTCCATCAGCAATCAACATAGAGGTACCAGCAAGCACTAACACGAGAATCAATCTTTTGAGAATGACCGATGTCTCAAGTCTCTCCTTGATTTTTAAGGATCTCTCAAGTTCTGGGGAGGGCACCTTGAGCCTGAAGCTAGATATTCGTGCATCGGAAGGAAGCTGATTAGGTAGAAGATTGACCTTAGCATGGCGACAAATCAATGAGTACAAAGCAAAAGTACCACCTGCAATACAGTGAACGGAATGCAATGTAATGTATAATATGGTGGTGATTATGAAGCACAATCAGTAATTAAGTAGAGTAATGAGTAGTAGTCAACTGAGTAGAGCAGTGAGTAGTAGTAATAACTACTGAGTAGTACCTTCGCCGTCGTCATTGGCCCAAAGAACAACAAAGACATACTTAAGAAGTGGGATCAAGATTAAAGTATACAGAACCAAAGACAATGCACCAATAACATCTTCTTCTCCATTAATAGGTGCCTTTGTAAACATAACATCGAAAGTATACAAAGGACTTGTTCCAACATCACCAAATACAACTCCCATCGTTTGAAACGTAAGTATTATTCTCCTTCCCACACTCAACTCCTGCCAAACATTTTCCATTTCCAGATCAATTTTTCTTTTAACGTGCCAAATTCAATAACAGTAATAATAAAAATAATAAAAATAAATGTTTTCACCTCGTAGTAGTAATCGTTCCGGTGAGCGCTCGGGATCTCCAGGGCTTCCACATCGAACGAGTCGATGCGGGGCCCAGTTCGGATCAGCCGCTGCTCCGCTGTGTCCTCGTCTTCCTCATCAGAGTCTAATCCACCTCCGTGCCGCATTCTCCTAATGTCGTCGTCGTCGTCCATCACTGAATCATCATCCTCCTCCTCCTCCTCCTCGTCTTGAAACACCCACCGTGACTCCACCGAGTCCATCGACGCTAATCTACCGTTTGTCTCGGATCTGCCATTGCCATTCTCCTCTGCCATTTCAGTTCGAATTCTACTAGGGTTTCAGAATCAGTCGACCGATCAAATGAAGAGTACTGGCCTTGGGGTCCTTTCTGTGGTCCTTTTCTTTTCGTTTGCCTTTTTCTGCCCTTTCCTCAAATGGGTTCTCTATTCTTCGATTAGCACGTGGATTAATCAATCAATCAATCCAATTCTCATAATCAAACATATATCAATTGATGAGAGAAAATAAAATTATAGTGTGATCCCTGAATTTTAAATTGGTTGAATCAGCCCCTTTGCTTCAAATTTGGTTATCCTGGTCCTTCTACTTCAATGCAATGATTACACGTCCCTCCTTACATCACAAAGTTAACGCTGTTAGTTTTTTAAATCTACGGATAGAATTGTGCCACGAGGATGCTCCGAGAAATGTTGTTGGATTACAGTCTTCCACAAGAGCTTTGAGACCGTCATAAGTCATGATTTAACCATGTAAACGGGAAGGAAAGGATAAAAATGGGAAAATCTCTTTTTGCACTACCGTTCCCCGGCCATTTTACTCAAGGCATGGGCTAGCTGGTTCGTAACATCTAGGAGAATTATGGAAAGAAAATGAAGAAAATCTCCTAACAATATGAACATTATCTCATCTAGCAACATTGTTATATGTTGTTGTTTGCGTATCCAATTCATTTTATTTTACTAATTTATATCTCATTTAGCACCATTGTATGTTATTTAGCTATTAGGACTACAGCAATTATAACTAAATACTTTGAATAACAATTTGATGGTGATTATTGAGAAATTAGGTATTAATCAAGTAGAAACACAACGTTGCATGGTAGTAAATTGCTATGCAGTGTGCAAAATTGACAACATGATTCAAAACCATAACGGAATTACGTTGTTTTTATTTTTGTGATTTGAACTCACGTGTGATCTCTAACATATTATTTATTTTATGATATGTTGATTTAGTATGCATTCTAAATTGTATTATATACGAATGAGTTAAAGATCAATTAATTGTTTAGGTATCTTGTTGAGTTTTAAACTTATTTTGGCACATAATAGTACTTTATTGCTAGATTAAGTGATACTATTTTGATGTGTAAGTAATTAATTAAAGATGTTTTGAGATATTTTTTTTTTTTTCTTACCCGGAAATAAATTATTTTATGTTGTAAATAGATTCATGTAAAACGAGTTTTAAGTGCAGTTTTCTTTTCATTTATTTTTGAAAGAGAAAAAAATCTAATGCTTCTCTAGATAGAAGGGTTGCTTATGGAGTTTCCAACCTCATGCTATTGTCCAATTTTGTTTTTTTTTTTTTTATAGCACTTTTAGTATAGTGTACTGCTACTTGTTTAAATTGATTCGTCTCGAGTTTTAAAATGTTTATATATATTTGATACGGCTATTTTGTGTCCTCTCGTAGTTTTGCAATACTCCTTGAACATTTCAAATTGATTTCAAAATTTTGGCTTTCCACAACTATTTTTAGTTTAAAAGCTTGAGTAATTTGCAAAGTATGTTATATTATATTTCTTGTGTATTCTTCAAAGATTTCAAGTATATTTTTGTTTCAATGTGGCCTTAGTTGCATGCTTTATTTCTCTATAGTTGCCTTAATTCCAAAGTTTAAATAATAACGAACTATAGTCTTTTATAATTTTCACTGTCACTTAACTTTTTTATTTCATAGTTTATATTTGATCTTGTGGTACATTTTATATTGCTCGGTGTATATTATCTTTCAATTTTTGGATATTCAATTAGAAAATAGACAATTGCTTCTCAAGGTTATTATTATTTTTTTCGTTGTTGGTTGGATCCATCCTTTGAACTTTCTATTTTATTCTTATGTGTGTATTGTCTATGGTTTCAATTAGGTGAGTCTAGGTTAACACTTGCTTGGTGAATTTTTTTGTATATGTTCTCATTTATATATTTTTTTTATGTATAGTATATATATTTTCCAATCAAATGCCTCTAATTACATTAAAAGGTTTTGACGTTTTATAGTTGTATTGAGATTGATACTAATTTGAAGGAGGACATGGCTCAAAAATTTTCTCGTCCAATCGATCCAAAGTTTAAATTTAAAATGTTCACTAAGGAGAGTTTTTTGTTGTTTTAAGTTCAATTGACCTATGATTCTAATATTGTTTTCCCGGACTCGACAGGATTTGTCATTGAGTGAGTTTTGAAACTATTATTTATTTGTTTATTGTTTCTTGATTTTGTTGGCTTCTAATTTTTGTAGTGCGATTTGAAACAAATAATTATTAGAAGTTCAACATATCAATGAATTTTTAAATTACACTTAAGATAGCATGGTAAAACTTGTTGCTATGGATGTTTTTTTTTTTTTTTTTTTTAAGTACAAAAAGGATGAGAATGGACAAAGAAATTATTTGAAACTTGTGATAGATGGATACAATAAGAAAATCGAGGAACATGTGTAGAATGACTAATTGAATACGTTTATCCTCGTTTATAAATTGGATAAATGAAAGTATACATTATTAGCGGACAAGATATAATTGGATTAAGGATTTGTGAATTAGTACTACATAGCTTATGAATGAAAGTTTAATAGAAGTTAATGGATTAGTCAAGTTGTTAATTTTGTTTTATCCCAACTTTTATTACAAATTCGGTACGGTTATGCTTGATTGGCTCAATGGCTTTTTTTTCCCAATTTATTTTCTCATTCCATTATTTAAAAAAATATCATCACAAATTAATTAATCATATTTTTTTACATCCGAATAAAAATAAAAATACTATGCTATTATGTATTTTTTGATTAAAGAAAATACCCATCAAATTTAGTTTTTGAATAAAAAATCTTGACATTATATCATGATTGAAAAAATGACATCCAGAATGAGTTTTATATATAATTTTATCTTGAGTATTATATATAATTTTTATCTTTCAATTTAAATTGATAATATAAAAAATAAAGTGTCATAAAAACAAATAAATTAAAAATATTTTTTTATGGTAGATTGTCAAAAAAAGCATTAAAAAAATAAAAATTTCTAAAAAAATATTCACGAAACAATTGAATTTGTTTTATATTATTTATTTATTTATTTATTTTCTCACAGAACACACACATTGCTTTTATTTTTTTCATTGAAAAATCTAACTTTACATGGAACATTAGAAAGGTAAAATGAAATATGTGAATTGAACAATTTATTATTTATTTTAAAATTGAGAATAAGAATAGAAAAGAAACGTTGTTAGCGAATTAAAAAAAAAAAGATCGATAATACATATGTTGTCATCTTAACGAAATAGTTAAATTTTAGGTATTTTGTCAATTATAAACTTTTATTTTTAAAAAAAAAACACATACATTTACTATTAATAATATGTAAAAAGAAAAAAAGGATTATTCTTTATTGGTCCGTTGACAAGCCCTTATCCTAATTCCTAAGTTTGTTACAAGAACCATAAATTGGTGAATGGAAAATTACACATTTCACAACGTAGTGTAAACGCGAACTGATTGATTGGTGGACCGCATGTCATCCCCAAACTTTAAAAATTTAATATCCTAACCCTAAAAGTTTGAAATTTTTTAATCATACCCTTTATTTTACATAATTTGCATAAAAAAAAAAGAATAATTTTTTATATTCCCCTGACCCTAAATTTCTGACCCGGCCCTTGAATGCAAAGACAATTTTTTTTTTAATCGGATGTCAATGGCAAGTTTCATGGAATTCTAGCTTGGAGATGCAAAGCAATATTGGTAATTGGTGGGATCATAATTTTTTTGAAAAAAGAAAAAGTGCAAAAAATTTTATTTTCTTTACAATTATCTTCTAGTCTTGATGTGTTTTAGCATTGGGTTTAAAGTTTAGTGGTTTGTTGGTTTATACATATGACCTTTCGGAAAAAAAGAAAACAGAAAAGAAAAGAAGAGCAAAGCAAAGCTTTGAAAGAAAAGATTAAGGAAGGAAAAAAATAACTGAATTATTTTAGGTAGAAATGGACTTAATAATTAACCCTTTTTTTATGATTTCAAGAAAATGGATATATGTATAGAGTTTTATCGAATAAATTCACTAATGTCAATTAAAGTTTCCTTGAAATCGATTTACCTAATAAAAACTCTAAAGAGTCGAGAGATTAATAAATCCTATTTTATACTTGGAAATGAACTATTTATTAATTTTATTGATTTTTAAATATTTATTATATTGTTAGTTTCTATATATATGTGTGTGTTAGTTAGATGAATTGTAAATTTCCATCATTTTTTAAAAATATTAAAATTTTTAATATTTGATCTATTAATTGGTTTTCGAAATTAGGAAGATTTTTTAGAAAATGATTTCTTTTTTTATGCGCCACTTTGAGCTGATATGTCAATAAATTGATAGAAATTCGATGAAGGGGTCGCAGTAAAAAAGTTTCATGACTAGAGGGACTACATAAATTAAATAAAAAGTAAAGGGTCTATATCATGAAAATATCACCAAAATCCAATATATCGATTAATCTCATTAACATCAAGATTTCTTCAAGAAAGTTCTCGCTGTCACTACTGCAAACGCTAACCCTACCTCACGCAAAGCAAAGATGTCTCACTTCGGCAGGTCTGGCCCTCCAGATATCACCGATACCTACTCTCTTCTTGTCCTCAACATCACCTTCCGTAAGCCCCACCTCTTCAGTCTTCTTTCTCTTTGGCTTTATATATGTTTTTTGTATGTGTAGATTTGGTTGATGTTCTTATGGTCGATTATTGTTAGGTACTACTGCTGATGATCTGTTTCCGCTTTTCGACAAGTATGGAAAGGTTGTCGATATCTTCATTCCTAGAGATCGAAGGTTATTGTTATTACTTCGCACCCTTCACCTCCTTCCTCTTAGGTTTTGTTTTGTTTTTTGTTTTACTAAATTGCTGTTGTTCTTGCTTATTCAGAACTGGGGACTCTCGTGGCTTTGCATTTGTGCGCTACAAATATTCTGATGAGGCGCAGAAGGCAGTGGAAAGGCTAGATGGTACACTCCCTTTTCCCCTTTATCAACTTTTTTTATCTGTTTGTTCATCTTAATTTCCTCAATGCTTTTTTTTCCCATTTTGCAGGACGAGTTGTTGATGGTCGGGAAATAACAGTTCAGTTTGCAAAATACGGGCCTAATGCTGAGAGGATGTAAGTTACGCTTTGTGAATTCTTTGTCATGATAACGTTAGCTTAAAATATGGCCGATGCCCGTGATTTGACTAATTGCTCTTCTAATCGTATCTGCTGTACATATGGTTCCTTAGATTCTGAATTGCTTTTTTATTTTTGTTTCAGTCACAGGGGAAAGATCAGCGAAACGTTTTCAAAATCAGGATACAGGTCTAGAAGTCGCAGCCCTCGCAGAAGGTATTCTCTCTCTCTTTTTTCTTTTTTCTTTTTTCTTTTTCTTTCTTCACGAGCATTTAATTAGGTTTATGAATATAGCTTCCCAAGCTTATTCTGGTGTGGTTGCTGTTGGATTTCTGAGCTAACCAGAATGTCCCTTAGCATCTATCTTTGTGTATTTAGACCCCAAGCACTGCTTGCATTTGATAGGTTCTGTTGTAGTGATATTAGGTTCCTCTCTGCAAAATTTGGCCTTTTCATTTTTTTCCCCTAAAATTTGGTCTATTTTCATGTTTCAGCAGCACTTAACGACTTTATATGCTTTGTAATATGCTACAGTAAAATATGCTTCTGCACTTTGATGTCAAACTAGCTTTTGCTTGTCTAGTTTCTTCTCAAGGTGCAAAAATTAGTGGTGGAGAGGGTTTTTGTTGGTGATGCGTTTTTTGATTGAAAAAATTGTCGCTTTGTTTTATTGTTTCTTGGTGTGGAAACTATTTATTAATATCCTCTGTTAATGAGACAGGGATTATAGGAGGAGAAGTCGGAGCAGAAGCTGGGACAGGTATGACCGTGACAGACACCGTGCAAGGTACAGAGATTATCATCGACGGAGCAGGAGTCGCAGTGCTAGTCCTTATTACTCCAGAGGACGTGGTAGAAGCCGTTATGATGATGAGCAGCAGAGTAGCAGCCGATCAAGGGATAGGTTTACATCTTTGCCAATTAGTGCATTGTTGTCAATATTAAGCTGTTTGTTTTGTCTTGTTGCTGTTGCTATTTCTTTCTAAGGCTCTTGGTAATTTTTCAGTCTCTCCCCTCGGCGAAGCCCAGGACCTCGAAGGAGTTATTCCCCTCGTAAGAATTCTCCTGTGAAAGTTGTGAGCCCTGATAGACGCAGCCGTGATAGTCGGTCTCCCACCCCTCGAAGTGCTTCTCCACGAGGTCGGGTTGCTTCTCGTAGCCCATCCCAGCAATATTCAGATGATGTGAGTTGTACTCCTTATGTTCCCATTTATTGAGTGCATTTGAGGATAACTTATCTGGTTGGTTCTCTTTTTTTCCTTGTGTAGGAATAAGATTTGAAGGTTGCATGGATCTTTTGATGATACCATGACTAGTGCATTTTTGGTGGTCATGTTACTACTTCTGAGCGCTCTTTTAATCATCGAATATGTTCTGGTCAGATTTTAAGAACTGGTTTGGTGCTTATATTTTTCTATTATGTTGAACCGAATGCATCTCAGTTAACTTGGTGTTTTGGCATGTATGGACTTTACAATTTGTAGGTTGATATTCTACTATCCATAAAAGATTTTGAGTTGTGAGCCACACTTTTGTGCTTGATTTTGTTTTGTTATCTTATTGGATTGTGTTGGTGTGATTTATTGCACGAGGGTGCTGATTTAACATGTATCATTGATTGTATTTTATAGTTTTGTTCCGGAAAAGATTGACGTGGGGCAGATGGCCAGGATGTTGATATTGTGGATGTTGTAGCTGTTGATGCTGTTTGTAAAATGTAGATGGATGACCGTGGTTGTGATTTCTCTAAATTTCTGATGAGTGGTAAGATAAAACGTCCACCCCTAATTTTTAAGACAAATCGTGTCATTCTGGTGTCTGATATGTTTGACCTGATCATCTTCTGGTCTTTGTTTATCTTGGAATTATTGTTCCTGAGATGGGGGTGGTAGTTGCTGTGATGGTATAGAAGGTGGACACAAGATGAACGTGTTCTACCTGTAGCTGATGCTGCAAATGAAGTGGACCTGTTAATAGATCTTACGCTGATACATAGTATGAAACATAATAAGCAGTTCTGAATTTTGCAGCCGCAATTTTTTACAGGCCAGGGTAACATGATTCTGCTTGTTATTTGTTTGGGGCAGTAGACTTTGCCATGTTTAACCCCATCAATATGAGCTTTTAACTAATGTTGCTTAATGTAGTGAAGTAGCGTACAAGTACGTGACTGTAGCTGTGAAGTGATGGCTGATACCTGTTCTGTTGTATGATATTTGGTTGGTCCGTAACTTAAGCAAGTATTAATGAATAATCACCTGTAGCGGGCTGTTGCTGCCCTCCATGATGAGGTCGGTTCGGTTCGGTAAAGGTGCTAGCAATTTTGACACTGGTGGTGGCTGCTGCCTTGCTGTGTTGCTTGCTTGCTGTCAGTTCCATAAGTTGTATGCTTCGGCATATGTCATATGCACAGATGAATTAAGGCTCATCCACTTTACCGCAACCCTTTTTTTGGGAAAAGATGCTCTGCAATTTACTCAGTTGTTTATTGTGATCCAGTCAAATTTTATGGTCGCTGGGGAAAGAAAACTTTTCTTAACCCATTTTCTCTTCATGTTCTTATTTATTTATTTATTTATTTATTATTATTATTATTATTTGGTTGGGTTTTTTTGTATTGGCTCATATATCTGCCACTTGGTCCTTGTGTTTTATATAAGTTAATAGCTTCCAAAGATTTTTGAGTGTGCTTTACTGTATATTCTTTGAACTAGAATCCAATTAATTGGTCTTATTATTACATACCACCGAATCTGATTCAATAGAGCATATTTGAATCTGTTTGCTAACCACATTTTTGATACGTTTAGTGCGTTATCTTGCTGTTTCTATGAGGTTAGCTCGTTGTGCTCCCTTGAGTAGATTGCCATGCTCATAACCTCTGGAGAAAATTTTCACACCAAGAACCAGAGTATACCTTTAGAGGATTGAATAATTGTGCCTTTTTGCTTGTTGGTATTGGTATTGTGTGGCTAATGTTCGTGATATTGGAACTGAAGTTTTCCTGTGTATATTTTGATACCCAAGGGTAATTCAACATGTTAAAGAAGTCTTATTTTCACCCTTTATTTGGCTCTGGTGTGCTTCTTGGTTCTGATTTGGACCGACCCAGAATGAGTAAATTCTTTTTCATTTATACTTTGTTGCATGAGGTAGTCTGCAGTTAGAACTGTTCCGTCTCATCTTTTTGTGAGGCTTGTCAGTGGTATGTGCCAGCCCAGTGCTGGTAGTTTCGGGCCTTTGGTAGTGGTATGTGGACGATTGCGGAGGTTTCAGATTGGAAAAATGAATAATAATAATAAAAAAAAAATTGCGCTTGTTGAACTAATTTTTTTTCTGAAAATTTTGGGACTCTTTTATTTTTACTGTGATTTTTTAATTGACTGATTCAATTTCTCGGTGCATTCATTTTCATAATGCATGGAACGATTCTGTCTGAAAATAAACATACATTTGTTATAAGAAAATTTCTTGTTAGCAAGGTTTAGCTGTTTAAGATTGGTCACTGGGTGATGCTGCTCAATCGGAAGACTCTCAAGCAAGGATAATTTTTATATGCAGCAAAATGCATAACATAAAGCAGCAGAGTCTGTTGTACTTGCAATTCCAGAAGAATCAACCAATGAGAATCTCCCGAAATGTCGGCAGAAAATGCGAAGCAGCTTCCGCACACGAGATAAGCCTGAATAATGGATATCAAACCCAAAGAGAAGCAACCCAATTGTTGGAATAAGAATCTCCCTAAATGTCGAAAGAAATTTCTAAGAAGTTAAGAGACATTTGGATATATTGATTGCTTCATCTTATCCTTGTCACTGAAAAACATCAAGAATTTGTAGATCATGGGCTTCTGAAAACAAAATGGTAAAACAGAACAAATCTATGCATATCCACATTAGCATCCTCAATGGAGAAACTTCAGCTCATTTTCAGAATGAAAATCAGTCCACGGGTCAGCCAACTACCATAAAAAACAGGGTTATCTATCAAGTATCCCGTCTCACACATCACAACTTTTCCTCGGTGAAACCTGTACAGAATCCTCTCAAACATACAACAAAACCAGTTCCTTCAGTTTGCATTGGATGCGACCTCATGAATTTCATCGTACGTGCCAGTTTCCTCATTAAATGAGTACCTATCAAAAGAAACAAGGAAAAACAATTAGCTTGTAGGATGTATCATTGCAACTACACACTTTGGCTATCTCATTTAATGCTGCATCGAACTTCAATGAATTCCATTCAACCGACACTCAAGAGGGAAGTCTGTTTTCATTTTTCCTTTCCTTTTGGTTCAAAAGTAGGATACAAACCCGAGTACATTCTCCTCTCCCATGCTTTGCAAAGGAGATCCATTGGGTTCATTATTCCCCCATGGACATTTGACATTCATAGGGTATCTGTTGATCCTATGCAGTAATGAGGTAACATAAACAGCAATGGCGAAACATCTTCCTAATTATATTGCAAATCATTTGGACAAGCCACTAAAACAATCAGATGTCCTTTCCACTGCCCAAAAAACTTCTAAATTTCACACAGCTTCGAAACTACCTAGATTGATGAAATTAACAAGCACAACACTTCGACAGCCTTAATTAAACATGATTCTCATCAGGAAGTAAGGCAATGGTCTTAGTTACTCCATAAACGGAAGTGCAGGAAAATAATTGCGATAAGTTTAATGAATCCGGCCTGAATCTCATGTCACATGTGCTTGGACATATTAATACCTTGTATCCGCCATGGGTCTGCTTTGCTAGGACATATCAAGGAGGGACAGACCCATTTAATATCCCTCAGCATTACTCTCACCTAGCCAGATTTTTATAAAGGCCATTATAACAAAGAAAACTTATTACATCAGGAATCTTTTTTTTTTTTCCGCAAAGAAATACAGTGCATTCAAAGACCCAATTGCTACCCAGCAATAAAGATCTACATAACTTGACACGACTTGACACACTTAACTCAATATGCCACATAAATTACTGACTGAACTGCATAGAATCTAACCCTAACGTCTTTATATGGCAATACCTTCAGTTATAGGCTACACCAAACCGTAGACAAAGCAACTGTGAGAAGTACAGCTTTTTTTTTCCTGAGCATCTCAGAAGTACACCTTAAACTATTTAGAGATCACACGTGAAATGTTATACACAAATCTTGAAGGCATCAGTATGTTTGTGTACCAAAATTATATATATATGTTAATCCATTGAATTTCAACCTGGGCATCTATTTCTTTTTCTTTCCTGCGTGTAGATATCAATATAAGGCATGCAAAAAAGCAACACTCATATCATAAAGTTGGAATTTTCTTCTAACGTAAGTGAAATACTTCAAAAGCTATTCCACGAAGGAAACCATAGTCGAGTAAAATTAAAAAGGAAATCACGAGTTAATTACCATTGCCCTGATGTTGCCTGGCAGAACAGTCCTGTAGATGGGTCATAATAATATCCCAAACTGCTGTTGTAGTAGTACCTGACAAAGGAAATTTAATGTTAGTTTGATTTCTATGCAACCCCTGAGTGTATATAACAAAATTGTGTCCGTAGTTTCTGCTACCCCATTCTCTGTAAAAAATATAAATTAAAAGATAAGAAGTGTTCACAGAATTAATTACTAGATAATTGTCACTATTTAACCCCAACTGTAAGATTGATGCAAAAACAAAATTAGCTAACCCGAATAACCACAATCTATAACAATGAATTTGAATAAATCACAAGTCAAAAGCAACAAGAAGAGCAAGAAATAAAAATTTAAGAAAATGCACAACAAGTCAATTAAAATATGGATAGCTGAAGATGTTCTTTAAAACTCACAATACTCTAAAATATATCAACCCCCAAATTAAAACATGTATGGCAGTATCATCAACAAGAAGGCCTAAAGAGGACCATCTTTTAAAATAGACAAAGAATCAAATCATAAAGGAACTAGCTGTGGGAAGTAATTTGATAGAGATATACCTAGTCTATCGAATGAGGAATTCTTTTGACAGCTCTACAAATTAATATTACTGTATCCCACTACATAGATGCATGCATTTTTTAAGAAACCTTGTCTGTTATTCTGTATCAAATCAAACTCAGGTCCTGTGTCTGTACTCATTTTCAATATTGACCACGAAACTATGTTAATACATAGAAGACCCTGCTATATAAGGCTTAAAAAGAAATTAACAAACAAGTTAGTTCTACAACTTTTTCTTCAACTTGAATATTTGGAACAGAAACAACAGTTTTGCTTAGAAAACTGGGTTGTGAACTTTGAACTAACACCACACCATACTGTCAGATTGTCTGTAACGACAATAATTATGTAAGAAAAACAAATTAATGAAGTTGATTGCACAAATTCTTTTCTTCAACTTCAATATTTGGAACAGACAGCATAGATTCAAAAGCTGGGCAATAAATTTTGAACCAATACCACACCCTAAAGTCAGGTAGTTTCTATTACAATAACTATGGAAGATTAGCAACCAAGACAAGAAAACTTGATGCAAACAGATCAACGATGCATAAAATACTATAATAAATTCTATTGCAATTTACTTAAAAGCGTGGAGAGAGGGAGAAAGTACCCAGAAGTCTCATCATAGACATAATCACTTTGCAAAGGTCCAGCTGCAGAACAAGCAATAAAAAGCATAAGAAACACAAGGCCAAGCATGGGATGCATGACTATTTTATCTGTACAATTGAATAAGCTAGTATTATTTCATCCCAAAACTTCTACAATACTCCTAGCTAATTAGAAAAGCTTACTTTCAGAAATGGCATTGAGACCATCAGATGATGGTTGACAGGCTACATTAGACTTGGAGCCAGAGACCGAATTACTAATGTCTGACGATCCAACAGCAATAGCCTTATCCTCATCATCCCCAAACATGTCGTATGCATCACCATCATTGCCTGAGATTTCTGCAGTAGATCCATTTGGGATTGAAGAACCGACATCCATATTAGAGAGTACTGAAGAGGCTGCACCAAGATCAGTCACACCAGAGGACAAGTCCTTCATGCTGTAATCAGAATCCTCCAGGCCTTCACTGACGGATGTGCCCTTCCCCCTAGCTAAAGCTAACCTTTCATATCCTTCTAAAAAACATTACAAAAAAATTAATCAATAACACATATTCGCAAAAGCCCATGAAGAGGTGATGAAAGTAAACTTTTCGCAGATAGAAGCTTTTCTAAAACTAATCGTCATGAAAGCAAGACCCATGACATGTATGGATAACACGTTATTGAAATTGAATTGACCATCTGAAAAATATTCAGCTCAAATAGTTGCATGCTATAACAAACCAGATAGCCATATCCTGATTCTTCTATTCAGAAGTAGAGCTGGAACAGAGTATTACTGGTAACATAAATAAGGTAGAAGGTGTGGATAGACAGGAAGGTTATCTTGCTTGGCTATAGTCCTATTGTTTCTACTGTGTAATCTCTTTTTTGCCATCAATTAGATGGCTCTTTTTATAATCTGAATCAATTTTCATAAAAAAAAATAATTAAAAAAATAAAATAAAAGTAAGGGTAGAAGGAATCTGCCAACCTGCCTCACGCTTGAAAACCTCTTGCTTGTCATGATATACATCTGCATAGTGGATGATTAAATCAGTGAGTGACCAAAACAATGGAGAGCAACAAACAAAATTGATGACTGAATGGACATCATAAATTCTCGGGAATACTTTTCCCTTCAATGAACCCTTGAGAGAGGGAAAAGAAACACCTAACTGTACTCCCCATTATCCAACAGCTTGTTGGCATCTTCAGTTAGCTGGTCAAACAGAAGCTGTGTCTCAGTCGACATCTTCTCCTTGCTCTTGGTTGATCTTCCTTTCAACCTTCTCAAAGCTTGTAAAACCTGTCAACAAAAGGACCCCTTCACTAATTAATTCTTGTCTTTCTTTCTTAATACTTATTTTTCTATACACATCAAACACTGAATAATTATTTTCAACTAGTTTCCATTAACATAACCAAACATTGAAATTCAGTAGGATTAAGAAATTTATAAATTATTTTAATTTAATTCAACTTTAAATCCTCAACATACCAGTTTATCTAGTAATTCTATTAACAGAAGATCTATGCCTATTTGAATTTCTATTTCCTATTTGCTTAGAACCATCAGGGATTTCAATGGCTATATAAAACAGAACCTATTCCATCTAATAGTCAGGGTTTTGATGATAAAATTCTGAGTAATTGTGGCATTTAGTCCTGCAAAGAGTGTGCCCCTATCTTTTCTCTAAATATTAATTTCTCCCTTTCTTCTTCCAAAATCTCTTTCTAAAGTGATCTTTGGTTACCACTCACATCTAACAACCCCAATTCCCCCCCCTAAAATAAGCCTTTTATCAACTCTACTTCTATTAAATCAAGCCCCAGACAAAATCCCTAATTCTCCGAACCGCTGGTTCACCACGAGCAAAAACCTTAGTGGGATAGAAATTCAAAGTTATCCTGCATGAATATCTTATTAAAACCTAGATAACCATCTTGCATTACTCTCAAATAGATAATCAACCATATGCAACTCTAAACCTGGACTTCAGGTCCAATATATCTGTGCACATCTGTGCACGTAATAATATCATGTCCTCGCAAAGTAGTTATCAATGACCGTAGGACACATGTACATGGCACATCCAGTTGAACAATTCTGATACAGTATCTTCCTTGTGCATTATGATGAGTATCATTAAAATACACTACAGAACATAAAAACATGGTACTAAGAAATGCTAACTTAACCAGCACAGCAATTTAAATTGTGAAAGAACAAACTACTTCAAAAAGCACCAAAAAAAAATATCCATGAATTAAGCTTGATTCAAGCTTACCGTTTCTCCTGGCTCAAGCAAGTTGGCAATACGGCTCTTTATTGCTCCAATTTCTTCAGATGAAAGTTCACGGACATCATCTTTGTCATCATCTTCATTAATTCTAACCATAGACCTTTTTCCAGCATATCTTTGATCGACTTGAACACTATCCAACCACGCATCCTGCAAAGAATCCACACACAAAGATTGTAAACAATGCTTTCATAGACTTAAACAAGAATGCAGTTAGTAAGATAAAGTTTGCTTAACCTTGATTTCATTTCGATTGATATATTCAACAAAATTTCCATCAGCATCAAAATAACCTTCTTCTCTCTCTTTGTCGAGATTAAATGGGTCTATCTGAATGCCATCTTCGATGAAATTCTCATTTTCCTGTGAAAGGATCATCAGCTATAGTTTCTCTCTCGTCTCGAAAATTTAAACAAAAAACAAATGAGAAAGAAACAAGAAGCAACCCTAATCCTAACCCTACCTCATAAGCAACTTCAGCAGCAAACGCATCATTCATATCTTCACTGAAAATTTGAGCAGTAATTTCATTGCGAAGCATTGCACGCTCCTTGGCAGCGAGACGAGGATTCTTCCCCTCACCTGGACCTTCTTCTTCAGCTTTGCCTATCTCCACTGTTTCATCCCCACTCTTCACCTTCTTACCTTTAGGAAATCTAACCTTCTTCTGCCTACAAATAAAAAAATTAAATAAATCATTACCTAAAAAAACCTAGATAGAAGAAGAACCAAATAATAACTTCAGCTTACTTGGATTTGTCAGATTCGTCGTCTTCAATTTCTTCAAGAAAAGGCCGCTTCCGCTTACCCTCCATTCTTTGCGAAAAATAAATTATTAGTTGCTCTCGAAAAGAAGACTCTGAAAGAGAAAGAGAAAACTTTATAACGGAAAATAGACTTAGGTCGCCGGCCACCGATCGGTCTCAGGCTTGCTCGCGTTCGGAGTCGGTTCAGCCTTTTACTTTTTTATATTTCGTAAATGTGAAAAAAAAAAAAAATTAATAAACACATCCTTCCATTGGTCGATGATGTCCGTGTCATCGCATTCATTTCATTTTTTTAAAAAAATTAAAATCACAACTTTCTTCCTTTGATTTTTAAAAAATTATGCACAAGAAACTAGTGCTTCACTTAACTATATTTCGAAATCTTCTCTTCCATTATTAATTTTATTGATTTTTTTAATTAAAATTTTCATATAAAAACTATCATCTTATTTAATTCTTTTTTCTTTTTCTTTTTTAGTTTTTGAAATTTTTAAAATTACTATATTAAAAAATATAAATACATACACCCGTGTAACATGAAAGATTAAAAAATTATATTCCTTCAATATAATGCAATATATTTGTTAACATCTCTTCTCTAAATGCTACGAACCTTTGAGCAAATGTGAAAATATCTAGCCTTGGCTTTTTTATTGAAGAAAAATCCTATGATCTTTTTTTTATTTGTTGCGAAGAAACATATAAATTCAAGCCCTTTTGAAGGGGGAAAAAAAAACCCGCTATGAATTCAAGTTAAAAAAAAAAATTCAACCAAATGATTGTTTGTGATTTTGTGCAAAGAGTATTAAGCTATAGAGTTTGATGTGAAAATAGTCTACGGTTTAATGTATTGTGTAAAATTTATAAAATATTAGGTGAGATATATATGTTCATATAATTTTTTTTATTATAATTTTAGCTGTTTATATTATAAATATAAATTACTTTTTGTATTTATAACTGATTAAAAATTTAATAAGAATTTATAATGCAATCGTGAAATAAACGCATTATCAAATCATGTAATTTTTATGTTGTTTTATTGCTATTGTGTTTTTACTTTATTGTTTGCTTGATTAGTTTTCTAAAAAAAGGAAAGCTAACATGTAGTTGCTTCAATGAATGTGAAATGCAGTATAAAGTACCAGAATAGAAGTGGATTTTACTCATATTAGAAGATGACAGTTATAGGTCTATCTTATTGCATGAAGTACAGAGTTTTGTTTTGGATAATGATGATCTTATCAAAAGATTTTTTTCTGAAGTCATTTTTCGAAAATTTCCAATCATTGGATTTATAAAATTCATTAGTGGAATAATAATTCTGGAAAGAATATTTTTAAAAAATTATGGCTTTTTTTCCTTTCCCCATAACACTTTTAGTATTATTCTTTTCTTTTTTCTCATAAACTTTTGGTGTAAGTTAATAAAATGTAAGAGTAAATCATAAATAAATCCTTCTAGTTTTGAAAAACGAATAATTATTTTTTCATGTTTCGAAAATTAATTATTTAGTTATTTTTATCTATTTTATGCTTTTTTATTTTATTTTTTAAATAAAAAAATAAATAGAGATCATCGAAAGATTAATAAAAAGAAGAAGATATTTATGGGAATGATAATTAAACATGATCAATACTAGTTAAAAAATAAATAATTAGTTTTTAAAATAAGAAAAACTAAATAATTTTTTTTTCAAAACCGAGAGGGATTGATTTATAATTTACCTCAAAATGCAATCTTATATTATTTAAATTGCTATAAGATTCTTGTCTACCATGATAAGGATGTTGAAAGCTAAAAAAAAAAAATTTAAATTAACCTCTTTAGTTTTGCAAAATAAATTAAATAATTCTTTAACGAGTGTTTATTGTGTTTAATTTAATATTATTTTAATTTAAAAAAATCTTCTTTTATTTCCAAAATTTCCATATTATTTACTTCTTTTCTTAAAAAAAAAATTAAATAACTTGAAAAAGGACTAATTAATTTTTTTTAAAACTAAAAAGATTATTTAATTTGTTTTGCAAACTTAGTACAACTAATTTAGAATTTACTCAAAGTCAAATCATTGTGATGCTCTGGTGAATGAAAAGCAGAAATCGAAGTTCCCAGTGAAAAACGCATTTCATGCAAACATATGCGATTATAATCGTGTTTAAGCTTTAAACTAATGATACCCATTTCACAAACTCAAGCAAATTTAAAGCTGGTGAAATGGGACATGCACAAAGGGAGTGGCTATAGTCACACCCCCATCTGGAATGCACACAACAGTCTCCACTTTCTAGCTCGGTCTCTCTAGTGCAGAGACATGCCAATGAGGCGAGGAGTCACTTACAATCGAGTAAAGTAATTATTCGATTTTTTTTTTCGATTTTCAATTAACCAAATTGATTAAAATAAAAATAAAAACCAAACTGAATTAAACTTTGATTTTTCGATTAAAAAACTAAATTTCCCTATTTGGTTTTTCAATTTTTGATTAAAAATCAGTTTTTTTTTCATATTTTCTTTTAAATTTCGAATTTTCTCTTATACTAAGCTAAATGACCACTTTTTTGTAATTTTTTTTATTTTCAAGAAATGCTAATAACTCGAATTAAATTTTAATAAAAAATCATAAAAAAATACTATAAATCTTAAGTGTGTGCGTTAAAAAAATAAAACACAACCTGAACTGAAATAATTTCAGTTTTTTTTCAAATCTTTTCTATAAAACCAAACTGAAATTATTAATTCAACTCGATTCGATTTTTTATTTTTTATTTTAACCGAACAATGCTCACCCATGCAACCAAGAACGCAGCACACGGAAAAAGGAGAATTGAGATAATGATGCAAACTATGGTCTCTTCTTCAAAGTGGATCTGGCGGTAGCAATCCTAACATTTCCCTGAAAGATTCCCACCCAACTTGGGGTAAAAAATAGAGCCAATGCTGACCAATGGAGCATGAAGGTATGCTTTTCGTAAAAAATTGACAAACACCATAACTTCTTGGAGGTACCATACAATGGAAAGGCCCTGGTATAATTGAATCAACTACGTCTCCACTCATTATGGAACAAACTACAACGATTACACATTTTTTCCTTAATGATGATCATTGATCCTAACACAACTGTTACTGGTGGCTTCCAAGGAGTCATTCTCTAAACTAGGCTAATCAAACTGCTGCCTAAGTTGCATCTCTGTCTCACTTTTCCAAGTAGCATGAGATGACTGACCCTTCATCCTCTTATTTTTTTCCTTGTCTTTGATAATAGACCCCTTCTTCTTGGATTCGTTGCTAGCGTCAGTGGGTGGGCGATCACCACAAACAGGACAGACCATTCCACGTGCATTAGAGAATGTCTTGGGTATTCCACATTGCAAGCACATCCTATAATCAGGTAAAAGTTTGTTAAAAAGAAACTCAATCAGCATTCAGCAGACAAAGATGCTTTAGAACAATCATCACAAGGCCATAGGCAATCAAACAACAAGAATAAAGTGCATGGCATACGCTTAAGCCGGTTCTAAGAGGCTTTTGGATATTGTTTATTCTGCAGTTCTAACCAAAGCTCAAAATCCATTCCTCCCAGGCCAAACAACAGTCCCAGATCCTCTAGTCCTACGGTCTTCAACCAGAACTCCAAACCACCACCTTAGAAAGGCGAATATTAAATGTGATTACACAAACACATGCTGTGGATTAGTCAGACAAAATGTAAAGGGTTCCAACCAGACAAAGAAAAGATTTGGTTGACTACCTTATTAGAAGAAAACACGAGGAGGGAGAGAAGAGTTTGTGACTGAAGGTCAGGTTATGTTTCCAGTTGTAGCACATAATAGACCAAATCATAATTAACCAAAGCAAACTACTTTCACTTTCGAGATAACAGTTGATTGCCACCAACAGAAATCCCCGTTTATCACACATATCTAAACCATCGACATATATCCTCAGCTCGAGGTGGTGCGACAGAGAGAACAAGCTATAAAACCATGTCATAGCTTATAAATGTTGCAAAAGATGAGAAGATATACCTCAGTAAATCTGCAGCATCTTCTGCGCCAGGATTGGTAGCAGTTGGCGCACGCTTTCCTCCCTCCTGCATAGTGCTTGGAACTGAAGATGGAGGTTCACGGGTGCCAATATCACTCCTCACTCGCTCCTGGATTCCAACAAGTAGAGGTTTGGCCTCCACCACAGCTCCTACATTTTGCACAACACATATAAGAAAATTATGTCTTCCCTATAGAACAACATTAACTCCGATAAAATAAATTGCTAATCAAAATAAACAATCATCAAGTTATTAGTAATTGGTAAAAACAAGAAATCAAGTATATCATATATTAAGCAGATGCATATAATAGCTTCACTGTGGTCAGAATGGAAGGGGAATTTAATCATGACCATGGCATAATGGAGTGACAGGGAGCTCACTCTAAAACAGCTATATTAACTATTTGCATAATTTCGATGCAACATAATTTCAGCTCTATGTGATTCTGTTATAGTAAGATTTGGTAATTGAGATGGTCATTGTGCTTTGAACTTCTTGACAGTTTACCTGCAGACACAAATGGTTAAAGAAGGCAGTCTTGGTTTCTAGCAATGAGCAAGTGATTTCTTTATGTACAGACTTGATTTCCTTTATTGACTCGAGGGAGCAAATCAAGCTGGTCTCTTGCACACCATACAAGCATTAATTGAAAAGCTAGTCTAAAATCAAGTTTCAAGCTTAACAACTGGTAATGGAATAGCTTTCGAGAACACCGCAGGTGGAACATCCCAATGAATCTCTTTGATAAATTTGCAGACTCGTAATAAACCAAGCCCTTGACTGTATTAAAATGCAGCTCTTGCTGACAGTAAATTGTGCAAGTTTCATAAAAAATATAAACCCACTGTTCTCTAGATCTAGATGGGTAGAGTACCAAAAAGATTATCAATCCTCTAACCTCTTTCCTTCTCACTGTTGTGGTGAAGGCATTTAGCTTGCTACTTGTAATCTAATGACAAGAACACATGTAACTGACAAACATATGAAATGGGAAAATTAATAATTTACTAGAAGGTAAGTCTTTCTTCTTGTCCTTGCGTTGATGATTACTATTGCTATTGTTATTGTTATTGTTTCTCCATGTCTTTCGGTGCTTCCCTTGCTGTTGCTGATTATGTTCAGCTCCTACACCGTACTCTTCCACGGAGTTACTAAGAAACTGGGGCGGCCCTGAAATCTCCAGAGAAAGAAAAACAAACCCTAAATCTCTCTTTCTTAATGTTATACAGAAACGAAATTTAAGAAAAAGATAACCTACTTGAGAGAAAGCATCCAGAGCAGAGGGAAGAAGGGAAGAAGAGGATGATGATCCATTGGAGGGTGCTTTGTATGAAATCTTCCAACGGCCGCCGGAATGCCCTTCTTCTCCTTCTTCTCCTGACAAATTTTGGTAATCTTCATCTTCTTCGGTTGCTGCTGCTTCTTCTTCTTCCTCTTCCGCAGAAGAATAACCTTGGATTAATGACAAGCTCATTTTTTTTAATGTTCTCCTTCGTCTTGTCGTCCCCGCCCAGACCAGCAGGCCTTTCCTTGCTTCTCTTTCTCCCCTTGTCTGCTTCTTATTATTGGTGCTTTGTTTCCAGAAAGCAAAAAAACAAAACAAAAAATTAAAAAGGAAAGAGGAATAAAATTTTACTGGCATCTTTTACTCCTCCTAGTTGTGTGCAAATGTCATATTTAAACTTTTAGTTGTTATCCGATCAATTCCGTCCTAACTGACCCTAAAGGGTGGGTCCAGTGAAGGAGATTTATTTCATTCATTGACTTTCTGTGTTAAAAAAAAAAACAGCATCAAGATAAATTTATTTCTTTCGAATATAAGGAGATTTAGTGGTCCAAAAATATTCATAAATATTAAATCAAAAAGAAAATTTTTTTAATTAAATTCAAAACAAAGAATTCTCATTAAATTTGAATAATAAATTGATCAATATTCTTATTAATTATCTGTGTGTGTGTGGTTGCGATGGATATAAAGAAAAAGAGCCTAGCTATTCATTATTTTCTCAAACAAATTAGTCTGGATGTGTCTTGTTTTTAAATGTATTTATTATTCTTTAATAATGATACATTTCTTACAATTTTTTTAATATTCTTTTGATTGTTACAAGTCCAAAATATTGGGCCAACTAGAGTGGAAAATTGTGAATTAGAAAAAAAAAAAAAACAATAGTATCTACTTCATGACATTTATGAATTGTTAAGTACATTTATTTATTGATTTTAAAGAATTAACATGGTGGTTAAAAAAACTTGGATTTAATTTTAATTTATGCGTAATTTCACTAATTTGATTCAAGGATATCCTTATAGTCCAATAAAAAAAAATGTTTACTTATTTATTATGCATTGTAATTAAGTTACAATATGAAAATATCCTGGTACTGTATCTATATCCTTCTACTATTATTTTGGTTTGTTGTGCTCCTCTCCTATAATCTCTAAGCACGTTATGTCCTCTGCATAGCAACACCCTAATCATGATTAATATTGAATATGTGGTATTCGATCAGGTTGTCGCATGAAGAAATTCGAGTTTGATTTTTTTTTTATCATAAAATAACAAGATTTTTTTAAAAAAAAAACATTATTAGATTATAATAATATATCTTTATCTTATCGTCATTTTTCTTAATCCGTTGTCTCTTTTGGTATTTCTCTCTCAACTTTTTTTTTTAAATAAGTAAAAAAAAAAATCATAAAACTTAACCTTTTTGTGAAAAAAAATATGTACATGAAGTCCGCCTTGGTGATTTCAATCCACAATTGCACTTGTGCTCGTGTCAAAGAAAATGAATCATGAGAAGAAAAGGATGGTGATGAATGAGATGTTACTTTCTTGTTTTTTGATTTTCAATAGGATGGTGATGGGTAAGCAAAGCTAGCCATGGGCTTTCAAGTTTACAGAGAGAAGAAGAATTTACGAAGAAAGAAGAAGATTGTGAGAAAAAGGAACCAGTTTGATTTAGAATTCTAGGGTTTCTAAACTATTTAACCATGTTTTTTTTATAAATATATTTTGTTATTTGATTGTAAAAAAAATAAAACTTAAATTTTAACATGGGATTGAGTACCATGTATAACACACTAATTATGATTAACAATCTACTATAAGAAATACCTAATTAATAAATGCATTTTTTAGGGTTTAACTCTATCGTAATTATTTAGACGAGGCGTAATGAACAAAAAAATTATAATAAAAAACACAGCGATAATTAGGACATTTTTAAGCTTTAACTCCATTGTACTTATTTAGAGTGTTTATTACTCATATCAAAATATTATCTCAAATAGGAATAAATAAGTAAAATAATTAAAAATTAATACATGTTTATACTTAATTTACCAAGTAACAAGGTATTATAATTGTGGGTTTCTTTGTAAAACTATCCTTCAACTAACAATTGCATTGAGAAGGAGAGCATGCTTGGCTCTTATTAGGAGTGTTGCATATTGTTATCAATGTTATGTTATGTTATGTTATATTATAAAATTAAATACTCAGATTAAACTATTCAATAATGAGACGATGTGGCGTGTTATGAGTAAAATACTCAACTGTTTAGTTATTTTTTATTGTGTTATTTGAACTAGAATTACTATTAAGGACACAACTTCAAGTTTTTTGTTAAAAAATGACAGTAAATTAAGTTTGAAAATATGAAAATAATTCATCTTTAAGATCAAAAGTCGTAAGCAATATAAGTAAAAAAAAAAAAAAAACCCAAGAATCAAAACATCATATATGTTTTTTAAGGGGTAGTATAGAAACTATTTATTAAGGTAAAATATGCAATATTATTATTATTATTATTATTATTTTATCTGAGGTTCTTTAATGTTATTTTTATCTCTGAAGTAAAATCAGCAGCCTTCCATCTAAAAAATTGTTATTTCTTATTCTTTTTCGAGGTGGAAGCTACTGTATATTTTAAACTGTTTTTTTTACAAAAACCATGTCTCACTCTCGAACTAATTTTAGTCAATTTATTTTTCTTTAATGCTTTGCTTTAAATCAGAGTCCTATAAGCTAAAAAATAAAAAATAAAAAAGAACTCAAATAGGTTCTAACGTCAAAAAAATAAAAAAAAAATCAGATTTTAAGCATACCATCCACATATATATATCAGTGCATGTATAAAAAACCATTGTTCTTGTGATTTTTTTCTAGTATCCAAATCCAAGGTAGAAAATGATTGCATTCACAACCTCTAAAAAATAATTATTGTGAATTAAATTATATATAGCAAAAATGAAGTAAATTATAAATTAGTCTATTTTGTTTGGAGAAACAAATTAATTATTTTTTTAAATTAATCATTTAGTTTTTGACTGTTAAGTTTTTATCGAATCCATTAAATTAATATATAATAATTAAAATACCTTTTAAGATATGTATACATATTCAATTTTTGAGACCGAGACAAATATTGTAGGGTTTTTTTTAAATCAGTTTCAAGACTCTTTCTTCACAAAATTTTATTTGATTTTTTTCCTTCACTCAACTCCAAATCCTCCCATGTTGTTTTTCTTTGCGAATGGTTTCAAGTTTCATGTTTCATGCCATCAGGATAAAAAAGTTTATATCTTTTGATTTTTTTTATTGTTTGGGTTGGAAGAACTTATGGGATAGACTACACTTGTGTATTTATTGAGAGGTAAAGTGACGTGCGAAAGGGAGTTTTTAAAAAAACTTATACGATGTGTTTGAATATTATTATAATGATAAAAATGATTGAAAAGAGAGAAAGTAAGCGAGTGAATAAAAAAATAAGATATAAAACAATAGGAATTTGGAAATAAAAATATCGTAGTAAGATCATCTCATTAACACTCTAATGAAATAGACCTGAAATGATATAGTTATTGATGAAATTAAATCGAAAAGACTAAGTTTTTGAAATACAAGGATTAGTTAATTCATCTCTCGAAATAAGAAGGACTAATTTATAATTTACTCAGCCGACACGGCGTGGTTATTTCCGGTTGGTTGATTCAATAAGTCAAAAAACTCAAAAAAAAAAAAAAAAACAAAAACACCGAGAGTAAAAAGACCAAGTAATAGTAGAGTCGAAGTGGACCCCATCGACCAATTTCCCAAAGTATACGCAGCTCTTGTTGCGTCGTGTCTCTTCTTTCCTTTGTAGCAGACAGGAGTCCTATATTCTAACATTCACCGCCCGGCGTGCGTCCTGTCTCTCTTCCTCTTCTCTTCTCGTAAAATCAGCCGCAGACGGAAGAAAATACCTGCTAGAGCTAGAGAACGAGTCGATTCGAAATTTGGGAAGGAAAGAAAAATGGATGGTATATATCAGAAATTGCGGAATTTGGATGCGTATCCAAAAATAAACGAGGATTTCTACAGTCGTACTCTCTCTGGTGGCCTCATCACTCTTATCTCTTCTATTATCATGCTTTTCCTCTTCTTCTCCGAATTCAGTAAGTAACGTCTTCAAATCTATTTTTTTCTTTTATTTCTACTCTTAATTATCTCGAGGATCCTTTCCTGTCATTTCCCTTATTTTGTATTTTTAATTTATTTTAATTTTGAAAGGCTTGTATCTTCATACGGTTACCGAGACAAAGCTTTTAGTGGATACTTCAAGGGGACAAACCCTACGCATCAATGTACTCATTTCTTCGTCTTTTATTTATTTCTTTTCATGTAAAAATAAAAAAATAAAATCACAGTGAGTTAATAACACTGCCCTTCGTTTTGATGAAGTTTGATATCACTTTTCCTGCCATTCGATGTTCGTTACTGAGTGTTGATGCCTTAGATGTCAGTGGAGAGCAGCATCATGATATTGTATGTACCCAAAATAAATAAATTAACGTCGGGTTTCTTGTTTTTCGTTTGTTTTATTTTATTTTCCCAATAATTTGGTTCTGATTGCAATTGCAGAGGCATGATATATCTAAGAAAAGGATTGATGCTCATGGTGATGTAATTGAAGTCCGCCAGGACGGGATTGGTGGCCCAAAGGTCAGCAACAAAGAAATTGAAAAATGCTTTACTAAAATAAATAAAGGGATTTCTATGCTTGTTCTTGACTTGCAGTCATGAATGAACGTTTCGAGTATTTGTTGTAGCTACTTGATCCAAAAAATATGTTGGAGGTTTTTAGTACATGACAATACAACCTAGATGGATTTTGATTTATAACACAATAATTTCTTTTATCGTTTTACGTTTCTTTTTTTGAATAATGCTAGAGATACTTAATTTTTTACGAAGACTTTGTTACTGAATGATGTGGCAGCTTATGATTGGTGATTTATTAGTTAAAACATTATATAATTACTATTTTATGACTAATTGTGATAAGATTCACTTTCTATGATTTGGAAAAATTTCAATACAATGAAATGCCTCATCACTTAGTAAGAGATATTTTGTAAAAAATTTAAGTGGCCCTAGCATTACTCTTCCTTTTTCCTTTCAATGCATGGTATTTCTTTCTCAGGTTTGTCTGTTTTTCCATCTATTTTTCTGTTTTGTTGTAATTTATTTCTTTTTTGCTCTATGTGTTTTCTTTGGCTGTCTGCCTTTTCATTTTGTGCCTTCCTTTCATGCAGATTGACAAGCCTTTACAGAGACATGGTGGCAGGCTCGAACACAATGAGGAATATTGTGGTTCATGTTTTGGTGCTGAACAGGTATGTTGATCCGCTACTCCTTATTTTGTCATGTCACATTGAAACTCTTAAAATTAGACCCTAGGTACCATACAAATGTATGACTATGAAACGAAAGTGTTTCTAGCTTGAGTTTTTGACTCTGTAGGAATTAGTCATCTAGACTGTTATTTTGAAAAGTTGACAAGTGTTGCTAGGAAACACAATTAGTAATGAATAAGATAAGGTAGAATAATGAGGAAAATGAAAAATGTTAAGGATTTCCTTCGTTATAAATATTGATTTTCTGACCTAAACTAAAGCCAGAAGATCTGCTGTAATTTTCTTAGTTAAATTTGCAATCAATCTTGCTGGTCCATGGGAGTTACATAGCAGGGTGTTTTTCTAAATATAACAATCTTTATCACCTAAATTGTCAATCTAATCTCCATAATGCAGGTGTTGAGCATGTACTCACTTCTCCATAATGCAGTTTTGAGCATTTACTCACTTCTCAGACTTGAAAAATTGTCACTCTAGACTTTAGGATCAAATTCAGCAAGTCATTGACATCATTTGCTAGTGATTGTGATTATGAAATGAAAGATAGGGAAATCAAGTAGAAGAAATGATGGAGGGGGAGGAGGAGCTGACCACTGTAGCTTGGGTGGTATGCTTAGTGAAAGGAGTGGCTGACGGAATGAAAGGGAAGAAGTAGAAGAAGGGTTAAAGCAGGACTATCTTGCCTGCTAGCTCTGGTTGAGTTTGCCTCGTAAATCATTGGGTTTGGTTGGGTTTGCATTTTACTTTATTGGTTAGCTGAATTAGGCTTTCTTTGGTTTACTAGTTGGGATTCGGCCATATTTTGTGTAGTTCATTAGCGTGCTGATCTAGTTGAGCTAGGATCTCATGCTAATGCTGGTTATGTTACATTGTTTGGAGACGAAGAACAAAGAAAATATTGACAGCTCATTTTATTTTTCTCATTTACAGATGTCAATTAAATACTGATTTTTTATCCCACTATAGAAATTATTTGAGATAATGCTTATTTTAATTGGAAAAAAAAGGATTCATTCATGTTTTTGTGCTTTTAAATGGCTTGTGGCTTAATGTTACAGGAAAAATCTGAACAAAAGTTTCCTACAACCCTTAGCTGTAGGAATTCATATTGCCCCACATGTGGTGATCTCTAGCATTTATTGTTTCACAAATAGTTGGGGAATCAAAATCGTTGCTGTATAACAAAAAATGATAAGCTTCCCTTTTAACAGCCATTAATGGGGAGCAAAGGTATACAGTGATAAGAGAATTTTACTGACCCAAAATTTGTGGAGTGATTAATGGTATGTAAGCGTAGTGGCTTGATAGATTGCCACATATTGTGGGGAATAGGAATTCCTACAGCCAACGGCTGTAGGAAACTTTTTGTTCTTAAAAATTTATGAAGCAGTGTAAGAGAGTGCTTCAATGCATACTGCAATATGAAATAGCAACTAACTAAGTCTTCCTTCCCCATTCCTCAGCTTGCTACATTTCGAAGGCTTGCTCTTAATTCTATTTTTCTGTAGATTATTAATCAATCTCTACCCTGCAGTCAGATGATGATTGTTGCAACTCATGTGAAGAAGTTCGTGAAGCATACAGGAAAAAAGGGTGGGCTATGACAAATATGGATCTGATTGACCAAGTAAGTTCTCTAGTATTTTATTTCAGAGAACTTTCACATGTATTATATTCTATTTCGTAGCAAGGCATAAAAAGGAGCTTATTATTGTTGTTGCTGATGTATCCCTTATTAGAACATCATCTCATGGAGGTATTCTATTTACCTTTATGATGGGACTTTTTCCTTGTGTTTTTTCTTCTGTGTTGCTAGAATTTTGCTCATCTACCATTAGAAAGTGCATCATATTACTTGCATAAAGAGTCCTAGCTTCTTAGATGGGGGTTATCTTTTAAATTATAGAAAAGTTGATTTCATGCTATCATGTGTTAGTGGAGTTAGGTGGATAGTATGCTTCTTAACTAACAAGTGCCTTAGCAAAACAATTTCATAAATACTGAAATGCGGGCCATCCTATACATTATAGGTCCAATAATCACTGAAACAAATTTAGTTAGCACTTTTAGTTTATGAGCTTCTGCTGTCATAGAAATAACTAAAAGTCATAAATAATTAAATTCCTAGCATGATTAAAAATTCAGAAGAATCAAGGAAATGATATAACAGTGCTAGAAGTCTTCCTTACTTCTCTGTGATGCCTTGAGGAAACTTGCTGGAGCAATTTCTTGGTGCAGTTAATCTGTAGTTAGAATTATTTTTGTAGTCTCCTTTTGTATCTGTCTTGCTAGTTTAGACCCTGTGGATCTGCTTATACCTATTCCTTGATACTGTTGCATGATTGTTGCCATAGAGAAGCCGAAAACTAATTTCCCATATTGATGCTTATGCTGAGTCCCTTGTCTGTGGGTGAACCAGCAATGTCTAACCAAATCCCTATGTGGAGTCATTCCACAACTTGCATTAGTAGGCAAATATTGTACATAGTGAAAATGCACATCCTATTCATTAAAGTTTTTCATTGTCAATACTGTGAGTTACCGATCTATTTTAAGCCTTGCATCCTCTGCTGTCTTGTCGAGTATGATCTCATCTAGTTTGGATGAACAAGTTGCTGCATCATGCATGAAAGCATTTACAAAGTAGGTGTGCCTCTTGATATTCCTTCCAAATTTGTTTTCTGCGGGCTCATAACTGGTTGCCCTTGGGCTTCTGTAGACTCAGATGGAAGATGCTTCCATTATTTGCTTGTCTTGTTAAATGAGGCAGCTTGGCTAGTGGGGGCAATGTGTATTTTTTTTTTGGTGATAAATCGATATTTGTTGATTAATAACTAAAGAGACTGGTTAAGAAAGCTCGTTGATCCTGACTGTGCATCAAAATTATCAATTCCCAACAAGATAAAGTATGGATCAAACTACTCCCCGAGTGGACAGGAAGGAACACTGAAGAGGAAAACCTCAAACTAGTGAGGTAGCAGTGTACGTGGTGTAGAACCACCAACAAGATCAAAAAACAAAGAACCAATTCTCTGGAAGCAAACTCAAATTTTTATTCTGATATCGATATGCAATGTCAAAACTGAATGTTTCAGGGGGTGCTTATTCGTAGACACCCAAATAAAATAAAATAAGAAATTTTATAATAATAGGAAATCGCAAGGAAACTAAAATAACAAAATTAAAGTCTATTTCTTTCTAAAATATGTGATCCTATAAAATCTATCTGTGGGCCCACACCAGTATCCCTTTTTATCTATACTGTAGCTTGGTTTGTGGTTGTTGTTACTGTGAATATTTGGAAATGCATGGATGGATCTATTAGTTAAAAGTTATAGCTGGCTATCTGAGTGTGTTAAATGCACATGCACATTCTATGCAGAGGTGCTAGTTTTTGACTTGTACTCATAGCGATTGTCTAGCTGCTTAGCCTCGGAATTTTTTTTTATATTCTGATGTTTCATCAGTACCATTTGCTTTCAGTGCAAACGTGAAGGCTTTATCCAAATGATAAAAGACGAAGAAGGTGAAGGATGTAATATTAATGGATCCCTGGAGGTAAACAGAATTGCTGGGAATTTTCATTTTGTTCCTGGGAAAGGCTTCCATCAATCATATGTTCAACTACAGGATTTACTGGATTTGCAAAAGGAGAGTTATAATGTAAGACATGTCTTGGTACCTAAAATACTTATGATTTAAAAATTTCTTTGTGAATTTTTGTCACGTCCCTTTTCTCCTATACATTTTTCTTTATATGAAATCTCAATGCATTAATGTTGTTTTAAACATTTTGGAGCATGATACAGATAAGTCACAGGATCAATAGACTAGCTTTTGGTGACTACTTTCCAGGCGTGGTAAATCCCCTTGATGGGTAATTTCCTCTTTCTTTTTTGGCATAGCTTCATGCACTTATATAAGTGCTCAGATTGTTATTTTAGGTGTATTTGCTGTATTATTTGAAATCGTTGTGTGTTTGAGTGATTGATAGGTACACATATATTCAAAATAGATACTTGTGATTTATCTATTGTCATGTTGAGATACTTGTGATCTATCTTTTGTCAAGTCAAGATTCCTTTCTATTTTGGATGTTTCCTTTTTGTTTATTTCATCTTCCCACCCTCTACCCCCACATTTGTTTTTGCCTTTTCATTTTAATAATTCTAATTTATTGCCTTGTCAGGGTACAATTGATGCATGAAACACCAAATGGTGTGCAGCAGTTTTTCATTAAGGTTGGTATTTTCAGTGCAAAAGCATTATTCTGACTCTACAAATCGATACTGAATCCTGTCCTCTGATGTTAAAAGAATTAATATTTTTGATTTAGAAATCCATCCAAATCTGTGCCTGCCTATGGAATTTTGGCTTAAGTCCAGCAATGTAAAAATTATTGCACGAGCATTTTTCAGGCATCTTCCACCTTTTGTATTTAATTCTGTTTCCGAACATTTTACCCATTAATTGTGAGGATTTCTAACTTTTTGCTGTCTTTTGTTCTTAGGCTGTTAGCATACGAGAGAAATGAATTCTGACTGTCTGTGGAAGATTACTGGATATATGTATACTAGATAAACTGTTTTGAAATTTGGATCATGTGACCAACCTGTGTGTGCCTTTAAAAATGTCATTTTTCATCATTGTCTTACTTGTAGCTGGCAATGTTTCAAAAGAATAACAATTTTAACTTTGCAGGTGGTCCCTACAATATACACTAATATTCGAGGCCGCACTGTGCATTCAAATCAGGTATTCCTAAGAATCTAAAGATCACAAATATGTTCCTTTTGACCTATTCATGTCTTCATGCCCTGAAGTAGCATGGATTTTTACAGTATTCTGTTACAGAGCATTTAAAGAAATCAGAAGTGATACGCCTTGATTCTCTTCCTGGAGTTTACTTCATCTATGACTTTTCTCCAATTAAGGTGTGTTCCTTGTTGCACGTATAATAATCTTGTTGAGCATATATCTGGAGTCTTTCATCATTATGTTGGCACAGCAGCTGTTACTAATGGAAAGCTTCCATTCTGTTGACTGTTGGTATTTAAACTAATTTTGTTTGTTTTCCACTGCTTATATGCTCCATACATTTTGACCACTTACAAAAGGGGATTTTAGAGACTTAAAATTTTGGAAATTATGTTGCTGGATTTTAAAAAGTTCTTTAAGAACTCATATGGTGAAAAAATATAATAGATGTGCTTGGGAAAAAATGTTCAAAAAAATAAAAATAAAAAGAGCAATCTACTTGTTTTGAAACTCTTGATTGGCAATAGACAAGATGGTGCTATACGAAACAAGCTGCCACTTGGTGTTGCTAATCATTTGCTATCTATCGCACTCTTCTGCGTTTTGCAGGTGACATTCAAAGAGGAGCATATTTCATTTTTACACTTCATGACAAGTATTTGTGCAATAATTGGAGGTAGTTTTCCTGTCTTTCACTCTCCACAATCCCCTGCCCTTGAAAGTTTACAATTTTACTCCAGAACATGCATTCACTTGCAGTTTATCCCATACCTTGAAAATGCACTCTTGTTATTCGTCGCTATAGTGTTTATTTTGGCAGCTTTGATGTGGCTTAATGAGATAAAGCTCATTATGGTGTTCATTTGTAGCTTTGGAATGCATTGCAGTAGTGTAATAGTGTGATTCTGTTCACTAGTTGACCTTTTTGACAACTCTGGAGGATACCAAAACTTGTATAGGTCTATTTAAACTCAGTTAAACCGTAGGAATATTCTCCAGGGCAAAGGCATTAGGCTTACAATTTGCACCCACAGGCCTAAGTATGGTCTTTTCCTTTGAAGGTGGCAATCCCACTAAAAATTAATAACAAGCACAAAAACTTTTATGTGGTCTAGCAATTGTCTACACAACCTTCAGTAATCAAAATTATTGCAGTCACTGACAGATTTGCTCAAGACATCTCTCAACCATATCTCTTACTAGTTAGCCCAAGATCCAATTACACCCAAGAAAGTTCTTACAAAAAAAATAAAACTGCTCAAATTCATGAAAAAAAAATGTCTCCATTTAGGGGGAAAAACCAAAAAAACCTTCTAAGAAAACCTCTCCAATATGCCTTAAAATGCCACTTCTTCTGAAACTCATGATGCTACCATCAGTTATATACACAAACTTGCTTGTACAATACTCAAAAGGAAATCGCACACTTAGTAAAAGGAATGCTATTTTAAACCAAGATTTTTCGCAGATACTTGGTAAAAGTAATGCTGCTATTTTAAACAAAGAGTTTTTCCGATTGATGCTGCTATTTTAAACAGAGTTTTTCCGATTGGAAATCCTTAACCCATTTGGAATTTGATACATGATTCCGAAAGAGGACTGGAAAATTAGGAGGGTTGGAATAGTTACTAAAGATGAAATAGAATTATGAAAATAAGTAGAGAAATTGACTTGAATAATAACATAAAACTGGAAAAAAAAAAAAGAATCTTAGAGGTCTTTCATTGTCTAATATTTAATCCTGGTAAGAAGGGAGAAACTGGCTTTTGAAATTGCTGCTTTTGCTTCACTAACCTCACTAGATAACTAATGCCAAAGTCACCCTTTGCACCATGGAAACCCATAAAGAGCTTTGCTTTGGCTAAATTGTATCGTATACAGGATGGAAGAAATTAAAGAGATTAGTTAGGCTTCTGCCAGAGAATGCTGTTTCAAGCTGGTGGACCCTGAGATTCCCATGCTTCTGGGTTTCATGGGTTCTCTTTAGGGCTTTGAACCAAAGTGATAGTTTTGTTTAGTGCTTAAATTAGGAAACATCATGTTCTAGTATCATAGTGAAAATAACTGGAACTTGCTATTTACCATGCAGAAAATCGACTTGTGCATTTGTGAGTGTAATTTGTCCACTTAACTAAGTCTCATTTTTAACTAGTTGTGGTTGACTGCATGGATACTTGTTGTTCGTTCTGTTATCTTTGGCTCTGAATGTTCTCTTTTTCCTTCTTCAAGCTAATATTTTTGTTTACCAATGGTTCTAAGCATTCTCGTCTCTGCTATGTGACACATTTAGCTCAATTTGCAACTTGAACCAACACTGGTAACTTGACTTGTAGTACTTACTGGATTTTTTTACTATTCAAACACTCAAAATATTAGAAGTTCGAAATTCAAGAACTCTTATCTCAGCTATTTTCTGTATCTGACATTAGTTTCTGATTTGGAAATATTTTAGAGAACAGGAAATTAGATATGGTTTTCTCCATTGTTAACTCATTCACATGGCTGCTCTAGCAAAGCCTAATGTGGAAGAAGCTCACAAGTAACCAAATTGCAAGCATCTCCAAAATGAAAATTCTGCAAATCTACAGAAAATTTACTTGCAAAATACTACAAAAAATTGTGGTTAATTATCAGATGTGCATTTTTGCACGGTTGTCAATCGAAACAACCTCCGCAAATGCTCCTGAGCACACTAAAATACAAAATACCAATTCAACTAAACCTGCCGTAAAGTTGTTGTATCAGTCAAAGTAGCATATCTACACCAGAAACTGTACTCTGAGCCTTACACACTTGGTAATGCTGGTTTATCACAATATTGCAGTAGTGAAGTTTGACATTGAAAACCAGTAATCCTTAGCTGTAAAATATTTCGACATCTTTTAACTTCCATTTCAGCGTTTCTGTGGGGCCTAATTGAAAAACAGTTTACTCTATTTCTAATATTTACTTTCTTGTGTAATATATTATTGAACCTTTTATAAGGATGATAACATGATATTACTGTATCTCATATTCCTGCATAAGCGTCTTATTTATTTCAATGATTAATGTATTGTTTACCTTTGTAGGTATTTTCACAATTGCGGGAATAGTAGATTCCTTTGTATATCATGGTCAAAGAGCAATCAAGAAGAAAGTGGAAATTGGCAAATTCGGTTGATATTTTCAGCGACTTTCCGTAACATTTTCAGGTCTTTTCATTGTAATTTAGCTGCCAATCTGATTTATTCACTCAAAACTTGTCCTCCTGAGTCAAGAGTAAATTTCTTATTTTTTTGTGCGAGCCTGATGTTTTAGGCTGTAAATGTCGCACAAAATGCATGTTAAGCCCAGAAGGATGCTGAAGGCAAAGAAAACGCTTTCAGCTGCAGCAGCTTAACTGAGTGATGCTTGTTACACATGTTCTGCTTGGCTGTTCCGTACTCTTGTTAGATAGCAAGTGCTTGCTACAATGGATGGCTGAGACTTTCTTTTTGTAGAATTTCAAAAAGTTCTCTTTTTTTGGTTTGACTCCTTTTTGGACTGCCTATTCAGATTTAATTGGAACTAGAATAGAATTTCTACATATCTCAGCAGAGTCGAAACTAAATATTAAAATATAATAACAGAGTTATATCGTGCTAGAGTTTATATGCCATATAATTCAAAGGCCTCGTCTGAAACAATAATTTTTTTATTAAATATTTAAGGACTCCAAAAAATTTAGGTCTGTTCATGATTAAATTGTAACTGATGCAAGTTTAGGGGCTGTTTTGAAATTTGTCAGAAGAACCTAGAACTAAAGTTATAAAAAGCTAAAATAAAGTTTGGACAAAAACAAAGTAGACTTGGAAGACAAATGGAGATTCCAATCCTATGAGATGAAATTGTGCAGCCATGATGAGAAAAGAGATCAGGCTTCCAGCCTGTTTCTTTTCTTTTTTTACTTTTTTTTTTTTTTGAGGGTTTGAATTTTAGCAGAACTAATCTGTTTAACTCACACTTAAGATTTCTAATCAAATTAATTTTGTAGGATTTGAATTTGTAAACTCTTATTATAATAAAAAATCATTATCATTAAATTACAAGTTAGTTAGTGGCTTATAGCCTGTTGAACAAAAGAAATCTCAGGTGAAAAAAGGTCTACTTGCATCCCTGGATCGACTAGGCAGGTACTGACAAGGTTGCATATCAAAGGAGATAAAGTAACAAGAGACAGAAAAATATATATGAAAATTTCTCTTTTAATTGGGGAATATTCAACCCTTCGGTTAGACACTTGTTTCTCAACGTATGCAGGCATGCAGCCTTGCTACATAACTTGTTGGAAGTTCTTGAGAAACCAACAACATATACGGGAGGCTCCATTCCGCTAGAATGACAGATGATAATAATGGTAATATTAAAAGCCTTCTTCATTTCCCGCAGATTGTATTACATTACTTTGTAAACTTGGTCAAAGCTAGAATATACTTCTAAATTATTAGAATAGTATTAATTTTGTGCCTAGACCATTTTGATTTTTCAATTAAAGACTTTCATTAGAATCAATTAATGAAAAATATTAAATTTCCTACAAAATAACGCGATATAGTTTCTTACATTCTCTTACATATTAAAAAATAATTTGAATGAAAATATGAATAAAAAAAAATCTTAATATAGATGAAAATTTGTAATTGAAAATTTTTAAAATGTTTATATAAAAAGCATGTAGAGATAAATTGAGACTGTTTATATAATTAAAGACAATTTTAAGAATGGTTGAATGATGCATGTGTTATGTGTTGTGTTGTATACGACAAATTACTAGGTTCAAATTTTAACGATTCTTTGGAATAGATGATGAAGAGTTAATTTAATGTCAGTTTCTAAATTCATAAGTTATTTGAAATCGAGTTTTTAAAATTTAATTTATACTTTTAACCTCTTTAAACTTTAAATTTTTTAGATTTAGTCAATCCGTTAGTCTTCTTACAAAAATAATTGAAAATTCGAAAAACAAATTCCAAAAGAAAAACCCAAAAATAAAATCTTGCATATTCATTACACAACATCAAAATCTCTAGCTCCTCTCTCCTCCCTCTCTCTCTTTCTCCATACTTAAAAAAAAAATTACAACATCAAAATCTCCCTCTCTCCTCCTTCTCTTTCTCTCTCCATATTTAGGGAAAAAAAAACCCCAGAAAATCTGAAGAAAGTTACAAAAAGAAAGGTTATATATAACATCAAAATCTCTCTTTGTCTTCTCCCTCCCTCCATCTCTCGATTGTTACATGTAAGATTCTTGATGAATATATTTCTTTTACTACACACTTGGATCAATCAGTAATTTCCACTTATACAAATATCATTAGTTGGTTTATTAGTTGTTAACCAGCTATTGTATATAAAATGTTAGAAAGCCTTGTAAAAAAAGGGCAAGTTATTTTTGCATCCAAGTTATTTTTCTAAGTATGGAGAGAGAGGGGGAAGGAGAAGAGAGATTTTGATGTTCTGTAATGAATAGGGGGATTTAATTCTCGGTGTTTTTTTGGGTTTTTTGTTTTTTTTTTTTTGACAAAAAACTAATGGATGGATAAAATTTCAAAAGATTTTAAAGTTAAAAAAAAGTTAAAAATTAAAATTAAAATTCAGAAACTCAACTTCAATCAGTAGGGCAAAACTAATTTGTTTCATGACCTTCTAAACCTAGCTCACGTTTCTTATCGGTGGCTGACTTATTTAACAAAAAAAAAAAAACTTTATTTTAGGAAATAAGGTTTAAAAAAAATTCTTTATGAGTGATTCAACCAAATATTACAATTGTTTTATAAAATATTACACACACATATATTGAGATATTCTCACGTTATTTATCAGTTTTTTATAATCTAAACCTTCTAAATAAACGCATGGTTAACATCCAAACCTTCTAAAATAAATAAATGATTGAAACTATTTCATATGTAAATTTAACGTTATGATAGCTAGAGAATCTAAAAGAGAAAAAAGAAACTAAAAAAAAATCCTAAAACACCAAATCGAACATTCTAATTCTCTACATAAACTCTTTTTTTTTTTTTAAAGATTATTACTAAATATTTGAATTTTTTAAAACAGTTTTCCAGATCAACGCTCTTCTTTTGAGATGTTTTGTGAAGATTTCTATTGCTATTTTCTTTTTTTAAGAATTTCATGACAACCAATGCATGAGAAGTTTCCTTTGAAAACATGATTTGAATAATCATGATTATAAAATTATATGTATATAAAAAGGGTAACAATATTTTTGTTATTTAGAGTTTGAAGATTTTATATTGTATTGTTTTCTTAGCATAATTTGCTTTGTCAATTGTATAGGCTTTTGCATAATTAAAAGAAAAATAAATTGTTCTCTTAAGAAGATTTCAAATTGAATGACATGATTTTGTGCATAATAATAAAAATAGTAACAATTAATTTAATTACATACCATTTGATTTCTCTGATATCACCTAATTCTGATTATTGAATTCCGAGACAATTGTGACATTTGGAATATGACAGAGCACGTTCTTGAATGAGTATGAGATCCAAATGTTTTTGTCATTTTTGACTCACCAATAAAAGTTTTAACTACTTAAGGAAGGGTGCAATGTTTGGATTCTATTAAATACGTTGAATGCTCCAAAATATCAAAGCTGCAAAGTAAAAGGTGACGAGAATAAGAGAAACTTACAACCAGAATAGTGCGTTTTAATTTTGCAGACAAGGAGGAGGCGGAGGAGCTTCAAGACTGCTCCTCCAATGGTTAAGATCATCAGGCTTTTAGGTTTTATTTTTTTTCTGATAATTCAGTACAGTACTGTAAATGGGAGAATCCATCGTCATAAGTTTGTGGTATGTTCATGCATCTCTCTCTCTCTCTCTCTCTCTCCAAATCTTCTTTTAATTTTCCCTCTCTGTCTCTCATTCGATTATTGTTGCAGGTGAAATCATCTTCATATACTCGACTATGTAATACAAAGGAAATCCTGACAGTAAATGGAAAATTCCCAGGGCCAACTTTGAAAGCCTATAGAGGCGATAAACTCACAGTAACAGTCTACAACAGAGCAAAATACAACATCACTCTTCACTGGTATATATGTTCCCACTTACCTACGTATACGCACACACATATATGCATATATGCAATTTTTTAGTTTATTTTTTATTTTTTGCTATACAATACTTAGTGGTAAGAGATTTGAACTTCCAACAAGAAATTTCGAGGTTTGAATTCCGTTTTCTACACCTTCTTGTGACCACCACAAGGGTTAAATCTGTTTTTCAATTTCAAGAATGTAATTAAGAGACTTGAAATCTCTTGTTTAAATCCAATTCGTACCTGTCAAAGATAATTAATTGATGGATGGTCAGTTTGGAATAAAAAAAGTTAATTAACTTTAGTAGAAGTTAATTAATTTTAGTAGTTAGCAGTAAACGGAACATGAGAATCGAATTACTATAAAAATAGATTAAATTGCTCATTACTGTGAAGATAAAAATCTATTCCAATCTTTTTTTTATGACGAAGCATTTTTTAAATTCGAAAATCCTAGAGAATGGATTTAACTTATAAGTTCAAGTAGTTTAATCACTAACATTTGGCTAGAGACTTATTGATTTATAAAGAACTAATTATACATACCTATATAATTAATAAATATCAGATACATAATTAATTTGTCGTTCGTGTGGGCATGGATTAAGACAAATTTCTCATAAAAAATGCAGGCATGGAGCGAGACAAGTAAGAAATCCATGGTCAGATGGGCCAGAATATATCACACAGTGCCCTATTCAGCCAGGAGGAGAGTTTGAGTACAGAATCATTTTGAGTAGAGAAGAAGGAACAATATGGTGGCATGCTCATAACAGTTGGGCAAGAGCAACAGTTCATGGAGCCTTCATTATTTATCCAAAGCCTGGATTTCACTATCCCTTCCCCAAGCCTCATGCTGAGATTCCAATTCTACTAGGTATCTATCTATCTATACACATAAATTTTACTTGTTTTTTTCCCTCCTCAACTACTCCTAGCCAACATTACAATTAATTAGTAAAAATGAGGATTAAGAGAAATTTTCCTCAATTAATAACATAAGTATTTTTCTTTCTTTTATTTTCAATCGACTTTAACAAATATTACTTCATAATCATGCGATAATATAGATTAATTTCCCAAAAAATAAAAAATAGTGATGGTGATATAGATGTATTAGGATATAATATTATAATCTTATTATAAAATTTATAAAATTATACACATCCTAAACAACATAAATTATAAAATATTAAAGTAAATCAGAATAGTAAAATAACAGGAGTGCCCAAATTAGAATATCTATAATGTTCACACACAATTTCCTGTTCCAAAGATAACATTCTACCCACTTTCAATTATTTTATTAATTTGCTATTAAATTATACACAATCTTTTTTTTTAATTATTAATGTAGTTGCCAAGTTGAGTGTGGTGAATTGACCTCTCTCATTACTACTGGGATCTGGAAAAAAATTAATGGATCGAAATAATTAAGTAAAAAGGCACCGAATTAAGAAAAAAAGGGAAAAAGAAATTGAGTAGGGGAATTTTTAAGGATTTGGATCGTCTTACGTGTCTAAGAAACATATCTTTGATATTTCAAATCTTATTATTAATTTTGACTTTGATTATTTGGAATAAATAAGAAATAAAAATATAACGAATTAAGCTGTTGCCATTTTTTCTTGCATTAATTAGATCATATCTATTCAATTAAATTCAATAATTTAGATTTAATTAACATGACAAACGAAAGAGAAACAGGAGAGTATGAATTGAAAAAAAAAAAAGTGACTAATTCTTCATATGATCCAGCTTAGAGGTGCTCTTTAGGACACTTGTTAAAAATCATTTAATGCTCTAAATCCATTTTTACTTTCTTTTTTAATCACGTAATTTTTTTTGAACACCTAAAAGTATTATTATATAAAATGACAATTATTTAATGTTTATAATCAACACCATTCATTTTCATTCAAATATTTAATATTTTTTATTATAACCCAACAGTAAATAAATTTTGAATGATGCTCAGGGAGTGCCCTAGGGACACTTAACAAAAATTGAAATGAAACATTATCTAGGCTTCTGTGAGGTCTAAGGATGATTGCTAGCTAGTATTTTACTTTGGATTTTTTTTCTTTTCTTTTTAACAAGTAAGAGGTATTTACCAAGGCTGGTTTTTACGTACGTAGGAGAGTGGTGGAAGAAAAATGTGATGGAAATACCAGGAGATGCAAATATAACAGGAGGTGAGCCAACTCTGTCAGATGCTTTTACTATCAATGGAGAACCAGGATATTTGTATCCCTGCTCCATAAAAGGTACGTAAAAGGAGAATTCTTGCTCAATTTCGATTGGTTTAAGAGTAGAGGTGCTTTGAAAATAATGGGAAAATAATTTGCTTCGAAATATTGTACGTGCAGGAACCTTTAAAATGATGGTGGAGCAAGGAAAAACCTATCTGCTTCGGATAGTTAATGCAGTAATGGACGAAAATCTATTCTTTGCGATCGCAAAACACAAGCTGACTATAGTAGGAAAAGATGGGAGTTATTTGAAACCATTTACAACAGACTATCTAATGATCACCCCTGGCCAATCCATGGACGTGTTGTTTGAAGCAAACCAACCTCCCAGCCACTATTCCATGGCTTCTAGGGCATACTCGAGTGCTTTTGGGGCAGGTTATGACAATACAACAACAACAGCCATAATACAATATCATGGCATTTATCAACCACCAAAATCTCCTCATTTCTCCCCTCTTCCTCCATATAATGCAACTCGAGCATCTGCAGACTTCACTAAGCAGTTTCGGAGTCCAGGAAAAGTCCAAGTTCCACAAAAAGTTGACACTCATTTGTTCTTTACAACGTCTGTGAACCTACTGAACTGCAGTACAGATAAACCTTGCGCAGGTCCCTTCGGTAAAAGGTTTTCAGCTAGTGTGAATAACATTAGCTTTGTGACTCCTCCATCATTGGATATCCTTCAAGCTTACTATTATGGAATTGATGGCGTTTTTGAGAGGAATTTTCCTCGTAAACCGCCTAATGAATTCAATTACACTGCTGGTAATCTCCCAGCCAACTTGTTGACACCAAGTTTCGGTACTAAGGTGATGGTTTTGGAGTACAATGCTAGTGTTGAGATAATTCTTCAAGGGACAAATGTGTTGGCTGCTGATAACCATCCCATTCATTTACATGGCTATAGCTTTCACGTGGTTGGATCGGGCTTTGGAAATTTTGACCCAACAAAGGATCCTTCAAGATATAATCTTGTTGATCCACCTGAGGAGACTACAGTTGGAATTCCTCATAATGGATGGGTAGCAATCAGATTCAGAGCAAATAACCCAGGTAAAATTTTAGTAATTTTGCTATTTTTCTCTATTCTGTTGTGGCTTTTTAGTAGCTAGTTGGCTAGTTTTTTAGGTCAAATTTGTTTTATCTAAAATATTATTATTGAATATACAAGAGGTTGGCTTGAATGAAAAACGCTCTAGTCGCTTAAGTAAGTATTTTCGAGTTCGAGTTTTTGTGTATGTAAAAAATTCTCCGAGAGGTTGTCTCCGTTTTGTGTGCTCGACGAACAGCAAAGGATTAGTCAAAATATTTAGGTTTGAAATACCTTAGAGGATCAAAAAAATATTATATATAGATAAATTTACATATTAGAGAATGAGTAACCTATATTGATATAATAATAATAATAATTCTACTCAAATCTTGAATATAGTACTTGTTAACATGCAGGTGTGTGGTTACTACATTGCCATATCGAGCGCCATGTAACTTGGGGGATGGGTATGGTGTTTCTGGTGAAAAATGGAGCTTCTCCTCGAGCTCGAATTCTTAAACCACCTCCTGACTTGCCAAAATGTTGAGAGTAGAACATCTTCTTTTTCGATTTAGATAATTCAATAAAGTCTATACTTATATGCACAAGTAGCTAGGTTTCAATTCCATTTGTTATCTATCGCTGTTATGCCTATATATAATATGAATGTAATTTCTTAGAATTCAAGGTTTTTTTTTTTTTTTTCTCGTATGGATTATACTTTCTAATTAGTTCTAAGAATTACTATTGGGAATTTAAAATCACTTTAATGATGGATTAAAAAAGATAAACTAACTCCAATGTGCCTTGAAAAAGCACAAATCAAATAGAACCAAATATCATGATATTGGGACTTCATATAATGAAGTAAATTACTAATCATATTATTTTTTAATTGATTTTTGATACAACAAGATTAAATTTATTATTTTTTAAATTAAATTAAAGCTAAATTATACTTAATTTTTGATCGATTCTAGAGCTAGATTCTTTAAATTAACTCGCTAATAATTTATATTCAATATCACGTATGTAAGATAGATGAATAAACTTTCAAAAAAATAAGAACCTAATCCATAACTAGAGAGTAAAAGATACTCAATTTACCGCTCCACCGACGACAACTTTGGTGGTTATATATCTCTTGTACTGCTATATATATATATAGCTTTGGTTTAGCTACCATACTCTGTATGCATCCATTGTATTGATATACCAAAGATTTCCCTAACTAATGACAAATAACAATTACGGGTATAAAATAAAAGATTTTATGATGCTTAAAAGTTTTTTTTTTGGTTAAATTGATACTAAAATTATCCTTCATAGAATATTCGAGCTTGTATGTTTTGGTGTTTTCGATAGAAGCTTTTATGAAGCACATGTAAATTATGAGCAAATTAGACAAAATCTTATAACTACTATCATCAATAGAAGGATGGTAGGGAGACATTAATTATCTAACATTGATTAAGTTTGAGGTAAATTGGTAAAATCAAAATGTTTGAGACTCAGTTGATAATGAAATTATACTTTATGAGTTAAATTGAGTTTTTGTATATAAAAAAAAAATTATAAATCCAAGTTCACTTAGTTCTTCAAAATTTTGGGTCCCCTTAATTTTCTATACTTAATAAATTATTATAAATGGAGGGTAAGAGAGGAAAATAGAGGAGAAGCAATTAGTTAACCTTATTTAAGGAAATTTTTTTAATAAAATCGAGTGGAAGGAAACTTTTTAACTATCATTCCCATCCTTTATCTTGAGATGTATATATCCCCCTAAATTAGGGGTAATGGAGAAGAAGGATTTTTATTTTCTAGAAAAAGAAATAACAATTTCGTTAATATTGAATAAATTACAAATAAATTACTACTTCCATACTACAATATTGGTTCAATTCTTCCGCTCTTCTATTTGAGCACAACTTGGAATTAGGGTTTCCACAGTATTAATGGTGCGGCAGTGTTAATGGTTGACAGTGGCAGTGGCATGATGGCTTCTGGCATCGATGCCTAGCTAGAGAGTTTGATAACTCTAGTAACTTTATTTTTAGGCTAAATACAACAATTTTTTTTCTTGAATTTTAGTTCATTTAAAAATCAGTTTATAAACTTTTAATTTGACGTTCTTGATTTTTTTTTTAAAAAAAAATGATCCATTTTTTTATTTTTAAAATTCACCCACCCTTTTAAAAGATTTAATTCTTGCTATTTTGAGCTGAAATTTTGTACATACATTGAAAAAAAAATCAATCTATTTTCTTAAAAAATCTCAGAATTTTCAAGATTGAAAGTATATTTATTTATTTATTGAATATTAAATATATAGGAAAAAAAAGAAACTAGCCTAGAATGATCCCTAATTTTTTAGAGAGCCTAGATAAATATTACTAATGATTTCTATTATGTGATCGTTATTTTTTTTATACAAACTAAAAAAAATTCAAGAGAGGTCAAATCTGAAATTAAAAATTAAAAAATTTATTCTGATATATGCTAAAGTTCATAGGAAGTTTGACCGATTTAACATTATTTTTAATTTGATGTGTAAAAATGCAGATGGTATTTTTAAAAGCTATTAATTAAAATTAATATTTATTAAAAATAAAGATTTGCACGTTTTAGTTGTATAAACGTGTGCGTCTCGAGTGACTTAATTTGACATCAATTAGATGGAAATCTTATTTTGTTATTATAAGTATCAACTTTTATTCTTAATATTTATTATAATTTTTTTTTTATCTTCAAAATATTTTAAGTTCAAACGCCTACCAATCCTTTGTTATTCTGTTAAATGTATTTAAAGCGGACACAACTAATCAAATCGTTTTCTGTATATACAAAAACTTACATCCAAAATCATTTATTAAAGCGATTAGAGTTTATTTCGTTCAAATTAATCATCCTAGGTGTTTTTATTGAATAATTTGTTCCATGATTATTTTGGTTTTTTGACCGACAAAACATAGGCCTTCACGCACTTCATCCAAACTAAATTCATGGACTCCCAAGCAAGACTTTGTCTTTTTTTTTCAATGATTAAAATCTTAAATTTGAATTGTCTATATATAGAAACAAATCGCATTTGATGCATAGAAATGATTTTGAACCTCCGTAAATTAATAGAAAAACGAGCTATACTATCAAACATCATTGATGAAAGTTTTTAAAATTATTCAAAAGGAAAAAGACCATGACGAATGAAAGAAATAAATAGTACACATGACCACATTAATCTCAATACAAGATATAGATTTATAAATTATAACAACGAAATAAAAAAGTAGATAATTTAAAAATTATGAAGAAGTTGACACCCATTAAAACCAACAAATATTCGACTGCTTTATTAGATTTTTAGGATTTTTGTTTTTGACAACCCATTTCCTAAAGTGAAGAATACTTGAAATGATTTAGACTCAAATTTACAATTATAACCTTATTATTAATCCATGGAAGTTGAACTCTTTTTGAATGACATAAATGTAATTTACTAACAGCATAACTTCTCATCCTCATCCTCATCCTCCTGAAGTCTGACACCCCCCCCCCCCCCCCCAAAAAAAAAAAAAAAATTATATATATATAGTAGAGATTCGATGCTAGAGAAAGAGAAGTAGACAAAATCTACTCTCTTTTCTTTTTCACCCTCCAAGGAGGGAAGAAAGGGCAGCCTTTTCATTTTCCCCTTCTTCCTGTGACTTTCGCTTTGGCTGTTTCGACCACTACCCAAGAAGTCTTTTAGGATCCCAAGTAGTCATTCCAAAAACCCACTACAGAAGCTATGGTGGATGTCGGTTGTGTGAACCCTTCTTCTAATTGCAATATCAACGGCAACCAAGAGAGCCCAAAAAAACCGAAAGATAAGAAGATGAAGAAGAAGAAGAAGCGTGGAGGGAGCAAGAAGAAGATGACAGTTGAACAGGCTTTGGCTTTCAAAGCCGTCAACGAATGGGTTTATTTGGATCAGCAATTGGTTGTTGATGATTTTGATTTCGGAGTACAGAAGACTGTAATGATGAGGAGAGACAAGGTTGTGTTTGAATTGCATTCTCATTCCAAATCCAGTGATGGCTTCTTGTCTCCTTCCAAGCTCGTCGAGAGAGCTCATGGAAATGGGGTCCGTCTTTCTTTCTTCTTTTTCTTTTTTCAAGGGATAAACATGCTGTGTGTTTGATGCTTTTGTGTGGTGGTGTTTCAATGACAAGTACTGAAATAAATTGCTGAAATGTTTTTTTCTTTTGACAAAAGAGAAGAAGAAAAGAGGAATGTTTATCTTATGATCCGGTAGTTTGGAAAAGCATATTTGAAGCAGGAATTTGTGTACTTGTGAAGAATTTAAACTCATCAGTTTAATTAATGTTGTTTATTTGTTGTGGCTTGGTTTTGTTCTATCTAGGCTTCAGCTCAAAGCAAGTGCCAACCTTGTCTGGATTTGATCCTTTTACATGTTTTCTTGATTAATCTGCAAGTAGTTTGGCTTTTTAACTGTTTCATTGGCGTTGAACTGTCATGATTGTTAATTATTGCAGTTGGGAACTGTGATTCCTTTTCTTCTGAATTCATTAATTATAGTATAAACTAATCCGTCGAAATTGCATTACTAGGTTTTGGATATGTATTTATCTGTTACATAACAAGGATTTTGTTTTTTGAGGAGTGTATGTAATGGATGCCCTTTCAAGGTTGTATACACTTTTCTTTTGTCTTTTTTGGTGATTGCTATGTTTTGATTTATTCGATCTTTCCAGTTTCAGTACCGAGATTTTAATTTGTAACATGTGTTCAGAACAGGTGAAAGTTCTTGCTCTTACTGATCATGACACAATGTCTGGTATACCTGAAGCTACAGAAGCAGCTCGCAGATTTGGCATCAAGATAATTCCAGGTGTTGAAATTAGCACAATATTCTCTCCAAGGTATCTGCTTTTATCCAAGTTGTTGTCATTCAAGATTTACCGTGTGGTAGTGGGTGGTCATATTGTTAGGAAACTGATGAAAGAAAACTAAATAAAATAAATCAAAGCTAATCATGCAGGATTTCCGTTTCCATTCTTGTAATTTGTCTATGTTTCTGTTATTCGGTCAATCGATCACAATGCAGAAATCCTGAAGCAGAGGAGCCAGTACACATCTTGGCATATTACAGTAGTGGTGGGCCAGCTAGGTTTGATGAACTGGAAAGGTTCTTGGCTAAAATAAGAGATGGTCGATACCTTCGTGCAAAAGAGATGGTCCTGAAACTCAATAAACTCAAGTTGCCTCTTAAGTGGGAGCACGTTACCAGAATTGCAGGCAAAGGAGTTGCTCCTGGAAGACTGCACGTGGCTCGAGCTATGGTTGAAGCAGGCTATGTAGAGAACCTGAAACAAGCTTTTGCCAGATATCTGTATGATGGTGGACCTGCTTATTCCACGTAATAATCCAGTGTTTTTTTAGTTAACTGGCTATACTGAGTATATCTCTTATTCAGAAAGTTGATCGGTGTAAATTATTTTTTTGTTGTTGAACAGAGGAAATGAGCCTCTTCCAGAGGAAGCAGTACAATTGATATGTGAAACAGGGGGTGTTGCTGTGCTGGCTCATCCTTGGGCATTGAAAAACCCTGTTGCAATAATCCAAAGGTTGAAAGATGCAGGTCTTCATGGGATGGAGGTTTACAGAAGCGATGGGAAACTGGCCGGTATGTTGTTTTTGCACCTTATCCCCAACTACCGCTCTTCTTTCTATCCTCGTCTCTTAAATTAAGGTGTTTTCTTTTTCCCTTTTGAGATGGAGGGGTATGGTGGGTATTGAATGCTTTAGAGTTGCCCAACATTTCCTCCTCCTTAACTTTAAAGAGTTTGGTTGTGATAATCTTGATTCTAAAGGGAAAACTTCACTGCACATATTAATCTAGAGATTATGCAATTGTCTTCTTGAAAATGATCATTCACAACATAGTTGCTGAAATGCAGACTGGGTTTAAAAGATGTGGGTTGCAATGGGTATTTACTGGCACCGAAAGAGCCATACATAATAGGCTACCCTTCTTTTTTTAATGTTTCTTTAACCACATAAGTCAAAAATGTTAAATGGGATGAGCTATGTTTTGGTATCGATGCTCTTAGTATGCTGAGAAAATAAGATCGATGAGTTTTTAGTCATTTTGAAAAATGGTTTAAACTAAGAATGGTTCCCTTTCTATTTAAAACACTGCAAATTCATCGTGAATCACACTACTAGTAGAAATGAGTCATCCCCCCCCCCCCCCCTTCCCTTAAAAAAAAAAGGAAGAAGAAGAAGAAGAGTCAATCATAGGTTGTTCAACATTGAAATTCTACTGTTATTATTTATGGAAAAGCTGAATTCTTTTAATTTTTGGATGAAGTTAATTCCAACATTGGTGGTCTAAATGAGAGTATGCATTTTTCATCTCTGACCTTGTTGCTGCACAAAAACCCTTGTCATGCATAACTATTTTTGCATTTCCTTCTCTTCTTCCCTCCTTATTTTGTCTTCATTTCACTATCTTTTGAACAGTATACAGTGACCTAGCAGATGCTTATGGTCTACTGAAGCTCGGAGGATCAGATTATCACGGTAGAGGTGGAAATAGTGAATCTGCACTAGGAAGTGTTAGCCTCCCAGCAGTTGCTTTGCACGACTTCCTGAAGGTAGCACGCCCAATCTGGTATCGTGCCATAAAGAATATTTTCGAGAGATATGCTGAGGAGCCCTCAGATTCGAATCTAGCAAGGATAACAAAGTTTGGGGGAACAAAGATTTTAAAGGGAAATTCCTCAATGAGTTGTGGCAAGGATCTGATTGATCGTTGCTTATCATTGTGGTTAACAACTGAGGAGGGGCAGACATGCGATTTGGAGGCCATTAAAACAAAGCTCTCCTATGTTAAAATTAATCAAGGTGGGATTCATGTTCCTATAGAGAGAAACTAACTCAAACGGATATATTTTCTTTCGCCTCAGTCCAAAAAAAGAAAAAAGAAAAAAGAAAAGCGTATTTCCGTTTGACAATTATTCATGTTCAAGTGATCAGGTTATCACCATTTTTTCTTGTTGCTGTTGTTATTTTATTTTATTTTTTTTAAAGCTGATTAAGCTTTTATCTGGAATATTTATGAGGTACATTAGTTCTTCTCTTGTTCTTTTTGAGTAAAAGATTATCCTAGAGGAATGATATCTCAAAGTATGTTTGGTTGCGCTTCCTCATTTTTTAAGACAAGATGGAACTAGATACAGAAGGACGAGACAGAACTACATAAGGGGAAAATATAAGATATATCCTATATAAGGTCCTTCTACCTACTATTTTTTCGAACTTTTCTTTTCCTTTTCGCATCGTTATGCATATTCTATTTTTAAAACCATTTTCTAGGTTTTCCATTATAATATAACGATAAAAAGTAGTTTGAAGAAAATAATTCATTTATGCAAAATTATTTTTCATTCCTAGAAAATACTAAATTTGGATACACCGGAAATCCTGGATAATTTGTTGCATAAATTATCTTCTTAAGCAATTTTAAAAACACACCCCTCGCATCGGTTTAGTGTATTTAAGAAATTTATAAATTTCTTTCAACACTATCTGAATATTTGAACTCAAGAAGTAAAGAGAGAGAGTCGATATCCGGTTCATAGAAAAAGAAAATCATAGGAAAAAAATTACAGCCCACAGAACACACACGAAAATAATAATGTACAAACCAAAGAAAAATAGATGCCAGAACTTCACAAGTTTAAGGATACAAATTAACTCATCACTTTAGAAATATAGAATTAAGAAGATACAAATTTGGTTAGAGAGCCAAAAGGCTAATAGCCATTTGTAAAGCATAAATTGATAGTCTAAACATCGTAATTTTAAATAAAGACTGTTACGTTATTTAATGGTCGTTGTATAATGATTTCAACGTATTTTATTATTGTTATTTTAATATTATAGTAAATCGCAATCCGTAATGATGATCGCGATCTTTTTTTTCAATCGTTTGTAATTGAAAACTATAATATATTCTATTAAATTAAAGTACCTGTAATTTTTTGACGTTAGCTCCAATGCATGCATGGTTGAACAACTTAAAAAGATCTCATTCTAATTTTTTAAAATTCGTATATGATATGAATAATTTCATATGCATTAGAAAGATGAAAAATAGAGCTCAAAGTTGACTCATAGGATGGTAGTTGAGAATTTGTAAAACTTCATCTATTTGTTTTGTTAACCTACTCTCAAGCATCTCAAAATCAATAGAATTATCCGAGGACAATTTTGTAATAAAAATAAACCTTGTTGGCCACCAAACCGATCCATTGAATTTTATCACAAGTTGACTGATTGTGAAAAAAATTGGAGAGAATTGCTGGTAATTCATAGGAACCACGAACGTAGAACCAGCCTTGAATTGAACTTATATAAGTTTTCACCTTACCATATAAATCAATAATACAGGAGTTCAAACATCCAGCACCAATCATTAGTCCTGCATGATGAAGTATGGATCTAACTTCATTCGAGATAGCGTTAGGGCGATATATCATGTTTGTTAAACCATCGATTTCAAAATAAATAGTTAAGATTTCTGCATAAGGAAAAATAATTAACTACTTTAAAAAAAAAAAAAAAGCTAGCCATTCACTAACTTGGATTAGATTTCATCAATATGTTGCTGTCATTTGTTTTACAACAACATCGTTTTAAACATTTCAATTTTTTTAATTAAATTTTTTTAAAAATAATTTAATTCTTTTTCATTAGATGGATCCATTACATAATATTAATTATTCAACAATTAAAATTAGATCCATAAACAACAAAATCATCTAAACTTCCTTAAAACTAACTATTATTAATTTTTTTTTAATTAGATGGATCCATTATATATCATTAATTTTTTTCAACAATAAAAATCAGATCCATAAAAAAAAAATCATCTATGCTTTTTTGAAGCTAACTATTTTTTTTAAAAAAATTAATTTTAATTAAAAATAATTAAAATGATATCATTTTAAGCATTTCAGTTAACGGTCAATACTCCGACTATAAGACATGACCAAAAAAAACCTCAAAAGTTAATAATTTGCTATTCAAATAACTCAAATGTATAATATAAACCTCATTTTGTGACAATGTTAATAGTTTGGAGGTAAATTAGGCCGTGATGGAGAGCTTTTCTACAGCATATCTCAATAGAAAGGGCTCAATGGCAAGGTTTTCTTAGCATAGTCTGACAAGAAGAGCCTAAGAATTCCCAACTCCAGAAATCCATTAGGTCCAATGAAGGCCCATTTCTCACCAAGAGACGTTAGCCCATTAAGCAGGTCCAAAGCTTCCAAAAGACACCAACTCTTCCTATCACGGGCCTCCAGTTTCAAAGAAAAATATACTGCTCTCCTACATTATCACTAGAAAACAAAGCATTAAATGAAGATTTATGTCAATCAAATCATCACTTCTAACAGCGTTCCTAACGTCCTCACAGAATCAAATACAATGATAGAAAAATATCAATATTTATTAACTCCTCCATTAACCATAAGGAAGAAAAAACATTCTTATCCTTTTAACCTTGCATGAAACTTCGGCTACCATCATGTAAAGGAAAATGTCTCAAACAGAAAAGGAGGCTATAGAATCTCCACAGAAATGAACACAAAAGCTCAACACAGACAACAAAACCTCTGAAAAAAAAATATCAGAAAAAATTCGCCTGATTTTTTTTTTCCCACGAAAACTCCAAACACAAGCAAAACAATGCAATAGAAGAGTCATAATTAGAAATACTTATTTTGCACATACAAAACGTAAGAATCTTTTGATCTTATTTTATGAAATTTTTAAAAATCATCATCGTTATGATAAATCACATATTCTAAATTTATTGATTGAGTTAATCGATGAGTGATGACTCATCGTATATCAAGAGTTTTAATAAAATTTTATAAAATATGTAAATTAAAATAATTTTTTTAATAATAATATCTTTTTGCTGTTGTATGAATCCTAGAGAAAATCGATATTCTAGCCAATTTTTGTTTTTTTTATTTGCCTACTCAATATATATATAAGTCAATGGGTGGAGAAGGCGAGACAAGTAGCGGAACAGTAGGTTTCTTGTGGAAAAGTTTGATTTGGGCACTTGACGACGACCCCGACAACTCCACCTCGACCACTTGTTTATCCGAGGAGGCAATCCCTATAGAACAGTATAACAAATGGACGTAACTACCCTTGATGACATCTCCAAACCACGGTAGGGTACGATTATCATAATATCATCAACCATTAATTAATACATGCTAGCGTCCCATAACGTTAACCCTCTCCTTGCACGTCCCTTTCTGACAATTGGCTAAATAGGGAGCTGCTTGTGCCTTTAACCATTCGTTTCTGGTTATAATTTTATTTATTTATTATATCATCTTTTGTTTTTGGTCAATCTTTAATAAATGGAACCATCCATCCATCAATCCATAAAAATATGAGGAGTAAACTACTATTTAGTACCTGTATTTTGTAAGAACTAATTATTTACGCATTTGGTTTATAGAAAAATCTTATATTAAATCCCTATATTTTATATGTTAATATTCTAGTCCTTTTCTCCATTGCGAATTTAATCATTCTTTCCTAATTTTCAGTTAGAGTTATCCAATCTCCCCACCACAAACAAAACTAAAATGCATTTTTTAAAAAAAGCTTAAACTAGTGTTGTCAAATTCGAGCCTATCTAATAGTTTGAAGTGAGATCAATCGAGGAGTTAATCTAATTAAAACCGATTTGATAAAATAATCAAATTTATCTTTGACCAAAGAAAAAAAAAACTTTTTACTTAGGTTAGAATTGGAACTTAGGTTTTATTTCATAAAAAAAAAAAAAGCGTTGCCAGCTTACCATATTGACATTAACATTTATGATATAATTTGATTTTAATGTTATATATTTGGTTTAAAATAAGAAAAAATATTGAAAAAACACAAACAATTGATGGAATTCAAACTCAGGACATCTCCTCTCTCTACAAGTACTTTGCCATCCATATACTTTCGATATATTTTATATATTAATATCGTGATTCATTAGATCAACTCCGGACCAGTTCTAACAACTATATTTTGCATATTCACATAAAGCCAAAAAGATCAAAGAGTTAATTTATTATTTTCAGAAAAATAGAACTAACTTGTAAAATCATAAAAACAACAGGGACTACGTAAATAGCTTAATCAAAATAAGAGTCGTGCAAGGAAAAAAAGGGAAAAGAAAAAAGAGGAGGGAGACTTGAGCCGCCCAAATCAGCATGCGCTTCTCATTCATTGGCAATTGGAACTTATTACCGAACGGGTATCTTTCTCTCCCATACACTTACTGTACAGTACTCAGAATACAATAGTAGCTGTTGTCCAATTATTACCATTTCGTCTCTATCTATATCATGTCTCAGCGATGTCTGTAGCCACTTCTCAGATCCGCTCGCTTTCTCCACATATTCTTTAATTTTGGTAGTTACGGTATGACTTTTTCTTTTTCTTTTTTGGTTTCTGATATTGTTTTTATGTTATTTGAATAATTGTTGAAATCCCGTTCTGTTTCCCATGTACACAGTTTGGATTCCGATTTTTTATTTTTATTTTTATTTTTTCTGAATGAATGATTATAGATTACTTATCTTAAGAATATTGATTTCTTCTTCTTCTTTTGGTTTTTTTTTTTTTGTGCTAATAATTGTGATTTATGTTTAGATTTTAATTTTAGATGCTCAAGTTTGTAGTGTTTTGTTGTTTTTTTCAGTTTCAGATCTACTAATTAACATTAATAATTGATGATTTTTTTTTTTTTTTGCTCTTCCTCTGTTTTTTTTTTTTCTTTTTTTTTTTTTTTGAATAGAAGAGGCCTGTTTCTTGGCCTCATTCCTGGACAAGATTAGCTGAAGCCCTGTTTTATTGGAAATCCAGACTCATGGGATTGAAAATTGAAATCAAATATTACGAGGCCCTGGCCTTTTTAAATTTCATTATATTGATATTAGTAGTTTTATACCATCTATGTTACATAAATTGATTGATGGAAGTCGAGGTAAAGTGAGGAAATTAAAGAGAGGAAGTTAATATGATGGAAGGAAGTCAATTAGTTGTAGCTTAACTAGCCTTAGTATTCCTCCTCCTCCTGCCATTGGCCCGGAAGACCACTTCTTTCTATCAATGGACACTGGAGCTTAATGCCTCCAAGAGGTCTCGAGTTGTTCGAACCTCTGCTATGTAACCAAGAGAGAGAGAGAGATGAGGAGAAAATTAAGGAAGTCAAAATCCTTTTTTTCTTGTTCTTTATTTCCTTAGATAATTTTCCCTCTTTTCCTTTCCATACATAGTTAGTTATCCTCACATACTGTCAGTGTGTTATTGTGTCCAATTTGCACGTTTTGCATTACATGGAGCTTCCCGATCTATTTGAAAGTAAAGGTGTGCTTCTTTCTAAATGATAGAAAGAAGTGAGATTAAAATCAATATGATTTGCTTATGGTTTTGTTGATGCTGTTATCCATTAGAAATGTCATTACTGAATTTTGTTACAGTATCATTTTTACTTTTATCTTTTGGAGCCCTTTTTGAATAATTTGACTCGGGTTATAAGAAATTCAAAGTGGGTTACACATCTTTTGTAATTGTATGTTCGATCTGCCTTATGTAATTGGAGTGCACATGAATACTAATCTTCTATGATGTCCTTCTTTTTCATTTCTTTTTATGCATATTATCTAATTACCATGATTTTTCGATGGTATTGATATTTGTTAGAGTAAATAATAATTCGGTCCATGTTTTTAGCAATATAATAACTTAGTTACTCTGGTTTCAGAAACCATAACCTAGTCCCTTAACTGTCTATGACTATTAAATCTTTAAAAGCTCAGTTAGTTTTTCAGACAATGACAAAACTACCTCTAGGTTTCTTTCAATTAATATAGTCAAAAGGGTATTTTGGTAAGAAAAATAACTGAATTGGTAACAGCTCAACACCTTACTAACGAACTCTTAGTGGAGGGACTAAGTTATAAACAAAAATCAAAACACTGGGATGCAATATTGGGCTTTTAAAACCCGAGGGGGACCAAATAATTATTTTGCTAAAAACATAAAGACTAAATAATAATTTACTATATTTTTAAACAAGTTATTTATTGATCTTCTTATTAACTTTGGGTTTGGTCTAAGTACTTATGTTTTTGTGGTGAATAAATGGTTGTGCCTACTATTAATGCCATTTAAGTGTTCTCTGTCATTTCGGTTGGGATGGCCCTCTCTTATTAAGATTTGGGTACTTTCCTTTCCAGATTTCAGTATGAGTTTGAAAAATGAATCACAATGTCCTGGAAGACCTATTATATTAATTCTATATTATTATTCTGCTAGATATTGCGTTGTCCTACTTTCTGCAGTCTGATGCGTTGAAGATATCGCATCCTGTCCAGTGAAATATGGTTGATAGTGCATTATTCTGTTCAATGACTTTGTGAGTTCATAAGTTAGTTTGAATTATATCTGATTTTGGTTTGATCTTCGTGCAGAAAACCATTTTTGGACCATGTTCATTAATCATTCAAAGGTTCTCATTCCTTTCGCTTCGTGTCAGATTGATGAAGCTGAAGAATTGTGAAGAAAGGAGCATAGGAGGCTCCGAAGATCTACACACGTTAATTCTGGCTGTTCTTGTTAAAGGGTTTTATCCTAGAAATGTTGTTAGATATTTCTAGGTCCTAAGTGCTTTTGTTATTTGAGCCTCTGCATTTGGTTCTGAGTTTTGCAAAGATGGACAGGTCAGATACGTCAGGCTTTGTAAGTGGCGGAGGTAGAATAAAGGGAAATTTCCATTTCTCTAAAACTTGTACCTGCTAGTATCATCTGCTGAAACCTTTTCTGCCAGTCAAGCTCTTGTTCCCCAGTGCTACAGTTTACAGCTTCTATACAATGAATCTTAACAAAAAGGGTCTGTGTTTTTCTCATAATAGAGAGCTTCCAAAAAATGATTGTTTTGGTGATACCACTTTGAGCTTGAACTGCCTTGGATATGGAGGAAGCAGTTCAACCAATGCTGACAGCACTCAAAATAATCTTAAGGCTGATTTCTCTAATGGTTCTGATGATGGCTGCAAGTTGGTGCTTGGACTGGGTCCAACACCAAGTGCATATTTTGATGATTGTTACAGCTTTGGTGTTAACAAAAACAAAGGTCCGGCTTCCACTGCTATATTTCCCAAGGGGCTGTTGTCTGAGAGTGATTCAATCCTAAAACTTGGCCTTTCAGGAGGGACTAAGGAAGCCTTGAGTGGTCTCGACTGTTCAATTTCGGAGACTGATACTAATACACCTATGCTGAACCAAATTCCTGCTGATGATACTAGAGTCCTGATTCCTGTTGTCGATGAGGGTTCCACATCAGCAAAGAAGTCTGGTGGCTATATGGCATCACTTCTTTTGGCTCCTAGAATCGATGCTGGAAAAGCTCCATCACAGACAGAACTTCTCGACTTTGGGACCAGATCTCATCATCAATTTCAGCTGAGCCATGAACCATCGGCTATCGCAGATTTCTCCATGGGCACTACTTCTGAGCAAGCAATTTCTACATCTTCTTCTGACCACAGAACTAGCAACCCAAAGAAATGCAAGTTCTTTGGTTGCTCAAAGGGAGCACGGGGTGCATCAGGCCTTTGTATTGGTCATGGAGGCGGACAACGATGCCAAAAGCCAGGTTGCAACAAGGGTGCTGAGAGCCGAACAGCCTATTGTAAGGCCCATGGTGGAGGGAGGAGGTGCGAACACTTGGGTTGCACCAAAAGTGCTGAGGGGAAGACAGAGTTTTGCATTGCCCATGGTGGCGGCAGAAGATGTGCGTTTCCCGGGGGATGCAATAAGGCTGCACGAGGCAAGTCAGGGCTTTGTATTAGACATGGTGGAGGGAAGAGGTGTATGGTTGAAGGCTGCACTCGTAGTGCTGAAGGACAGGCTGGGTTGTGTATTTCTCATGGGGGTGGACGTCGTTGCCAATTCCAAGGGTGTTCCAAGGGTGCTCAGGGGAGTACCTTGTTCTGCAAGGCTCATGGTGGAGGGAAGCGATGCATATTTGCAGGATGCACCAAAGGAGCTGAAGGGAGCACGCCATTGTGCAAGGGACATGGTGGAGGAAAGCGCTGCCTATTTGATGGTGGTGGAATTTGTCCAAAAAGTGTTCATGGGGGCACAAACTTTTGTGTTGCCCATGGTGGTGGAAAGAGGTGTGTAGTGCCAGGCTGTACAAAGAGTGCACGTGGCCGTACTGATTGTTGTGTTAGGCATGGTGGAGGGAAGCGGTGCAAATTTGAAAACTGTGGGAAGAGTGCCCAAGGTAGCACCGATTTCTGCAAGGCCCACGGTGGAGGCAAACGATGTACCTGGAGTGAGGGAAAATGTGAGAAGTTTGCCAGGGGTAAGAGTGGTCTATGTGCTGCCCACAGCAGTATGGTCCAAGAGAGGGAGGCAAACAAGACTGGTTTGATTGGACCCGGACTCTTCCATGGCCTTGTATCTGCTGCTTCAACTGCAGGGAGCAGCGACAACAATTATTCATGTTCTGGAGTTAGTGCTGTCTCGGACTGCATTGATTCCCTGGAAAAGCCAGCAAAAAGACTACTTCTTATACCGCCACAAGTACTGGTTCCTCTTTCTATGAAGGCCTCATCGTCTTATAAAGGTTTTACAAATGCTGAGAAGTTAGAGGAAGGTACAAATGGCTATGGTGCTAGCAGTGGTGGGATAAAGAGTTATGAGTACATGGTTCCTGAGGGAAGGGTCCATGGTGGTGGCCTTATGTCATTGTTTGGTGGAAATCTGAAGAATGCAATCGACGGAGTTTGAAGCTGGTGATTTCCAGTCCAAAGATATCCAGTAAGTCGGCCGAAATACACTAGGTTCCCTCGACTTTGTACATTTGGTCATACAAAACCTCGTACTTTAAATTGGGTCAAATCAACCCTACGTCTCTCAAGTAAAGGCAATTTGAGATCCAATTACATCATAACAGGTGGCATTCACCTAGCCATTTAGAAATGGAACTGGACAAAGGGGCTGAAATCACCTTTAATTGGAAGTAAATAGGCTGATTTGATCCAATTAAAGCAGAGGGTTTGATTTAACCAAATTTGAAAATAGAGGGACAATGTGTGATTTTTAGCATGAAATTGTGTACAAAAGTGTGATTTCTGTTTAATAACTGTGTATAGTTGGGTGTTAATTGATAGTATTTATTGTGGTAGGATATTGTATGAGGCACTTAATTTTTCTAGTTGACAATTTGACTATAAAAATAAGCCCTCAAAATCATGTTCAGTACATTCCTGCATGAGGCATTGATTTCTTGGAAGCAAAGTCGTTACAAGTGCTGTAGCCATTTGACGGACCGGCGGATTCCGGATCGGCACTGCCCTCGAATTATTGTTTCTTCCTTTTGGTAAAGAAAATAGAAAGAGAGGCAGACCTTTCTGAACTCTCCAGCAGAAAACAATATTCTTGTCAGGATCCAAGTTTAGGTTTTTTCTTATCTATAGAAATGTAAATTTACTCAGTAGATTTAAATAAATTTTGGGTACTTCGTTGCCGTCATTTGGTGTTATATAATAAACATGATCATTATTTTACTATTGTAAGAAGTTGTGATTTATCATTATTTTACTATTATAGAAAGTTGTGATTTACGATCCATCGTGGCTGCGATTGTTTTTTCAACCGCTACTGCAATTGAAAACTATGGATATAGTACCTTAACTACATCCATTATTTGACATTTGTTTCTTGTTTTTCCTGTGTTGATCAACTTCATATGCTGACTTGATGCAAGTTTGACTTCATGGGTGAGTGATATGGGAGTGGTAGCAAAATAGTAGCAGATGACATATACAAATGCAAATGATCTGTCATCTTAAGGATATACATTACTCGCCCCTTCGGAAGGAGAGAGCTGAAAACTAATGATTCATTACTCACAGAGGAGAGACAAAAGAAGGGTTAATACCATCATCTATTTTTATATAATAAGTCAAAATTTTAACTTATTCATAAATATGAAAACATCTCTAATTTATCCTTATTATTTCAATCGATTTTTTATCTATCTTTTTAGTTAAAATTTTCGATCAAATTAAATGTATAATTTGATAAAATTGTTTTTATTTTTTTGATACAAGTGACTTATATTTATTCATATGAAAATTAATTTCGGATGAATTGGTCGAAAATTTTAATCAAAAGAGTAAATTAGAAATCATTCTGAATAACAAGGACAGATTTTAGATTTTAAAACAGATTGAAAAATTTAATATATTATAGAATGATAGGTAAGAATGTTAACTCATAAAAATAATACGAAAAGTCAACAGGCAAGAATGGGGACAGATTAATACTATTGGTTGTGTTGTGGTTGAGGAATATTTTGATTGGTTGATGGGTGTGGAGGCTTCCTATTTGCTCCTTGTTTTTGAAAAATATGTTCGATTGATTGGGTCATGATGTCGGTGCAGATATTTTTTTCTTGGATTCTTCCAGGAGGTCAGCATTTAGATCCCCAGCTATGTTAATTGTTCTAGATAGGTTAGGCGAGGCTAGGTTTTATGGTAAGGAGGAGGATGTTCTTTCTTCTTCTTTATCTAGAATTTTTTTTTTTTTTTTTTCCCCTTCTACTCCTTCCATACGAGGACTTGAGATAAATTATGAACAAAATCATTTCTTATCAATTGGGGTTAAAAGAACTTTTGTCTATAAAGCTATTGATAGTTATTCTTTTATATGATACATTTTTGTTTTTGTTTTTTTTTTTTCCTTTCTCATGACAAAGCCTCTGAATTCTTTGAAAGAATTCTTGATTTCCAAAGCAACAAGAAAATTTTGTTCTAAAAGTAATATACATTAATTGTATAAATCCATAGAATTTGGCAAATGAAATTACTAAGAAAATGATTATTTTGAGAAAACGAATGTCAGCTTTCACTTGAACTTTCCATATGGCTAGGCATATTTTGAGTCATTGATAACCTTTCACCCCTACTAAAGAAACACACCTTTTGTTTTGGGAAAATTCATATTTTCGTAAATTTCCATCATCATTTCTTCACTTCTCAACATTATATAAAATTTTAGTAGTCGGAAAATCAAAGTATGCCAATAAAAAATAAAAATAAAAAGTCATCTCATCTATCCTTTGTTCATCCCTTGTAACACACCTTTGAGTATTAGTTATTGCAACGTACGTACAGTATGCTATTATAGGATGCCTGAGTTATGGCTATTCTTTTTTCTTGTTTAAACTTTCTTTTATAGAAGATAGATGATGAGATGTTATGAATTATCAGGAAAATATTTGAAGAAATTGTCTCCTAACCAACAGGAAGTACAAGAGATCGTCCAGGTTGTTACTGTTAAATAAATCTTCTGAACCCACAATATTGCGTTGAATTGTCTAGGTTGCCTTGTTGTTGAGTGTAGCCAACTATCGAAGCACAGACATGTTCGCTTGTAATTTCTTACAATACACTCTACAGGACACCAAGACTGAGAAAGAAACGCCTTTGATGAAAACCCGACTGGTGATCGAAAACATTACTGTATTTATTCCTGTAACAATCTTGACTAATCTCTATAATACATAAAAGTGATATGGGTGCTTCCATGGCTGTTACTGCCGTGTTTGCTGGCACCTGAACTTTCAAATATCCCTATAGAAATTACATCTGCGAGAAACTTCAATATATGATATAAACTAGACATTGAATAGAAAGAAAGGAAAGGTAAAAGGAAAAAGAAGAAAATTTATGCACATCGATTGATATCACATTCAAACACAAAATAGCTCTTGAAGAGACTTCCATTGTGCCCTTCAAAGGGAGGATCATCTGGGTCCGGACAATTCGTCTGGAGGGATGTGGGAAGTGGAATCAACGATCCAATGAGTGTTTGGGTGATGAGTTTGATTAATATCTTGACGGAACACCTCCTCTTTCTGCCATTCCTCCCATCTCTCCGCCAAGCCATCCCCTTCAAGCATCCTAACAACCTCTGACATCTTGGGTCGTTCCATTGGGGAGCTTTGTGTACACAGTAGAGCAACTTGGATCAGTTGCTCAACCTCATCATCGATGTAATTTCTCTGCAGATCAGCATCAACCAGCGTTTCCAACTTCTTATCTTTTAGAAGTCCCTTCACCTGAAATTTCAGAAATGAGGTTAGACCGTGAAGGAAAACAAAAACAACAAAGCAAACCAATTCCTTTGATGATTGAGCAACCTAAATAACAAACATGGAAATGTAAATAAATCTGATACCAAACAAAAGACTTACAAACGCCAGAATGGCAATGCTAGTAGGGGGATATTTTAGCACTTCTTTTGGCTTTTGAAGCCCGACAAACAATTTATACAAACAGAAGTACTCAGACAAAAATAGACAAATAGAATATCCAAATAAACATGCACAGCTTGCTACTACCAAAGGCAAAAATGTACCTCTTTTTAAATAGCATCAGATATCATCCTAGGAAAGTGTCCAAACTGAAGGCCAAAAAAAATGTTTCCTAACCGGTGCATATGTTTGTTCCAAGGACCAACCATCTCCCATAACCAGTATATTGTTATCTAAATCACCAAGAATTAACATATACATGACTTTCCTTAATTAGCACACAGCTATTCCTGGGCTGGAAATAAGATTTCAAGGCAGCAGCTAAAACAATCACCTATGTCTATTCTTCTATAGAGAAGGAAAGAGAGAAGGTCCAACTACTCGTAATGACAGGAAACAAGAATACTAGAGTAGTACCGACTAGTATATAAGCATGAAATTAAATTTTATTCACCAAGCCAAATGTTTCCTTGTTACAACCTTTCTCCTTCAAACTCTACGATTTTCTTTTCAAATTATTAATGGAACTTCTAATAATGCTATTTCTATAGTTTTTCAGGAACATTTGTGGGATATTTAAAATTTTAACCTAACATGAAAGAAATAATTGTATTTTTGACTCCAACAGCTATTAAATCCAGTTTCTCTCTTTAAATTTTGAGATTAGCAATTTATTGCCCCTCTCAGGCACTCCTTCCCTTGCCCCAGGCTAAGACTTGAGCCCAATACCTACCTCCCTGCTTTAAAGAGATTATGAATTATAAATAACTTCAGTAAAAAGCATCACTGACAAACTTTTAACCTTATAAAAATCAAGCTAATTGCAAACAGAGTCCATTATGCCCAATGTAAAGGGTTTCATTTATGAGCTAGAAACCTTTTGATATACTAAGGATCAAAAGCAAACTCATCCTATTTGTGCAAAGTACAAAAAGAAGTTCATTTTATTTTCATTTCTCAATATTGACACAGGACAAGCCCAGGGGCCTGTTTTAGTACTGATTGTAGAGGCTCTTTGAACAGTACGTGAACAGTGTATTAGGTGATTGCAAGCTGAATCTTTAATGTGTAATTGTTGTTGGGTTGGCTAGGTTAGCAAAGGAGGTTGTTGGAATTATTAGTGAGTGTTTTAAGGCTAGTTTGATGGGGTTTGTTTGCTGGAAATTGTAGACGTTGTAAGGTACATTTCTAGGAGCCACACTAAGGAGGAAAAACCTGAACTTCACACCTAGGGGCTTTAGAAGTCATACCTACGAGGAGATTGCATCACACAATCAAAAGCAAAATAGTTGGAATTTTATCTACTAACTGATTCTGAAAATAAAGCATTCCAAGCATAGTATTTATTCTAACAAGGAATAACTATTCTTGTTTTAGAAGTCATACCTAACAAGATCCTTTCCTAATCTAACAAGGACTTATAAGACTCTGAAACCACCAACATAATTATTCTTGTTTGGCATAAGAAAATAACTTTAGGACTAATAAAATAAATATTATAGAGAAATAAAACCTACACAAGCATGCTCAGCCTAGCGGTTGTGTACCCTATAGTCTTTTCTAGTGAAGCAATGTTTGAGTCCTAAAGACTCTAGTTTCTCAATTATAATTACATAATAGGGAGGACTACTTCTGTTATGTAGCACAAGGCTAGTTAGGCCTCCCACCGAACCAAATAAATAAATAAAACCTAGACCTAAACAAATTTCCAGCAAACATGAAAATGACTAAAATACCCCTCCATTCTAAAATTCAAATTAAAACACATCAATCTTATCCTTTTGCCACCTGCATCACAATTCCCTTAACCACTTACAGCAAAAATATGGAAATATCCCAACAAACAATGAAGGATTTCTAGAAAATTTGCCACCTTTCAAGTCATTGAAGTTTTAATGTAAGAAGACAAGAGATGCAGCGTCTACATACCCAATCAAGCAACATTACATCATCATCGTTCGCAAGGCGAGCAAGATCAAAAGCCCTCTGTCCAGTGATAAGTTCAAGAAGCATGACACCATACCCAAAAACATCAGTCTTCTCTGAAGACTTTCCTGTTGATAGGTACTCGGGTGCTATATGCCCAATTGTGCCACGTACTGCAGTAGTAACATGAGTATCTTTGTAATCCATGAGTTTTGCCAACCCAAAATCTCCTACAACTGCTTCAAATTCCTCATCTAACAATATATTTGCAGCTTTCACATCACGGTGAATGATCTTAGGATCACAATGATCATGCAAATAAGCCAGCCCTCGTGCAGATCCTAATGCAATTTGCTTCCTTATTGGCCAATTAAGTGGGGGTTGTGATTCTGAACGCTCTGCATTAATGCATCAATTTGAAAAAGAATAAACAATAATTCATAAAACAGGTCTTGGAGTTAATTAGAAAGTAAAATAATTTGGCTTAAAATACAGCCAGTTTACAAACTACTAAAATTTTTACCAACTTCCAAGCTTTCGCAATACCAAACATATATACAACATAGAATTGTGTATTAATTTTCTTTTTTCTTTTTGTGTTTTGGCACCAAAAAAGAAAAAAAAAAGAAGAAGAAGAGAGAATCTGATTAAGAAAAAGAGAACAACAACCACAACAAAAAGGAATATAAGATGATAAAATAATTATGTCCATTTTTTTCCTCTAATTTTTAAAGTTTTTAATTTAAATATCTTATTTAAATAGTTATAAAGGACTTTATTTTGTTTGGGGGGGGGGGGGTTATTGTGTATTAATTTTCTTCTTCTTTTTTGTTTTTGTGTTTTGGCACCAAAAAAGGAAAAAAAAAAAAAAGAGTGAGAGAGAATCTGATTAAGAAAAAGAAAACAACCATAATACAAGGAATATAAAATGATAAAATAATTATGTCCATTTTTTTCCCCCTAATTTTTAAAGTTTTTAATTTATATATCTTTTTTAAATAGTAATAAAGGACATTTTAGGGGTGGGTGGGGTTGTGTGTGTGTGTGTGTGTTTTTCAATTCTTCAAACTCTTGAATAATCTCTATAACTTCAGCCTCAAGGGCGTTATTGTAATTTACCCTGAAAAAAAAGAAGAAGAAGACAACAAAGCATATTTTTTCCCATAGAATGTATACTGAGGAACCAAATCCCTGCAGACTGGAGAGGAACTAAAGAAAGAGACCAACATGCAAGATTAGGAATTGCAATTGGAGAATTGAGGTTTCTATTCAAATTGGACTTGAAAATAAACTAATGAATTTTTTTCCCAAATTTTCAAACTTTTGAATGGTCTCTGTAATTTTGTCCTCGTGGTGGTTATTATAAATTTACCTTGAAAAAAAAAAAAAAACGATAAATTAAAATTAAGATGACAAAGCCTTTTTTTCCCACAGAATGTATAATTGAGGAAATACAAAATCTCTGCAAATTGAAGAGGCACTAAACAAGGAGACCAAAATGCAAAATTAGGAATTGCGATTGGAGAATTGAGGTTTCTTTTCAAATTGGACTTGAAAATAAACTAATGTCAAGATTAAAGATTGAAATCCTTAACCAGAATTTGGACTTGATGTCAACAAAATATGCAAAAATATATAAAGCTACCTTAAGGGGAAAAAATGAAGTGAATTGGCAACATGGAAAAGGAATCAACTACAAATTTCATAACAGAAAAAGATAAATATAGCAAAGAAAGATGCGGGCTGATAGCAGTACCTCTTAAACATGATGCTACACTTCCATTAACCATAAAAGGATAGACAAGCAACCGCTCAGTTGGAGTCATGCAAAAGCCACGTAGACGAAGCAAGTTCCGATGCACAGCCATGCTGATCATCTCAACTTCTGTCTGGAACTGCAGTTCCCCACCCTGGGTGCGCTCCTCTTTCAATCTTTTAACAGCCACCAGAGAGCCATCAGCTAAACGTCCTTTATAAACCTTTCCAAATCCACCCCTGCCCAAAATGTTTTTGTGACTAAAATTGTCAGTTGCAACTTGCAGCTCACGCAGAGAAAACCTTTTAAGCTGTCCAAGATGAACTTCTGGGTCCTCTTCGGCTGCACATAAATGTAGAGGGAGTGAAAATGCATCCTCAAAAGAAGAAATTTCTGTTGGGATCATTTAAGAACTCTCTTTCAAACAACACTGACCAGGTACATCGAAGAAATGGTCCTGTGGTTTTCTTCGTCGCCAGTAAGCAAGTGCAATTGCAGGGGCAGCAAACAGCAGAGCAGCACCAGCAGCAACTCCCCCAGCAATAGCTCCAGTGGCACTATTTCCTGTAGCAAAAGATATTTCAAAGCTTTATCAAGCCAAAAGTATATTCACGAATACCCAGAACAACAAATATTACCAAATAGAAAGATACATTTGAACTCAAGACCTAGACTATGTGAGGCGCTTACCTTCAACCCCTCCCCTCTTTCGGTTAAATGAGTGAATAAAAAGTTGACATTATAACTGACCATTAGAAGCACCCCCTGGTGGTGGAAAAGAAGATGGTGGAGAAGCTGGAAGAGGATTGAGGCGGGGATTATTTTGAAAACTGCAAACAAATGCAGAAGTTAGTAAAGCAGGCACTATGTCATCCACAACCACCAAAATGATACTAACAAATAGAATTACTTGCAACAAACCTGATAGGAGTGAATAAAGAGAATGAACCATTGACAGGGATATCTCCATGTAGATCGTTGTTAGAAAGATCCCTGCACAAATGGCAATTCATTTTCATTCAAGTAATATTTGGTGCCTGGTGAAATTCAGGATGCACCTATTCATGATAATGAAAGTATAGTCATCAGCAAAATAATACTCACAGGACTTGCAAGGAGGTAACCAGAGTTAAATTCATAGGAATCGTTCCCGACAAGGTGTTGTTGTTGAGACGCCTATTCACAGAACAGAAGAGTCATGTCCCGAATCTCCATGACATTGACAAAGCAATGACTACATTTACAGAATCAACTTTATGCACTGCTAGATGTGGACAGCCAGATTTCTAGATGGGAGTTACTATCATCCGAAGTACAAAATATCAGGGTATCTTTTGCTTGTCGACTAAATGTTTAATCTGATTTATCATAAAAAAAAATGTACTGAGTTATTACTATCCCTTACTTTGCTCCTTGTCTCTCTTCAGTGACATTTGTCAGTGCAGAAATTTAGTATGGTAAAAGTTGGAAAAAATATCTTCGTTTCATATTGCAACAAAAAGAACCATGTAAAGTGTACAGCCAAAACACGCACATACATATCTATTTCTTATTAACATAATGCCTACTCTGATTATCATAAAAACTTGTGTGGGCCAATTACTGTCTGCATATGCATTATTTCAACCCTCGTCTCTTCTATAGAGAAATTAAGTGAAAAGAGAACTACTTATGATAAAACATTGAAAAATATTTCTTTTTGCTTCATATTGCCACGAAAAAAAAAAACCCACTATGTAAGCCTCCAGCCAACACACAAACAAACAAGTCTTCTCAGTAGACTCAAAAGTCCATAAGAATATAAAAGAAACAGCAAACAAATTCCAAGTTTAACAGAAATATTGGATGAAAGGTGAGGTTTCATACAAGAAACGGAGTTTCTGAAGCTTGCCCAACGTCACTGGAATTGGACCATTTAACTTGTTCAAGTAAAGATCCAAGCTCACCAAGTTTGTCAGATTCCCAAGCTCATCAGGAATTCTTCCACTTATGTTATTGCTGAAAAGTTCCCTGCCAAAACAACTCCATATACTAAATATAATTCAATGAAAAAAAAGGAACAGGGTTTCAACGAAAGCACGTTTTAAGAAACATAAAAATTTTGATTTGATTCCAGGTAAAGTAACTAATGTTAGATTGTTTCCAAGCGATAGATATACACAACTGCATGCACATACATGCAGAGAGTCTATGATGAAGCGATGTCCCTTTAAAGCCTTGTTATTAGACATCAATTAGTAGGATCATGTCTAGAATCAATAAACTCTAGTAGATATAGATTATATAGGGATAGGCATATGCCTAATCACAAGACTAGGATACAAAAACTTGAACAATCCATAACAAGTGTATAAGCAATTTTGTTGGGGAGACATTAAGCACTTTTGTACAGTTAACAAGGCCAGATTTTAAAGAGGGAGAATCTTAATTTGTGTGTATCCATAGGCTGACTATGTTTCCTCTCCCTTTTCGTTTTTGATGGCAACATGTAATGAACCATACTTCCACAAAATCTACTGCTGCACAATCCATGATGTGAAACAATCAAACAAAGAAGAACATGGACGACTTACAAGTATTGCAAATTCAGAAGCTGCCCAAGTTGCGTAACCAGTTGACCAGATAGATTTGCATTTCCAAGATCACTGAAAGTAAAGTAGCATGTTCTTAGCTATGCCAGTCGTCATCACCATCATCAACAAGTAAATTTAAACTATCAACTCAAAAAATAAACTTACACACGCGTGACACTATTTTCACTATTGCATGTTACATGAAACCAAGTGCAGGGATTGACGAGTGTAGGATCCCAACTTTGAAGAACATTGTTCGGATCAAGTAAATTCATCTTTAATGCATTCAAGGCATCGCCTGTCTTGCCACACAAAACCATATCATTTCTATTATTATTCATCCAAATTTGGTAACCAAAAATGAAAAAACAAAAAGGCATACCTTCTGCATTACCGGAGACCCTGACGACCAAATGAAAGACCAAAAAGAAAGAAGAGCTCCAGATCGCCCACATCGCGTTTTCTTTCTTTCTTAAACCCCAAAATTATTTCATCCCCATAACCCACCTTGACTTTGTACAGAAGAACAAAGTTTCAAGAATCAACCCCGTTGACCCAATCCCAAATCAGTAATCGAAACTATTCAAAACCACCCAATATAAAATATAGGTAAATATCTTAAATTGTGCTATAAGAATTGGGAATTTGAGCAGTTGATTTTCTGTGTGTTTGGTGAGGAAGAGGATGAAAGCTGAGCCTCGTGGTGTGGGTAATGGAAAAAGAAGAAGAAAATGGAGAATTTTTTTATAATACTACAAGAGAAGAAGAGTTCGCTGAAAGTTTTTCAATGATCTACGGTTTGGGAAGGCGAAGGGCTCAGTCAAAGACAACTACATCGTAAGTCATCCGCACAAACCACATGTGTCGCATACTCACTTGTATTGCCACTTAAACTACAGGTTGAAATTTCTTTTTTTTGTTTGATTTGTTTAATGATATTTATTAACTACTTGCTGATAATTGTTCGATTAATTTTAGACACTCCATCACACTTCAAAACCTTAAGCTTTGTTTAACAAATAGAAATACTTTTGAATTTTCTAACTTTAATATCCGAATTTAACGTTAATCTATCAAATTTTGACCTAAGAAGGAGAAGAAGAAAAAATAAAAAAACGTAACACTTAGCTGAAAGAAGTAAATGGACAGAGTGTAATATCGAGCTAATCACAACTAGCTAAGAGCGAATAAAGTGAAGGGAAAATTTCATATTGATCCCCCAACTATATATAATTTCTCGATTGAGTTCTTTAGTTAAAATATCGGAGACCGGTTTAAGCGAGTGCAATGGTGTTCATGTGTTTTCTAACTAACCGTAATTCGCACAAGCCGGAGAACGTAATCAATTTTGCTCCTCATTCAACACGGCAATAACAACTACAACAAAATATTAAAGCAATATATTTCTCAATCGTGCACATGATAAATAAGGAGAATAATTTGGTTTTTTTTTTTTTTTGCCGAAGGCTTTGGAAGAGTAAAATTGGAAATCAAAAAATAGTGTGCAATTATTAAGTATTGTAGTAGAAGGAATTGATTGAAAAAAATGTAGATAAGCTGAGAGCCTAATTGATAAAATTAGTTGTTTAGGGACTTAATTAATAAAATAATATAGCTCGGGGAGTAATGTGAATTTTTCCTAAAGTTAATTTAGCAGCCGTTGACCTTTAAACTAGCCGCGTCAAACACGCACGGCGCGGATTTGCAGATTAAGGCAAGTTTGGCCCTCGTACTAATTTTTTTTTTTTTGAAGGATTTTGTCTCTACCGAAAAAAGTTTTATGTCCGCTTGCTATTGGTTTTGTTACTTCGAGTTAAGAACATTTTCACTTCAAGAACTTTTCAAATTTTTCTATTCGAATGTACTAATTTTCTATTTTACTCTAATCAATGGCATCTGTCTATATTTGTTAAGTTTTTGCGGATGCGTTAACTCTTACTATTTTAAACTCTTTAGGTTAGACATGTTAGATATTAATAATATAAAATTTAAAATAAATAAAAATGAAATTATATTTAAAAAAAATAAATGATCAATGAATTTTACCTCAATTGACATTAATGTCCCTCCTCTCTCCAAATGATCTCAAATTTAAATTTTCTTTGTAAAAAAATAATAATAAGGAGATGAAAGTTTGATCCATTATGATCTCTTCTTATGAGCTTTTTTTTTTTATTATGTTTAATGAATTTTTATTTTAGCAAACAATATTTTAAATATGAGAAATTCTAAAATTGCAAAAATTATGAGAAATTCTAAAACTATAAACCTCCAATTGACAAAAATGCAACAATATTTCTTTGACAAATTATTGAGTTATGACCAAACTTGTTTACATATGTTGCAATTAACATAGCTTGATCTCTCCCTTATAATGCTAGGGTTTTGTTCTCTTTGTTGCTTCTTCTACTCTTTCTTGGTCTACCAATACTCATCCTCGAACATGAGACACCACGATCAATTCTCTTTCTCAACGAGCAATAGGTGCACCATTTCATTACAAGTCTTCGGAAAAATAAGGAATGTGTAGTAGTATTCATAATAATCTTCCAACTCACACGATCATATGAAATATCGTAATTAATTTTCAACATCTAGGTAAAACAAAGAAAAACAAAATGATTATACCATGCTAAAATCAAAACAAAATCACACATTTCTTTTTATGAATTCTTACCTTGATGGAGGAAGCTTCCAATTGGAGAATGCACCAACGAATGCTCTTTTGAGTTCTCCATCATTTACTATAATATTTTGCTCTTGAACCATTTTATTAAAAAGTTCTATATTGTTGTTAGCACTAGCTTTGAATTTAAGAAAATATGTTTTAGTAAACTTAATGGAACCTTTTTTCTATTTCTTTGATACTTTATTATATCAATTTCGGTGAAGATCATAATTATAGACAAACTTTATGAATCTATCTTGTTGTGAACTCTCTATTTCAGTTTTTATTTGTATGATTACATTCAACGTGTGATAATAAAATGTTAAATTTATTTTATTATTATAAATTTGATTAATCTAAATTTAATGTCTATGTATTTTTTGTTTGTAAGGATGCATCTATGAAGAAAGGTTTTGTCACAATGATGCTTTGGGACAATGAGACGTGAGGTGACAATGAAGATCGGGTTGAATTCAAAAGAAAAGGAGTCCCTACCTAGTATTATAGGTCACTAGAAAATCATATCTAATTTTTAAATTAGTTAATTTTAGATAAATTCTAATTATATTTTTTTCTTTAAATATCTCGTTTATCCAATCATAAAACCGAGAAAATCTTTGATATGCTAGAATGAATTTCTGTTTGGTTTTGATATTTCGTATCTTTGAACTTAAGCTTAATCTCAATCAACATTTTTTTTTGCAATCTTTTAAAGATGTATGACATCATGTTGAAGCATAGAAACCTATTGAATTTTTAGAAGTTTGGACTTTTTTTAATTATGATGTTACATAAATTTATATTTCATTGATAATTTATTGTATTAATTTAAGTAGAGTTATTTTTCCTAAATGTTCGAGTGAAGGTCATGATTGTAGACAAACTTTATGAATTTATCTTGTTGTAAATTCTCTATTTTAGTTTTTATTTGTATGATTACTTTTAACATGTGATAATAAAATATTAAATTAAATTTTATTATTATAAATATGATTAATTTAAATTTAATTTCTATGTACCTTTTGTTCGTAAGGAAGAAAGGTTATGTTGTAAGAGGGCCGCGAAGTCGGATGTGCGGCGACAATAAGATGCGCAACAAAGACAATGATTGATGGCTGAATTCAAAAGAAAAAAGATTCGCTAGCTAGTGATATAGGTCACTAGAAACTATATGACTTGGTTTACTCAAAATTTGAGATAAGGGGACTTTTTAATAAAATGGCTTGAGAACAAAATATTATAGCGAGTTGATGAAAAACCCGAAAGAGCATTTGTTGGTGTATTCTCTAGTTGAAAGTTTCCTCCACCATGGTAAGAATTTATAAAAAGAAATGTGTAATTTTGTTTTTATTTTAATATGGTATAATCACTTTGTTTTTCTTTATTTTCTCTAGGTTGTTGAAATTTAATTACGAAGCCTTGTATGATCATAAAACTAAGAAGGCTAATTTGGATGGTATTCTAAGAAATTCAATTGGATATTCTGTTAAAGAAGGTGTATACAATAGTGTAATGCCACAAATTTCAAATATTTTTGAAGTAGAAAACAATATTTTTTGTACTGTATTAAAATTGTATTAGAATCAATTGAGATGAGGATAGCGAAAATGTTGATTATCGAAGGAGATTGTTATCCTTTTTATAAAGTAACATCAAGCGAACAATAATTTTAAGATAGAAACTTCGAGTTTTGGAGGTAAGTTTGTTTTTTCTTTTCTTAATCTTTGAAATCATTTTATATATTAATTAATTATTTTATTTTATATTTTAAGATTGGTATTGAGTTTAATACATAAGCGTCCATATAAAGAATATGAGATTGAGATTACATGTGTTCCAAGAGAAGACAATGGTCCAATAGATTATATTGCTAAGTATAAGGAAGAAGTTCTAAATTTGATAAAACATAATATAAGGTTGAAGAAAAAATTGATTATGATGTCAAGAGAATTAGGCATTCTGGAATCCGAAAAAAAATAGAAATCGAAGACAAAATATCTATTTTAAAAAAAAATTAGTTAACTTTAGATAAAATTCTAATTATACTTTTTTTCCTTATCTAGATACATGTACATCCAATTATAAAACTGAAAATCTTTTTATTTTCCGGAATAATTTTCTGCTTGGGTTTGATGTTTTATAACTTTGGATTTGAGCCTAATCTCAATCAACATTTTTTGTTCTTTTAATGACTCTTTTTTTTCAATTGTTTAAAGATGTATGACACCATGTTGAAGCATTGAAGTCTATTGAATTTTTAGAAGTTTGGACTTATTTTAACAAGTTTTAGTACTGATTGTAGAGGCTCTTTGAACAGTACGTGAACAGTGTATTAGGTGATTGCAAGCTGAATCTTTAATGTGTAATTGTTGTTGGGTTGGCTAGGTTAGCAAAGGAGGTTGTTGGAATTATTAGTGAGTGTTTTAAGGCTAGTTTGATGGGGTTTGTTTGCTGGAAATTGTAGACGTTGTAAGGTACATTTCTAGGAGCCACACTAAGGAGGAAAAACCTGAACTTCACACCTAGGGGCTTTAGAAGTCATACCTACGAGGAGATTGCATCACACAATCAAAAGCAAAATAGTTGGAATTTTATCTACTAACTGATTCTGAAAATAAAGCATTCCAAGCATAGTATTTATTCTAACAAGGAATAACTATTCTTGTTTTAGAAGTCATACCTAACAAGATCCTTTCCTAATCTAACAAGGACTTATAAGACTCTGAAACCACCAACATAATTATTCTTGTTTGGCATAAGAAAATAACTTTAGGACTAATAAAATAAATATTATAGAGAAATAAAACCTACACAAGCATGCTCAGCCTAGCGGTTGTGTACCCTATAGTCTTTTCTAGTGAAGCAATGTTTGAGTCCTAAAGACTCTAGTTTCTCAATTATAATTACATAATAGGGAGGACTACTTCTGTTATGTAGCACAAGGCTAGTTAGGCCTCCCACCGAACCAAATAAATAAATAAAACCTAGACCTAAACAAATTTCCAGCAAACATGAAAATGACTAAAATACCCCTCCATTCTAAAATTCAAATTAAAACACATCAATCTTATCCTTTTGCCACCTGCATCACAATTCCCTTAACCACTTACAGCAAAAATATGGAAATATCCCAACAAACAATGAAGGATTTCTAGAAAATTTGCCACCTTTCAAGTCATTGAAGTTTTAATGTAAGAAGACAAGAGATGCAGCGTCTACATACCCAATCAAGCAACATTACATCATCATCGTTCGCAAGGCGAGCAAGATCAAAAGCCCTCTGTCCAGTGATAAGTTCAAGAAGCATGACACCATACCCAAAAACATCAGTCTTCTCTGAAGACTTTCCTGTTGATAGGTACTCGGGTGCTATATGCCCAATTGTGCCACGTACTGCAGTAGTAACATGAGTATCTTTGTAATCCATGAGTTTTGCCAACCCAAAATCTCCTACAACTGCTTCAAATTCCTCATCTAACAATATATTTGCAGCTTTCACATCACGGTGAATGATCTTAGGATCACAATGATCATGCAAATAAGCCAGCCCTCGTGCAGATCCTAATGCAATTTGCTTCCTTATTGGCCAATTAAGTGGGGGTTGTGATTCTGAACGCTCTGCATTAATGCATCAATTTGAAAAAGAATAAACAATAATTCATAAAACAGGTCTTGGAGTTAATTAGAAAGTAAAATAATTTGGCTTAAAATACAGCCAGTTTACAAACTACTAAAATTTTTACCAACTTCCAAGCTTTCGCAATACCAAACATATATACAACATAGAATTGTGTATTAATTTTCTTTTTTCTTTTTGTGTTTTGGCACCAAAAAAGAAAAAAAAAAGAAGAAGAAGAGAGAATCTGATTAAGAAAAAGAGAACAACAACCACAACAAAAAGGAATATAAGATGATAAAATAATTATGTCCATTTTTTTCCTCTAATTTTTAAAGTTTTTAATTTAAATATCTTATTTAAATAGTTATAAAGGACTTTATTTTGTTTGGGGGGGGGGGGTTATTGTGTATTAATTTTCTTCTTCTTTTTTGTTTTTGTGTTTTGGCACCAAAAAAGGAAAAAAAAAAAAAGAGTGAGAGAGAATCTGATTAAGAAAAAGAAAACAACCATAATACAAGGAATATAAAATGATAAAATAATTATGTCCATTTTTTTCCCCCTAATTTTTAAAGTTTTTAATTTATATATCTTTTTTAAATAGTAATAAAGGACATTTTAGGGGTGGGTGGGGTTGTGTGTGTGTGTGTGTGTTTTTCAATTCTTCAAACTCTTGAATAATCTCTATAACTTCAGCCTCAAGGGCGTTATTGTAATTTACCCTGAAAAAAAAGAAGAAGAAGACAACAAAGCATATTTTTTCCCATAGAATGTATACTGAGGAACCAAATCCCTGCAGACTGGAGAGGAACTAAAGAAAGAGACCAACATGCAAGATTAGGAATTGCAATTGGAGAATTGAGGTTTCTATTCAAATTGGACTTGAAAATAAACTAATGAATTTTTTTCCCAAATTTTCAAACTTTTGAATGGTCTCTGTAATTTTGTCCTCGTGGTGGTTATTATAAATTTACCTTGAAAAAAAAAAAAAAACGATAAATTAAAATTAAGATGACAAAGCCTTTTTTTCCCACAGAATGTATAATTGAGGAAATACAAAATCTCTGCAAATTGAAGAGGCACTAAACAAGGAGACCAAAATGCAAAATTAGGAATTGCGATTGGAGAATTGAGGTTTCTTTTCAAATTGGACTTGAAAATAAACTAATGTCAAGATTAAAGATTGAAATCCTTAACCAGAATTTGGACTTGATGTCAACAAAATATGCAAAAATATATAAAGCTACCTTAAGGGGAAAAAATGAAGTGAATTGGCAACATGGAAAAGGAATCAACTACAAATTTCATAACAGAAAAAGATAAATATAGCAAAGAAAGATGCGGGCTGATAGCAGTACCTCTTAAACATGATGCTACACTTCCATTAACCATAAAAGGATAGACAAGCAACCGCTCAGTTGGAGTCATGCAAAAGCCACGTAGACGAAGCAAGTTCCGATGCACAGCCATGCTGATCATCTCAACTTCTGTCTGGAACTGCAGTTCCCCACCCTGGGTGCGCTCCTCTTTCAATCTTTTAACAGCCACCAGAGAGCCATCAGCTAAACGTCCTTTATAAACCTTTCCAAATCCACCCCTGCCCAAAATGTTTTTGTGACTAAAATTGTCAGTTGCAACTTGCAGCTCACGCAGAGAAAACCTTTTAAGCTGTCCAAGATGAACTTCTGGGTCCTCTTCGGCTGCACATAAATGTAGAGGGAGTGAAAATGCATCCTCAAAAGAAGAAATTTCTGTTGGGATCATTTAAGAACTCTCTTTCAAACAACACTGACCAGGTACATCGAAGAAATGGTCCTGTGGTTTTCTTCGTCGCCAGTAAGCAAGTGCAATTGCAGGGGCAGCAAACAGCAGAGCAGCACCAGCAGCAACTCCCCCAGCAATAGCTCCAGTGGCACTATTTCCTGTAGCAAAAGATATTTCAAAGCTTTATCAAGCCAAAAGTATATTCACGAATACCCAGAACAACAAATATTACCAAATAGAAAGATACATTTGAACTCAAGACCTAGACTATGTGAGGCGCTTACCTTCAACCCCTCCCCTCTTTCGGTTAAATGAGTGAATAAAAAGTTGACATTATAACTGACCATTAGAAGCACCCCCTGGTGGTGGAAAAGAAGATGGTGGAGAAGCTGGAAGAGGATTGAGGCGGGGATTATTTTGAAAACTGCAAACAAATGCAGAAGTTAGTAAAGCAGGCACTATGTCATCCACAACCACCAAAATGATACTAACAAATAGAATTACTTGCAACAAACCTGATAGGAGTGAATAAAGAGAATGAACCATTGACAGGGATATCTCCATGTAGATCGTTGTTAGAAAGATCCCTGCACAAATGGCAATTCATTTTCATTCAAGTAATATTTGGTGCCTGGTGAAATTCAGGATGCACCTATTCATGATAATGAAAGTATAGTCATCAGCAAAATAATACTCACAGGACTTGCAAGGAGGTAACCAGAGTTAAATTCATAGGAATCGTTCCCGACAAGGTGTTGTTGTTGAGACGCCTATTCACAGAACAGAAGAGTCATGTCCCGAATCTCCATGACATTGACAAAGCAATGACTACATTTACAGAATCAACTTTATGCACTGCTAGATGTGGACAGCCAGATTTCTAGATGGGATTTACTATCATCCGAAGTACAAAATATCAGGGTATCTTTTGCTTGTCGACTAAATGTTTAATCTGATTTATCATAAAAAAAAATGTACTGAGTTATTACTATCCCTTACTTTGCTCCTTGTCTCTCTTCAGTGACATTTGTCAGTGCAGAAATTTAGTATGGTAAAAGTTGGAAAAAATATCTTCGTTTCATATTGCAACAAAAAGAACCATGTAAAGTGTACAGCCAAAACACGCACATACATATCTATTTCTTATTAACATAATGCCTACTCTGATTATCATAAAAACTTGTGTGGGCCAATTACTGTCTGCATATGCATTATTTCAACCCTCGTCTCTTCTATAGAGAAATTAAGTGAAAAGAGAACTACTTATGATAAAACATTGAAAAATATTTCTTTTTGCTTCATATTGCCACGAAAAAAAAAAAACCCACTATGTAAGCCTCCAGCCAACACACAAACAAACAAGTCTTCTCAGTAGACTCAAAAGTCCATAAGAATATAAAAGAAACAGCAAACAAATTCCAAGTTTAACAGAAATATTGGATGAAAGGTGAGGTTTCATACAAGAAACGGAGTTTCTGAAGCTTGCCCAACGTCACTGGAATTGGACCATTTAACTTGTTCAAGTAAAGATCCAAGCTCACCAAGTTTGTCAGATTCCCAAGCTCATCAGGAATTCTTCCACTTATGTTATTGCTGAAAAGTTCCCTGCCAAAACAACTCCATATACTAAATATAATTCAATGAAAAAAAGGAACGGGGTTTCAACGAAAGCACGTTTTAAGAAACATAAAATTTTGATTTGATTCCAGGTAAAGTAACTAATGTTAGATTGTTTCCAAGCGATAGATATACACAACTGCATGCACATACATGCAGAGAGTCTATGATGAAGCGATGTCCCTTTAAAGCCTTGTTATTAGACATCAATTAGTAGGATCATGTCTAGAATCAATAAACTCTAGTAGATATAGATTATATAGGGATAGGCATATGCCTAATCACAAGACTAGGATACAAAAACTTGAACAATCCATAACAAGTGTATAAGCAATTTTGTTGGGGAGACATTAAGCACTTTTGTACAGTTAACAAGGCCAGATTTTAAAGAGGGAGAATCTTAATTTGTGTGTATCCATAGGCTGACTATGTTTCCTCTCCCTTTTCGTTTTTGATGGCAACATGTAATGAACCATACTTCCACAAAATCTACTGCTGCACAATCCATGATGTGAAACAATCAAACAAAGAAGAACATGGACGACTTACAAGTATTGCAAATTCAGAAGCTGCCCAAGTTGCGTAACCAGTTGACCAGATAGATTTGCATTTCCAAGATCACTGAAAGTAAAGTAGCATGTTCTTAGCTATGCCAGTCGTCATCACCATCATCAACAAGTAAATTTAAACTATCAACTCAAAAAATAAACTTACACACGCGTGACACTATTTTCACTATTGCATGTTACATGAAACCAAGTGCAGGGATTGACGAGTGTAGGATCCCAACTTTGAAGAACATTGTTCGGATCAAGTAAATTCATCTTTAATGCATTCAAGGCATCGCCTGTCTTGCCACACAAAACCATATCATTTCTATTATTATTCATCCAAATTTGGTAACCAAAAATGAAAAAACAAAAAGGCATACCTTCTGCATTACCGGAGACCCTGACGACCAAATGAAAGACCAAAAAGAAAGAAGAGCTCCAGATCGCCCACATCGCGTTTTCTTTCTTTCTTAAACCCCAAAATTATTTCATCCCCATAACCCACCTTGACTTTGTACAGAAGAACAAAGTTTCAAGAATCAACCCCGTTGACCCAATCCCAAATCAGTAATCGAAACTATTCAAAACCACCCAATATAAAATATAGGTAAATATCTTAAATTGTGCTATAAGAATTGGGAATTTGAGCAGTTGATTTTCTGTGTGTTTGGTGAGGAAGAGGATGAAAGCTGAGCCTCGTGGTGTGGGTAATGGAAAAAGAAGAAGAAAATGGAGAATTTTTTTATAATACTACAAGAGAAGAAGAGTTCGCTGAAAGTTTTTCAATGATCTACGGTTTGGGAAGGCGAAGGGCTCAGTCAAAGACAACTACATCGTAAGTCATCCGCACAAACCACATGTGTCGCATACTCACTTGTATTGCCACTTAAACTACAGGTTGAAATTTCTTTTTTTTTGTTTGATTTGTTTAATGATATTTATTAACTACTTGCTGATAATTGTTCGATTAATTTTAGACACTCCATCACACTTCAAAACCTTAAGCTTTGTTTAACAAATAGAAATACTTTTGAATTTTCTAACTTTAATATCCGAATTTAACGTTAATCTATCAAATTTTGACCTAAGAAGGAGAAGAAGAAAAAATAAAAAAACGTAACACTTAGCTGAAAGAAGTAAATGGACAGAGTGTAATATCGAGCTAATCACAACTAGCTAAGAGCGAATAAAGTGAAGGGAAAATTTCATATTGATCCCCCAACTATATATAATTTCTCGATTGAGTTCTTTAGTTAAAATATCGGAGACCGGTTTAAGCGAGTGCAATGGTGTTCATGTGTTTTCTAACTAACCGTAATTCGCACAAGCCGGAGAACGTAATCAATTTTGCTCCTCATTCAACACGGCAATAACAACTACAACAAAATATTAAAGCAATATATTTCTCAATCGTGCACATGATAAATAAGGAGAATAATTTGGTTTTTTTTTTTTTTTTGCCGAAGGCTTTGGAAGAGTAAAATTGGAAATCAAAAAATAGTGTGCAATTATTAAGTATTGTAGTAGAAGGAATTGATTGAAAAAAATGTAGATAAACCGAGAGCCTAATTGATAAAATTAGTTGTTTAGGGACTTAATTAATAAAATAATATAGCTCGGGGAGTAATGTGAATTTTTCCTAAAGTTAATTTAGCAGCCGTTGACCTTTAAACTAGCCGCGTCAAACACGCACGGCGCGGATTTGCAGATTAAGGCAAGTTTGGCCCCCGTACTAATTTTTTTTTTTTTGAAGGATTTTGTCTCTACCGAAAAAAGTTTTATGTCCGCTTGCTTATTGGTTTTGTTACTTCGAGTTAAGAACATTTTCACTTCAAGAACTTTTCAAATTTTTCTATTCGAATGTACTAATTTTCTATTTTACTCTAATCAATGGCATCTCGTCTATATTTGTTAAGTTTTTGCGGATGCGTTAACTCTTACTATTTTAAACTCTTTAGGTTAGACATGTTAGATATTAATAATATAAAATTTAAAATAAATAAAAATGAAATTATATTTAAAAAAAATAAATGATCAATGAATTTTACCTCAATTGACATTAATGTCCCTCCTCTCTCCAAATGATCTCAAATTTAAATTTTCTTTGTAAAAAAATAATAATAAGGAGATGAAAGTTTGATCCATTATGATCTCTTCTTATGAGCTTTTTTTTTTTATTATGTTTAATGAATTTTTATTTTAGCAAACAATATTTTAAATATGAGAAATTCTAAAATTGCAAAAATTATGAGAAATTCTAAAACTATAAACCTCCAATTGACAAAAATGCAACAATATTTCTTTGACAAATTATTGAGTTATGACCAAACTTGTTTACATATGTTGCAATTAACATAGCTTGATCTCTCCCTTATAATGCTAGGGTTTTGTTCTCTTTGTTGCTTCTTCTACTCTTTCTTGGTCTACCAATACTCATCCTCGAACATGAGACACCACAATCAATTCTCTTTCTCAACAGGCAATAGGTGCACCATTTCATTACAAGTCTTCGGAAAAATAAGGAATGTGTAGTAGTATTCATAATAATCTTCCAACTCACTCGATCATATGAAATATCGTAATTAATTTTCAACATCTAGGTAAAACAAAGAAAAACAAAATGATTATACCATGCTAAAATCAAAACAAAATCACACATTTCTTTTTATGAATTCTTACCTTGATGGAGGAAGCTTCCAATTGGAGAATGCACCAACGAATGCTCTTTTGAGTTCTCCATCATTTACTATAATATTTTGCTCTTGAACCATTTTATTAAAAAGTTCTATATTGTTGTTAGCACTAGCTTTGAATTTAAGAAAATATGTTTTAGTAAACTTAATGGAACCTTTTTTCTATTTCTTTGATACTTTATTATATCAATTTCGGTGAAGATCATAATTATAGACAAACTTTATGAATCTATCTTGTTGTGAACTCTCTATTTCAGTTTTTATTTGTATGATTACATTCAACGTGTGATAATAAAATGTTAAATTTATTTTATTATTATAAATTTGATTAATCTAAATTTAATGTCTATGTATTTTTTGTTTGTAAGGATGCATCTATGAAGAAAGGTTTTGTCACAATGATGCTGGGACAATGAGACGTGAGGTGACAATGAAGATCGGGTTGAATTCAAAAGAAAAGGAGTCCCTACCTAGTATTATAGGTCACTAGAAAATCATATCTAATTTTTAAATTAGTTAATTTTAGATAAATTCTAATTATATTTTTTTCTTTAAATATCCGTTTATCCAATCATAAAACCGAGAAAATCTTTGATATGCTAGAATGAATTTCTGTTTGGTTTTGATATTTCGTATCTTTGAACTTAAGCTTAATCTCAATCAACATTTTTTTTTGCAATCTTTTAAAGATGTATGACATCATGTTGAAGCATAGAAACCTATTGAATTTTTAGAAGTTTGGACTTTTTTAATTATGATGTTACATAAATTTATATTTCATTGATAATTTATTGTATTAATTTAAGTAGAGTTATTTTTCCTAAATGTTCGAGTGAAGGTCATGATTGTAGACAAACTTTATGAATTTATCTTGTTGTAAATTCTCTATTTTAGTTTTTATTTGTATGATTACTTTTAACATGTGATAATAAAATATTAAATTAAATTTTATTATTATAAATATGATTAATTTAAATTTAATTTCTATGTACCTTTTGTTCGTAAGGAAGAAAGGTTATGTTGTAAGAGGGCCGCGAAGTCGGATGTGCGACGACAATAAGATGCGCAACAAAGACAATGATTGATGGCTGAATTCAAAAGAAAAAAGATTCGCTAGCTAGTGATATAGGTCACTAGAAACTATATGACTGGTTTACTCAAAATTTGAGATAAGGGGACTTTTTAATAAAATGGCTTGAGAACAAAATATTATAGCGAGTTGATGAAAAACCCGAAAGAGCATTTGTTGGTGTATTCTCTAGTTGAAAGTTTCCTCCACCATGGTAAGAATTTATAAAAAGAAATGTGTAATTTTGTTTTTATTTTAATATGGTATAATCACTTTGTTTTTCTTTATTTTCTCTAGGTTGTTGAAATTTAATTACGAAGCCTTGTATGATCATAAAACTAAGAAGGCTAATTTGGATGGTATTCTAAGAAATTCAATTGGATATTCCGTTAAAGAAGGTGTATACAATAGTGTAATGCCACAAATTTCAAATATTTTTGAAGTAGAAAACAATATTTTTTGTACTGTATTAAAATTGTATTAGAATCAATTGAGATGAGGATAGCGAAAATGTTGATTATCGAAGGAGATTGTTATCCTTTTTATAAAGTAACATCAAGCGAACAATAATTTTAAGATAGAAACTTCGAGTTTTGGAGGTAAGTTTGTTTTTTCTTTTCTTAATCTTTGAAATCATTTTATATATTAATTAATTATTTTATTTTATATTTTAAGATTGGTATTGAGTTTAATACATAAGCGTCCATATAAAGAATATGAGATTGAGATTACATGTGTTCCAAGAGAAGACAATGGTCCAATAGATTATATTGCTAAGTATAAGGAAGAAGTTCTAAATTTGATAAAACATAATATAAGGTTGAAGAAAAAATTGATTATGATGTCAAGAGAATTAGGCATTCTGGAATCCGAAAAAAAATAGAAATCGAAGACAAAATATCTATTTTAAAAAAAAATTAGTTAACTTTAGATAAAATTCTAATTATACTTTTTTTCCTTATCTAGATACATGTACATCCAATTATAAAACTGAAAATCTTTTTATTTTCCGGAATAATTTTCTGCTTGGGTTTGATGTTTTATAACTTTGGATTTGAGCCTAATCTCAATCAACATTTTTTGTTCTTTTAATGACTCTTTTTTTTTCAATTGTTTAAAGATGTATGACACCATGTTGAAGCATTGAAGTCTATTGAATTTTTAGAAGTTTGGACTTATTTTAATTATGATGTTTGATAATTTTTTTTTATCCTTTATTATATTAATTTAAGGAGAGTTATTTTTTTCAAATGTTTTGAGTGAAGGTCATAATGTTGTACAAATTTTATGAATCTATCTTGTTGTGAACTCTCTCTTTTAGTTTTTATTTGTATGATTACGTTTGACATGTAATAATAAAATATTAAATTTTATTTTATTATTATAAATCTGCTTAATTTAAATTAAATTTCTATGTATTTTTTATTTGTAAGGATGTATTTATGAAGAAAGATTCCGTTGTAGGGGGGTCGCTACACGTCAAGACGCACGATGAAAACGATGATCGGGGCCGAATTCGAAAGAAAATGAGTCTTCACCGTAAAGGATAAGTCCAAGGAATAACAAACTCTAGAACATATCCAATATTGTTGTAACATTCCCTACTTTATCTTCGACATTTCGCATATCTCATGTATAAGAATAGCAACCGAGTTAAGATAAAATACGAATTCAATATTCTATTATGGTATCGTAGCCTTAAACACTCTAACGAGTTTTCTTTAATCCTCACTTATAACCAAGCCATGACAATCATTACCGAAACACCTATTGTGCAATTAAATGCACCAACTCATTTTCCCATCAAACTCACTTCCTCCAACTTTCTTGTTTGGAGGAAACAAATACAATCAACTCTCATTGACCTCAATCTATTAAAGTATATCGATAGTCCTCTACCTACACAATCACAATTTCTTGACATTGAGAAAATGAAGACCAATCCATAATATCCGGTATAGACGGGATCAAATTCTTATCGGCGCAATCCTCGACGAGTTGTTCTAAGACTACTCAACCAATCATCTTATCGCTTAAAACCTTCAAAGAAGCTTGGGATCGGCTCACTCTCGCCTATAGAAATTCTTCACTATCCGTAAATATCTCTCTCAAAGCTAAGCTAGCTAAGAATCCAAAAGGCACCACATCGATTGCTTGAATTTCTTAATGAAATACGATCCATTGTAGATGAATTGGCTCTTGTTCAAAATGCAATCCGTGAAAAGGATGTCGTCGTTCATATTATCACCCAATTAGGTGATGAGTTCAATACCATTGTTGCAATCATCAAAGTTCGTGAATCTTCAATTTCCTACTTAGAACTATTTAATAAATTAACATATTTCGAAAGAATACTAAAAAACAATGATATGGCACATTCCCCTGTTCTTACCAAAAATACAATCCTAAGGTCTAACAGATCCTACAAGTCATATCAAGGAACTTAGAATGGTGACTCAAAAATATAATCCTAAGGTCCAATAGTCCTACAAGTCATATCAAAGAACTCATATTCGTGCACAAGGGCATATCTCAAGTTATCGAAAATCCCGTAGTGGCTATGGTGCAAATCATTTTTGCTTCTCCTAGCATAATCAGAGTGGTAATCGATCCTATCTAGCAAATTTATTTTGTCATTTTTATGAGTTCACATCCCATGATACATATGAATACATGAAGCTTGTTAAGTTTTCTTGAAAAAAAAACAATATCTCTATGAACAACTATCAGAATCTCAATGCAAATCAGAGTCCAATGGCCAATGCTACCACTTCCATGAGTTTTACCACTATGCAACAACCTAGGTTATTTGACAGTGGGGCATCACACCATGCGACATCAAATCTATCAGTTTTACAATCATACTCTGACTATGGGGTATAAAAACAAAGAATTATGTATCATGTCGCTGTTGGTAGAAAATACAAGAATTCGGAAAAAATAGAACGTGACAGCAAAACAAAAAAGATATGCAGTAGTGAAAAAAGCAATTTAGCGGGCAGAAAAGACAAGAATACAGTTGGGAAAAATACAATTTGCCAAACCAACACTTCCCTAAAGATAGAAGAACTGAAATAGATGGCGAATTTGCTACACTTCATGCTCGCCAAAGTTCCGTGCCGTGTATACTGAAAAGTAGATCCTCAAGCCCTTAAGAATGCAAATTAAACTCAAGGCGGCACATACCGAAGTGAGCTCTAAAAGTTTTCCCTAGCTTGGACTCCTCCACAATTTCTGCAGCCATCATGGTTTAACGAGGGAAAAAATGGCGAATTTGCTGCTGTTTTTTTTTTTTTTTTTTTTTTTGGGTTTTGGTGGTGCTGAAGGAGATGAGGTAAGATGGAGTTCTAAGGAAGAGGGATTCAGAAGCTCTTGGAGAATTCTTTATCGATAATTTCCTTCTTTTTTTCCCTTCTCATTTATTCCAAGTTTAAGTCCATTTTTATAAGCCATTAGATTTGTTTTTTTTTTTTTTTTAGTTTAATATAAACCTTTGGATCAAAGGGATGAGTCTCATTCCCATTCCATTCATAGCAATTGGATCATGACTTTCAAACCTTGCCATCTACCTACACATCCTCAAAGCCTATAAAATATATCCTACCTCTTTCCTTTTTGGCATACCAAAATGTAATAAAGTAGAGCTCTCGTCATTCCATTGTTTTGGATAGGAAAGGCTTATTAGAAGTAATTTAAGCAAATAGTTTTAGAAAAAATGAAGCTCAACCTGTTCTGTTATGGAGGCAAACTCAGAGAATGGAAAGGTGAAAATCGGGGAAGCTCAAGGCTCCCAAGCCCTACCAGGCAACATACAGGTTCTTATAGGAGGAAAGTCTCTCGCTATGATCTAAGATCCAAAATCCTGGATCTTACCGTTAGTACTCATTAGGGTTTCAAATTTTAATTTCGACTAATTGGACTTGTGTTAAATTATTGAGTAAATTTGTCATAACCTTTCGACCTATTGATAGGTCAATAATTCCATTTTGAAATGCCTTTCTTGGAAGGCGAAAAGGAATACAAGCAAAACAAATGAAACTACTGCAGAGAACTTGAAAGTCTTGTTTCAAATCCTCACAGTCAAGGAGTGTTTCAAGCTTCCAACATGGAGAACGTGTTCTCCCAAGGCAACTTTCTTGCTTCCAAGCTCATCAACCACACTCAAATCCTCACAAACATCAACCTTAAATCTCACATGTCTATCTGTTTGTGCATTCAAGAAGACCTTCTCAAAACCCACCAAATGCTTCTGTGGTGAGTTGTGCACTGATGGGGGGTAGAGAACAAGAAAACCGTATGGCTTCCGCTCATTGTTCCCATATTTTTAATTCTCAAATGCATATCAAATGTTAAGTTCTGACAGGTCTGTTCTATGGCAACAACTGATTCGCATTCTGAAGAGTGACAAACATGATTTTCCTCTAAAGGAACAGACACTAGTTGAGGTGCTTGAATCAGCTCGTGGTTGAATTGGGAATAGCTTAGTCCATCTCCAAATGAGTAAACAGTTTCTCCAGTGTAGAACCTGTAGGTTCTGCCAGGGTAGCCATTGGAAGCGTCTGGTCTCATGTTCATATTTGTCATTGGTACTTTGTCTACGAATGATTGCGGATACCATGTCATCGGTAGCCTCCCACCTGAAGAGAAAATTTATATAATGTTAAATCTTTTATTAGATTTAAAACCAAAAGAAATGATCTGAAAAATAAATCCAACACAATTACGGGATGGTTGGTGAGTACTTGGATTATAAGAACCGAAGATAACATCAGCTATGGCAGCTCCACCAGCTTCGCCAGGGTAGCCAACCCATAGGATACTTGTGATTTTGTCATTAGTTTTTGCGAATGATACATCCATGCCCCCTCCAGACATTATAACAAGAATTACAGGTCCAGTGGATGCATTTGCAACTGCTGTTATCAGAAGCTGCTGCTGTCCAGGAAGAACAATGTCCACCCTGTCACGACTCTCTGCTTCTATAGATAGATCGGCACCCATTACAAGCACCGTGGCATCAGCTGCGGCTGCTAGTTTCTTGGCTTCATCTACTTGGGCAGTGCTGCATGCTACGTTTGAGCAGCCAGGAAGATACGTTGTTGTAACAGAAGCCGCTAGTCCTTGTAAAGGGGTTGTATATTTGCAGGGGGTACCTAAATCATATAAAAGGAATCAGTGTTAGGAGTGAGTGTTAATAGGAACGAAACTGGATGAAATAGTTAAAAGATTACCTTCATAGTTTCCGATCATTGTTTTAGTGACATTGGCATTTGGTCCAATTACTGCCAAGTTTTTTATGGCAGTGGGAGATAGAGGCAGTGATCCTACAGTGTTCTTAAGCAACACGATCCCTTGCCTGGCAGCTTCACGGGCCAGCTCCTGATTCTCTGCTGTACATACATCTTTTGGTCCTAAACTCCCATAGAGTTGTTTGCTTGGATCACCATCAAAGAACCCAAGTCGCATTAAAGTGGCAAAATTGTTCGAGACTGCTCTATCAATGGCCGACTCGTTCACAAGTCCTGCTTTTACTGCTGCTTCAGTGTGTTTCCCCAAGAAAGCTCCACAGTTGAGGTCCAATCCTGTCAAATTTGAACCATTTAGCAATTAGTGAGAAACATCCAATAAGATGTCTAAAATTCTTCTCTCTTTCTTTGTTGCAAAAAAAAAAAAAAATCTATTCGGATTCAGTATCTTTTGATAAAAACAGAATGCTAATATCAATCTGAGTCAGAGATTATTAGCAAAATTTATGTCTCTTTAATGTAAAATTAAATATATGATTCATAAAAAAGTCATTAGACGTTAGAAAACAGGAAATCGGACATAACTTATTGGATATTTCTCATTTATAATTTGAAACTTTTAATTAATATATTAGGGTCTATTAACAAATGAGAAATATCCAAATTCTGATTTGGCCATTATTGACGAAAGTAAAATCAATTTACATGGAAATCTAAGAACGAACAGGGAATTACCTGCCAATAATGCTTTAGCTGCAGCTTCTTCTGGTGTTTTGGTATAATGTTGGTCGTTGTAGATTACGTCTATCGAATCACAATCGGAAACAATGTATCTGCAGCAGCCCGATTTAGTTTCCAGGTAAGAACATATGAAAGAACACAATCGAACAATTTTTTTGAAATTTCAAACGTACCCATTTAATTTCCATTCCCCTCTGATGACACCAGAGAGGAGGTTTGGGTCAGCACAGGTAGGTATACCATTAACCTGGTTGTAAGAACACATGACACTAGCAACATTTCCATCGATAACACAACTTTTGAATGGTGGTTGAAATGTATCATCCAGATCTTGCTTTGTCACCTAACTCATCATAAACAAACTATAAGAAATGTAACCGAAATGATTAAAAAAAAAAACCATAATCATGAAAGAAAACGACCTTCCTAATAAAATAAAAAAACTTGTGAGATTAAATAAAATGAACATTACCACAGCATTGAAATGGAGACGATCAATCCCTTTCCAGTTATCCAAATCATAGGCCGTGTAATGTTTACAGCATGCAGCAACCTTAAGTCTATCTGTATTGCCATCATCTCTTTGTTGCAGTCCTCTAACATAACCTGATCCATATTTACTTGAGAGTAAAGGGTCCTCTCCTGGAGTTTCCTGCCCCCTTCCCCATCTGGGGTCTCTAAATATGTTGATATTTGGTGACCAAAACGTCAATCCTGCCAATCCCACATTGTACATTGCTCTGGCTTCGGTCGAAACAACCTGCAAAAACATATATAGCTAGCGTCATTTGTGCACAATCGAGGACTTAGAAGTCTATATGATAAACTTCAAAAAAAAAAAAATTTCATTGGTTTCTTTAACCAAATGCGAGTGCATTTTCCACCACACAATTCTGCGTAGAGTCAATAAGCCTTTCAGTAGTAAAAATGTATTCTTGAATTTTGCAGAAAACACACAAACAAGGACAAAACGACCAATGGGGTCAACCAAAAGGAAGCCAGTTAAACATGACTATCAGAACTTTTCTCCTTTTTTTCTTTTTTTCCAATAATTTTACAGAGTAAGTCCTCTTGGTCTTCGTCTTCCCACGTTGATCTAAAGATATAAAGTGACGATACAGTCAAAAAGAAGAAAAAAAGGGGCAAATGATCGTTGTTTATCTTAGTCATGATTCACATGGCAAAAATTGCAAGAAAAACCTGCTATACATATGATGAATGAAAAATTGTTTTCACAATTATTAAAGGTCGAATCAAAATAAGATTGGTGGCTGCTCAATCAATTACCAGAGGTTGCCGATAACTTCATTGGCACTCTATCATGCAATTTTGCAAGCTGGAATCCACAAGATAAAAGTGTACCCGAGTGGTTTAAAAGTCTTTGGATCTGCTAGTTGTTTAAAAGGAAACAATTACAACCCCAACCTGCTCTGACTGCTCATCATCACATGCATAAAGTCCCTCAAATTTTTTATTGCTGTACCTAATTCTATTAATTAAATTTTGGTCCACCGAAATCCTTACCATAAAGTTCAGAAACTAAGCAATGAAAAAATCCCTTAAGAATTTCAAACAAAATTTATTTTGGGCATTTAGTACACATTTGGTGCTCTTCTTTTCCCTTTTGGATCAAATATAAAGAATCATCTTCATCATAAAAAAATACAATAGCTCAGCTAGTATCCCAAAGGTTTGGAGTTCAAACTTCTTACGAAAAAAATATCATCGAATCTATCTCATATTTCAAAAAAGAAAAAAAAACGATAATTTAAGATATAACTGTCTTCGTTGCTGGGATTTTAGGAAGTCGCAGAAGAACTGATGAGCAACGAAAATCAAACACATAAAAAAGGTAAATTTGCAAATTAAAGCAAAGAATATAGGAGTATAATCTAGCTACCTTTCCGATGGCTTCAAAGAGAGAGGTGTTGAAGGAAGCAGCAGTGAGGATGACCTGAGGAAAGCTGGTAGCTCCAGGTACAAGATTAGAGAAATGAGTACCAGGACCCACGTAAGAAACTCCATGTAAAGCCTCAGACCACCACTCATACTTTGGTATCCCAAGTCTGCTCACACTCCCTGCACTATCCACCAAGAACGATATCTTCTCTTGCAATGTTAGTCTTTTCACAAGGTCTACAACTCTGTCACTCACCCCCAACGACGTATTACAGAACCCAAAACTCGCCAAGGATGGATTGGTCACAACATCACAGGCAAAAACAGGCGATTGTTGTGCCAAAACTACATGGCTCGAAGAAAAAAGTAGAAAACATAAATGGGAAAAGAAGAGAAAAACATATACCTTCGGTACTCTGTTTTGAGGAGATGGTGAAGCCATTCGAATATTGTTATAGAACAGAGGACAGACCAGACACAAGAGCGTTGTGTTTTTATAGAAAAGCAAGAGAATTAATTATTATTATTAATTTTTTTGGATAACAAGGTTATTTTCGGAATTTCATAGTAATTTAATAATTTTTTTAATATTAATTTTAGTTTCGAATCTAAAAAATAAAATCGGAAAAAAGTCTCTTTTTTTAATCACCGAACCTACCTATTAAAAAAAGGTTATTATTTTTATACTATAAAAGAAATGAAAAAAATAAAAAGCAGAGACATTGTTTTCTAGCAGTCCGTGACGGATAAATATGGAAAAGAACGGATCAGATGACGATAATATAATAATAATTGCATGATAATAATTTTTCGTTTGTTCTGACAGTGACCAATTAGAGGGAATCTTATTGGTTCAAGAAGTGATGAGAGGGTATTAGCGATCCGTGATTGATTTCTCCTCTCGGCTGGTTGAGGTGTGTTTTGTCTTTTAGTTCTGTCCGTGCTTTTCTGACTGAATTGTTATTATTTTTTCTTTCTTTGGGTATATTTCTGCTACCATAAATTCATCTTTTTCTACTTTTATATTTTAAAATATCCTCATATTTTTTTTAAAAAAAATACTCTTTACTGTTTATTATAAAATAACTAAGAAAAAGTTATTTTTTGTATTTATATTTTATTTTTTCTTACTTTTCTCTCGTTGTTGCCTCTCAAATCCATGCACTTTTTATAATACTGGTCTTTCAGCATGTACTATGGATATGTATTATTCAACCATTTATAGTTTTTTTTTTCTAACCTTTATCATGTTTTATGAAATTATTTATAAAATTAAATAAGATCTAATTTGATTTTAAAATCTAAATAAATTTATGGAATGTTTTTATTATCTTTTATTTTTTAAACAGAAAACAAGTAATGATCACTGCAATGAAATAAAAATTATGGTCATAGAATTTATTTATCTTTTATTATTTACTAGTTATTAGTTCGGATATTGATTATTTATGTTATAAGAACTCTTCGAAATAATAATCACTAAAAAGTTGACACTAATTTATTTATAAGTATAATGATAAATTGAAATAATATTTTTGGTTTTATGCTGTTATAACAAAGTTCCACCTCTTTATTTCAAAAATAAAAGAAATAAATAGAGAAGAGTAGTTTTATTTTTATTGTAAAATTTAATACTTTTTAATATTTGCAAAATTTGTTAAAAGAAATGATATAAATATTAAGAATTATTCGTCCAAAGGAGTCAAAGTAATGTAAGACACGAAAAAAAATTACTAAGCATCCAAATTAACGATTTTGTGAGATATAATATGATTACATTACTTTTGGATTTTAGTTTGGGGGTAATAGCTCACTCTCTCGGTAAATAACGAAATCAATATTCAATCTATCTTTATATTATAAAATAAACTAATTATATTCATATATTTTAAATATATTTCTAATCTGTCATTTTAATGTATTTTCTAGTCAAATTATTGGAAGAGATCACATGACTTACGTATGACGATTTTTTTTCCCTTAAAAATGCCTCTCATTGAATGTGTGCAAGTCACATTTTTTTTTATAGGTATTTCAAAAAAAAAAAAAAATTAGTCATGCGCAATTAACGGTGAGTTTTTTTTATGATTTAGTCCTAAAAATTCACCAAAAGACAAATTAAAAACTCACTTGAGGTACAGAGACACCCCACTATACAAGGACAAATTGGACATGAACCCATTATGTAATGACAAATTAAGTCATTCTCCCTTATTAATTACATGGGTTTCTATTGGTTTGTTTAAGAATATTTTTATAGGTCTGATTGTCAAAATAAAGTTCCAATTGGTTATTATAGTTAGGGATGATCTATAAAGCTTATTTTATATTATTTAGGATCTTAATTATATTGTGTCTAAATAAGAAGTAATGAAAAAAAGGATTCCTGTTTTTTATAAATTAATAAATTTTTAAAGAAATGTCATTAATCTTAGTTCTGTTTTTTTTTTTTCTTAATTAAAGGTGGATTTGAATTTACATATTAGTATTAGGATATTTTATAAAGTTGGAGTTTTTTTTTAAATTGTTTATTTTTTTCAAGAAATCTAAGTATATGAAAGAAAAAAATATATATATATATACTGTGTGTGTGTTTGGTAGTAGTTTATTCAAATTCCCGTTGGTGTTGATTTATTCATATTTCAGACACCATTTCTTACTAGATTTGATTATGAGAAAAATGTTTATGATTTGTAAACCTCAAACGACAAGGTTCTTCCATTTTTCTCTTGGAGTCAAATAAAAAAACACGGGGGTCTATTGATTGTCAAAATAAATATTTTTTAATTGGCTTTTAGTAGTTGGGCTAGATTGCAAGACATGTGGCTAAGTCTGAATTCAAGAATTGAATAAACAAGAAGAATCAAATTTGATAAATACAAGATAAATTCAATTGCTATTGCAAGTCAAGTGGCGGAAAGAAGGGTTTTACAAAGAATCTGTGCCATGTTTATTTTATTTGTCTTTTATTGGTTAGGAAAACACTATTGTACTAGAAATTTTTTACAAATAAAAACATCAAAAGATTTGGACTATTTACTATACTATTCACATATCCACAAAATAGTATTCATTTAATGTTTACTTAGAGTCGTGTACATTATGTAGTGGTATTTTCATGATTTTTAAGTCGTAATGGGACATTTATATTCGCTTTTTCCTAATATTGCACTTTAGTTCTTAATGTTTTTAAAAAAATTATTTTGATTTTCAAGTTTATTTATGTTGTAATTTGGGTTCTAAATGTAGAGAGATAGGAGAGAAAACCACAATCGGTTCTAATTTCGACCTCTTTTGTGGTCGATCTTGCATTTATATTGTATATTTTGGTGAAAAGTTTGTATTTATGGTGGTTGTAAACCATAAAATAATTAAAAGAGATAGATCAAAACTAAAAAAAATTGAAATTATTTATAATGTTTTTTTTCTAACCTTTAACATGTTTTATGAAATTATTTATAAAATTAAAATAAGCTTTAATTTGATTTTAAAATCTAAATAAATTTCTATAATTTTTTGATTTTTTGTTTGACTTTTAAAATAGAAACAAGTAATGATCACAACTATGAAATAAAAATTATGGTCATATAATTTATTTTATCTCGTTAATATTTAATAGTTATTAGTTGGGATATTGACTATTTATGTTATAAGAACTCTTCAAAATAATAATCACTGAAAAGTTGACACTAATTTATTTATAGGTATTAATTAGAAATTGAAATAATAACACAGTTCCATCTCTTTTTTTTTTCAAAAATAAAGAAATAAATAGAAAATATTAGTTTTATTTTTATTATAAAATTTAATATTTTTTAATATTAGCAAAATTTTTCAAAAGAAATGATATAAATACTATGAATTCCTTATCCAAAGGAGTCAAAAGTAATGCAAGACATGGCAAACAAATAATAATAAAAAATCTTAGGATCCAAATTAATAATTTTGATGAGATATAATATGATGACATTATTTTTAGATTTTAGTTTGGAATGATAGTTGTCATTGTATGATATGATCAATATTCAATATGCCTTTATATTATAAAATAAGGTAGTTATGTTTATGTATTGTGAATAAGTTTCTAATGTATCATTCTAATATATTTTCCGGTGAAACTATTATAAGAGATCACATGACTTGCAAATGAATTTTTTTTTTTTTTTTGAAAAATTTCCTAAGTTGAACATGTGCAAGTCACTTTTTATTTTTTAGGGGTATTTCAAAAGAAAAAATTAGTCATAAGCAAGTCATGTGAGTTTTTATGATAATTTAGTCACAAAATCTTACCATAAGACAAATTAAAAACTCATTTAAAATACATAGACACAATTGATTTGTTTTAGGATATTAAAACACATTAGACACCGATTTCATTATATAAGACGGCAGATTGGGCACTAACTCTATTATAAAAGGACATATTGGGCTATTTTTTCTTTTTGATTTTATAGATTTCTATTGGTTTGTTTAAAATATTTTTATATTTTTTATTGTCAAAATAAAGTTTCAATGGGATATTATAGTTAGGAGTGATCTACGAAGCTTATTTTATATTATTTAGGTCTTATATTGTGTGTAAATAGGAAATAATGAAAAGAAATAAAAAACGATTCCTGTTTTTTAAGAAATTTCATTAATCTTTTTTTTTTTTAATTAGAGGTGGAATTGAATTTACGTATTAGTATTAGAATATTTTACAAAATTAGAGTTGTATATTAAGTATACAATAGTCATTTTCTCTTTTAAAGGAATTGATAATTTATATGAAGTTATGGATGTCACAATCACGCTTAAGACCTTAAAAACTCAAACACCAAATTCAAAAGGTGGTAGTGTATTTTAATAGCTAGGGATAGCATTAGAACTAATGGGAAACTAGAATGGTGACATCAACAAATTAATATTAAACTATAGGGATGTAGGTGGAACATTGGCAAATCGATTGGAGCAAAAAATGTAGAGCCTGTTTGGTACCTTCTTGTTTTTAGTTTCCTATTTTTAGAAAACTAAAAATTGTTTATTGTTCATAGTTTTTTAAAGAGCTAATCACAATTTCAATTTATCAAATTGTCGATTTTTTCTAATCAAGTGCATCTTCTTTAATCTTTTTTATTTGAGTTATTTAAATTGTAATTTTTTTTTAATTAAGCATGTCTGTTAAGTTTCTGTTTTTTTTTTTTTTTTTTTTCCTTATTTGCAAATGTACCCGTTAGCAGGATCCACTAGACATGTTTGGTGGCAATTTATTCAAACTTCCATTGGTGTTAGTTTATTAATATTTTACACCCTACTGTTTGCTGGACTCAACTGTGAGAAAAATATTTATGATTTATAAATTTCAAACAACAATGTTCTTTCATCGTCCTTTCTTAGTCAAATAAAGAAATATGGGGGACCATTGACGGTCAAAAATACGTTTCAATTGGCCCGTAGCAATCG